CGCACGACGCATGGCGCACCGAGAGTCGGATGGTGAGGCTAGCATGGAAGAAGATTGTCTTGCAGGGGAAGGTCGAGTACTGCGACGATAAGATGAGTTGGCAAATGAGGAGGTGGACATTTTGAAAAGATCTGATGTAAATCGGTTGAAACTGATAATGTGATAAAGTAGGTAGGTTAATAAAACTTGAAGAGAAAGATAAAGTGTAAGAGAAACGAAGTGAAAGTGGCGACTAACCTTGCTAAGCGACGGCTGATCATATAGTGTTTTTCCACCCTTGCGCAGCCGTGTTTTCGTAGGCATAGTGCCATGTCAAGCTCGAATCTGGTCAAAACCAGGGAACTAGTGCCCAATGCAGGGTGATCTGGTACGGAAGGGGTGATATCGAGGGGTTGTACTCACAAACTGGTCCAGAGATGACGATTTGGGTAAAGGGTTTGTACGGCACCAGTACCGTACTCCATGGCCCAATACCGCAAAGCCTTGGTCACTGGTATCGTACCGCGTGGCGGGTACGGTACGGGATACCGTACCTGCTTCTCCGGTACCATTCGCCAGAGGTCCCTGGTGCCGTACCCTCCATTGGGTTACGATACCCACAAATACGATACGGGCCAGGCCGGGTACGGTACGGTGCGGTGCCGGTGCCAGTACCGTATTTGTGGCGGCCTTGCTACAAGTCAACTAGACTATCTTGTCTAGATTCTTTTTCATTCCGATTTTAAATAAATGGCAATGTAATCAATGTTTCTTCATGTCGGATTTGTTCAAAAGAAAGGCTTCTTTTGTGTAAAGTTAGTTTGATTGATCTGTGAAACTCAGATCCTTTGAATGCTGTCCATCTTGCTACAATCGTACCTGAAGCGGATTGATTAGATCCAGAGTTGATGATAGGTTAATTGTTTGATATCATAAGCAAAAGAGATCTTACTTGACACGACCTTGTTTGGATGAGTCCACTCATGAGTATAAGGGGCGCGGAGAGAGGGCGCACGTGAGTCTTGTGTAATCACTTTACACTGACAAGTGAGTATCCCAAATCAGAATATGCTCACTTCAGTAGACATTGGGAGTACTCCTACTCCCCCACAGGGCCAAAACCCGTACAAAGTGAGTATGAGTTGAGTATACTCATACTCACTCCTGCATCCCTGGGGTGAACTGCATTTCTCAAAAGCAAGCTTTTCAAAACCCGACTCCAAATGTTGTATTTCTGCCTTGGTATACATTGATTTTTACTCTATAAAAAGGTAACCTGTCCCACCTGGTTCAACAACTCCCCCACCGGCAAACCAACTGTATTTCTCAATCTTTCACCCAATTTATCAAATCATATATGAGAATTTCCTAATGAATCTTTTTCTGGGCATTTCTTTAGCAACTACATTGCCTTCTGTCTGCTGTTGGGCCTACTTGTACCCATCTTTGTTTGCTTTCATCTCACACTAAGCCTACAACCTTTCACTTTCACATATCTCATTTTCTTTTCTTTTCTTGAGTTGCTTTTAATTTACATCCTGTGTAATATCTTGGTGGATTGACCTCAACTGTATACCCAATTTCAGATTGCCTCTTTGTAAGGTATATAGCATATCATCCACTCTTGCTTTGACTATTGAATTCATGGCAATGTTGCTGTTTCTAATTGGCATTCATTGTCACCTAATAAATCCCTTCAGCGCCCAACATAAATCAGCAGTGTTTGGGAATACAGGCACTATATGGAATGTGTCCTTTTACAAGTTGATCTCCGATTATTATATTGTAGTTTTCACAACCACATTACACATGCTAATAATAACAAAGTATCCAGGTTTAAATTTAACTGCTTTAGTTTGATAATCTGGATATTTCTGGGTGAGTATGAAACAGTCAACCTGTGGCGGGCATGCCCGCGTGTTCTCTAGTTAAAAAATAAACCATGTCCAAGACAAAGATCATGTCTATGGATTTTTTTCCTTTTAGTTTATGGCTGTTTGTTATGAGTATCATCAGAGGAATAGATTTCAGTCAAGAATGAAATCCATTCTCTGATGATACTCATAACAAAGCGCTACAAACATAAACTAAAAGGAAAAAAAAATCCCTACTCAATGTATTATGCATCCAAATTTCAACAAAACGCTCTGCATTGACTAAATAGCTGTCTCTCTTAATTTTTTTGATAGTGTTGTGTACAATTATGCCTAAAAGCACTTTTTTTTTTAAAAAAAAAAAAGAAAAAAAGATCTTGTCCAGCAGGGCACAGGAAGCCACCACCACGGCTGCTGCTGCACCCCATGGCACAGTGAGTGCTGCCAGAACTCCCAGGGCTACGGTGTACGTATAGACTCATACCAACATATAAACACAACATGGGTTAAACATGTAAATTTTCCATGTCATGTGTAGTCAAAATTCATCCCCAAGCCGAAAGCCGTACAACATGACTCATACCGACACACATTCACATGGATTTTTGATGTCCAAATCCCGTGTTGTAACATGAATCATCTCATACATCATGCCGTCCGGGAAGTCTCATACCAACGCAACATGACTTCAGATGTATTTTTTCGCCATCAATAGTTCAAAAAAAGAATTAAACACTCAATTGGCCAAACCATCAACATTGCCAGTTATCACATCAAACCCCCTTCTGGCTCTACAGTCAACACCCCTCTATTCAATATTCCATCTACATTATTCTTCCTTTGTCTTGCTCTTCCACAAATAATGCCAAAACAAAACAACAAAGCTATCATCAACACAGTACTGGAAAATGGTTTCAACAACAGACTCACCATATGAGAAATACAAGATAACCTTGTGAAAGAAGGACAAACAATAACAGAGAAAACAATCAATTGACATTGTAGATGTTTGGATCACAACAACCCCAAGCAGCCCCTTTGCAAGGATCAGCTTGAAAGACGTGATGGCATCAGCAAACACTTCCATGAAGGCAAATCAATTGAAGAAATGCTCATATGCTTGAAGAATGAGGCTAATATTGTAATCAGCTGATCAACCATGGCTTGTGATTGCAAAGAAATGAACTTAAACCGTAAGGTTGATGATATTGACAAAGGAAATTACACAGAAGAAGAGATAGGTCAGCTCATTACCAAGATCCAGACAGAAAATGCAGAAGAAGCTGATATTCATTATATCAAAAACATTTTACTCAAGGAACACAATGTCAATATCCACAGGTCTGCTATTCACTGTGTCATATCTTCAACATGATGCATACTTACCTTTTTACAAACAAACAGAGGCCATCTTGCACAATTGTTGTGGCAAATTGATCCAGAAGGAGTATCATGTTGCCAAAGAGCAGTCCTAGTTTGCCATAATTTCAAATGTCCAGGTCCAAATAATATATGATCAGCAGACAGTCATGACAAGCTCCAGAAGTGGTGTATTAGGATATATGGCTTCATTGATGCTTGGTCTTGCCAAATCCTGGATCTCTTCTTACATGTCACCAAGAGTGACCCCTGTCATATCAACATTTACTGTCTTCAATGTGTTAAAAAGTATGGTGGTGCACCACAGTATCTTTATACTGATCAAGGTACTGAGACTGGAAATATGGCAGCCAGTCACTCTGCATTTGTTTGTATTCAGGGTGAAATGCCTGAGGACCAAGCATTGAAACAACACAAGTTTACAAAATCACTTTGAAACCAGAAGATAAAGTGCTTTTGGAGCCAACTAATGCGACAACATAACTGTGGTGTTGTTCAAAGGCTTTTTGATTCACTTGAGGCAGATTTCTTTGACATTGACATTCAACTGGATTTATTGGCTGTATTTTGAAAACTGGGATTTCTTTCCCAGTTTCCCAGTTTTCATTTTTGGCTGTGTTTGGAACTTTCCCACATTCTCCCAGTTTCCTAGTTTGCGGTTTTGGCTGTATTTTGAAAACTGGGAAACTGGGAAAAAACTCCCAGTTTTAACTTTGTATCCCATAATTGGTAAGTGATACTCATATTCTTTCTATGTTGAAAGCTGACTGATACTTGTTTTAAAGGCTTATGTTTCTTTATTTATGGACTAGACCCTGGGCAGCCAGCCACCTTGTTAACTTACCCCTACTTACTCTAGCCTAGACTTGGAGGTGAAAGCTCCAAGGTGTCTTGGTGGTAATGAGCAAAGTCAGATGCAACCACTAATTAATGCATCAGGTAGTGGTCACAGGACAGAAGGTGTTCACCACTAAACCCTGCTGTGCCAGTGGGACCATGTGGAACCTTGCAAGTCATGAGGGAACTTGTACCTTTTGGTGGGTCCCACATCATAGTCATTGCACCAAATGTTGGATCTTGCAATCACTTTACCCCATGGGATACAATCACATCATTGAATGCGGCTTGCTTGACCAATGCTGTGTTGATCACACAATTGTGCAAGCCGGCTGTGATCACCGGATTCAGCAAAGACCATACAATAATGTGAAATAGGGGAGTTACTGTAGGTCTTACTTGTTCGGACTATTTAGCATGTGTCCCAACAATATCTGACCCGCTCCGCTCAAAATTGCGGTGGCGGTGCGGTATCGTGGCGGCCGCACCGCCATAGATATGGATTTTTTGGCCAAGCGGTTATCTCACAGCGCTATCGCTCTAGGGCCTGGCATGGTGTCATAGCGCCGCAGCGCAGTTGGGCGGGATATCGGCCGGATATTGCTTTATAGTGGTATGTAGTGTATATATTGGTTTATATTGTATGTAACTACATACAATTGACAAATACTTACCTTAGTGTGATGGAAACCCTTCCTCTCCATCGATGTAAGTATGAGCATCACCATATACCCTCACCCTCCCTCAGTATCTCGACAACCACTCAACAACAATCTCTCTGTCTATGTTTCCGAGGACGGGCATATGTATCATCAACACCAAAGAATCAACAAACCCATACCATCTTGACACATACCATCTCAAAATGTTTCTAGATCACTTGACTCGCTCATTCTAGATCACGTCATCGTCTCGCTAGGGCAAGAAACCATGGAATCAAAGTGGGAACTAGGTGCGAGAATGACAGAATCACGCACCTTATGGTCAGCTTCAGCCTACCCTCATCTGGTCAATAAATACCCTGGCCTTCTTCAGGTCAGTTTCTTTTCTTCATCCGCTTTGTTCTTCATTTGTGGTGTCTAGCTCAAACTAGTTGTGTTCTCATTCTCGTATTACTTTAGATTAATCATCTTACACTCACCTCAAAAACTCGATCATTAACCATGTGTCCCCCCACCCCCAGTGATGGTTCTCCAGTCCTTGAATCAAACAAATCACCTGCTCCTACCCCTACCCGTAACCTTTGTCGTCACGATACTTTACCTTTACCGTCCCCTGGTTTTGTGTTCCAATCTAAGGATTCTCGCCGTGCTTTAGTTCCCCCTTCCAACTCTCACAGTCACTCTCCTGCCAACTCGTCCAACTCAGACAAATCTATGTCAATCTTGATATCCGAAGAGGCATCATCCAATCAATCTGATCAATCCAGCTGCGAGTCCAACGACTCAATGCTTCGTCAGGCCCGATCAAGCAAGGCTTCTACTTCAAAGAAGTCCGTTGTAGTGAAGAAAGGACAAAGCAGCTCTGGAAAACGTCGAACGACCAGAGGTAAAGTTCCAGCCATGTTCAAAGCCAAGTCAAAGGTCCGACCGATTGTACCAGCTAAGAAGCGCAAGCGTCTCGCTGTTGAGGTGAGTGTTTCCTTTTTTTATCTTTCTTTCATTTGTTAATGTATTATTTCGACTCTCTATTTCATATTTAAATCCTAGGATGTCAAAGTACCAGTCTGCATCGACTTAGTCCAAAGCTCGGATGTTGAGGTTGTCCAATCCTCTGGAGTGCGCCGAGCACAATGTGCTCGAGTAGGTCATCTATTTGATTACTATCACCCTCCAGTCCATGTCAAAAAAGAGGTATGTGGTATTGATGTCTTGGTTTTCTTTTATCTTTTTTTCCTAATTGATTTCTCACTTTTTATTGTTTCTTCCTCATTATTTCAATTCAGACCGGGCCCGACCCCCGTGGATTCAAATGCAAGTTCTGCGATGGGATGTTTGTACGTGGCAAGAACAGCAATTATAATCTATACGGACATCGTGACGGCGCCAAAGATCGACCTGCTTGCCCAAATCAACACCTGGCCATCGAGGCAGGGATGGACCTACCTCGCACCTGGAAGCAACAGCAAGCAGCTCAGGCCCCAGTTGTAACAGGTACATTAGGTACTTTAGACTCTTTCTTATCCCGGGCAACCTTTAGTCTCGATCTCCTCAACCATGTCATGGTCATATGGATCCTGCGTCATGCGCTTGCATTTGCTCGTTTTGAAGATCGGATCCTGCGTGCAGCCTTCAAGCTTTCGAATCGACAGGCTACCTTGAGAACTCCCAAGTGGGCAGCATCCATGTCCAAGGAACTATATGTTGACCTTAGTTTGTCAGTCATCAAAGAAATTCAGGTGGGTGACTTTCTCATTTCCTTTATCTTGATCTCATTTCCTTTATCTTAATCTCGTTTCCTCTTTTTCTTTCCTTTATCTTAATCTCGTTTCCTCTTTTTCTAATTTATCTGATCTTATGTTCTGTTGATCACATTTTTCAATCTGATGTTTGACAAACAGGATAACGATGCTCGCTTTTGTTTACTCCACGATGTGTGGACTACAAAAGGCAGCAAGTATGCCTTCATTGGGGTTTCAGCTAATTACATTGACAAACAGTGGACCTATCGAACTACTCATCTTACGCTCAAACTTGTGACATGGAATCATTACGGTGTGCTTCTTGCTCAGCCAGTCGCACACTTCCTTATGAAGCATGATCTCCACAAGAAGATAAGTAGTTTCCCTTATCTTTCCTATTGATTAAAATCATATACTGACTTGAGATGGTGTTCTCTCCTTTTGTACTCTTACTTATTAGCTCAAACCACAGACTCTGGCTCGAACAACATGACGATGGCAGCGGAGCTTGAATCTGTTTTTGCAAATGCTGAAGACCCGGTTTTATGGGATTCAGACGCTAATCATGTACGTTGTTATGCTCACAAGTTAGGCCTTGTGGTTAAAGAAGGACTCAAGACGCTTGGTATCAAGACATCCAAATCAAAGCCTTCAAACCCCGACATGTTGATGCCGATTCCAACCATTCGAGTTCAAACAGCTGATAACGATGATGAGGATATTCAATATAGTTCAGATGAAGATGACTATGATATACCTCCTCATGCGCGCAAATGTTCTTCTGAAAATGATGATGATGTAGACTCAGATGATGAGATTGATGACAAAGCGTGCTCCGTAATTCTTGGGTATCAGAAGGTATGTTTACTTTCCCTTTTTGTGATTTCCTGTTTTTCCTCTCATCGTTTGATCTGCTTACTGACAATCAATTTATCCAAATCAGGCCAAGAAGTTCAATAAATTCTTATGTCGAAGTGGTGCACGTCGAGGTGAATTCAAAGGTAAGTCGTCCCAGCTTGGCTATCAGGGACCTCAGCCCATTCCTGGGTGGGGATTACGCTGGAACATCAATCTGGATGTGTCCAATCGATTGTGCTTAGCCCGTGATGTGAGTAGACTACTCACCTTTTGATTTCTCGTATTCAATTTCCAAAACTGACCAGCAATCGTTTCAGGTGGCCGATGCAATTATGACTTCTGATCGTAAGACTCGGTATTATCAGGGCCTCTCCATTTCTCCTGAAGAATGGGATGCCCTTGAGGTTTTGAATCAAGTATTGGAGGTAAGTTGAGCTACATTTCGCCTATGTTGATTTTTGCATTGATGTTTTTTTTGTTTTCTTAGGTTTTTCGTGTGTCAACCAAACACATGGAAGGTGATTTCCCATCAGGTTGTATTTTATTACCAGAGTACCATCGTACTATCACTTCCCTTGAGTCGATCGAGGCCTCGACCGAATTCAATTCCATACGCAACATGATCAGTCACATGCTACCCAAACTCCGCCAATATCAACACGAGGCATCACGCTGCAACACAATCCTGGTGGCCACTGTTCTGAATCCTCAACTACGTCTCAAGATATTTGAAATTCACTACCCCGACTATCTTGAAGAAGCTAGATCGGCAGTCAAGAGACACTTTGATCACGCTTTATCTTGCTGGCCAATCACCCCACCCTCCTCCCCCTCTCCTAGTGTTTCTCAACCTACCGATACACTTTCATACGGGTATGACCTTTTTGTGGCGACTCACTCCTCTGCTGATGGTACTAAGGCTCGCGAAGCGGAGTTGCAAAGGTACTTGGATGGCCATGATGCAGTGGCACCTGGTCAAACTCCTTTGAGTTGGTGGAAGGTGAGTTTTTAATTTTGTATCATCTTCACTCTATTGTTGTGATATTAATCTATGTTGGTTTCTTTGCTCAGGCTCATGCCTCTAAATTCCCGGTCCTTGCAACCCTAGCTCGAGAATAACTTTCGGTCTCTGCCACCACTTGTGCAGTGGAACGAACCTTCTCCTCTGCAGCCGATATAGCCACACCAACTTGAGGTGCTTTATCCCCAACCACAATCACTAAGCTTGTAGCCCTTCGTGAATGGTTGAAAGCTGAACGTTTGGACAATGGTGGCAAGTTTTCTGAAGCGTTATCTTATGTTTACGCCTTTGAAAAGGAATCGGTCAAAGGCAAAGGCAAGGAGTTGGTTAAAGGCAAGGGCAAGACAACGGAGATCTGATTCATCCTTTGTTACAATTTACTTTTTCAATACACTCGTTTGTTTTCACTTTTTTCTCCATTTACTTACAATACTTTGTTCATCTTCAACTTCAACTTCTTCTTTCTTTTTTCTGCCCTTGTTTTTTTTTCAAAATAGTATTATTTCATTACACTCGTTCCTAACCAGTTTGTCTTTAACTTTACACCTTTTTATCAGCTTGATTGCTTTTTAACTGGCTTTTTACAGTTGTCATTTTTTTCTCTTCTCTAATTTTTTTTTCTCTACACTCGTTTGTTGCATGTTAATCATCAATATTAGGTTATTTTTCATCAAAACTTTGCTACCCCGTGCCCATACCCACTCTGACCACTATGAGAAGCCCAAGTTTGTGAGAGCGTTGTGTTGCGTTGTGGTTTTCTGCATCGCAAGGAACTTGCCATAGCGGTCGATTTCATATATCGTAGCGATTGTGATTAGGCCATTGCGGCAAATCACAACGCTATGAAATCTGGCGGATATATCGGTGCGTAGCGGAGCGGGTCAGATATTGGTCCCAATGTGTACCTTGACCGCATTGGGTTTCTTAGGCTGGTGTGTCAAGAAATGGGTCCGTGTGGCACTTTTTTTCCAAATGTTGCTTTTTGGATTATTATATATGATTCCTTTTATTCAGAAGCAGCTGGATATATTCACCAAAAGATACAACCACAGCAAATGCAGAAAGGATCCTCACTCCTGCCTTTCCTGCGGTCACAGTGCTGACTTTTGCTACAAAAACCCAGTTGAGTTGTTTAATGGACATGATGGATTGATTTGTGTCCCCGCTGAAGACATCAATAGTTGAATTATAGATAATTATCCCAACATACATAGTTGATTTACCTACACACCTGATTGGTTTTCATTGGTTGCAGATAACATCATGCCCACCTTGAATCTCCCACATGAGAAACTCAAGTACTACAACATATGGGTTGCATTTTGACTTATGTGCAATGCTTTGTTAGATCACAACTGGGAAGGCACTCTCTTTGAAGGAAAATATCTGAATGCTTTTGGTACTTGAACGTGAACATCTTACACAAGTTTATTTGGAAACTCATGGTCTATATGCATCTCAACCACAATTATATCTTGAAGTATAGGAAGAAAACAAATAATAATTTATAATGTGATAAAAGGACACAAACATTTAAAAAAAAGTAGAAAAAAAAGTGGATCGAGTGAAATTGCAAGGATTTCAATTTTGCTTTGAATGCTTCCATCTCATCCTTCTGCTTCTGACTTTTTATCATATCACATTTACAAATCCACTCATCTGCATAATTCTCAACCAATGTTTCTTGATGAATTTCCCACTCTTCATCACTCCTGTTGCCTTGCATGTCAGTAATCTGCTTAAGATGTTGAACTATACTTTTAGAAATTTGACAAGACGATCCAAATTGTGTTACCTTGTGTCCTCCAGTTGAATAGGTCGCTGATCATGAGTAAAAGTCTTGGAGTTAGTACTATAGTGTTTGATGTCTGATGCCCAAACCATTTCAACAACTCCATCACATCCATCAAAATTGATCTCAAAATTGTAGTCAGGAAATACAAATTGAGCCCCTTCAGTACAGCCATGCTTTGAGGTTCTGCCATGTCAACAGAGTCTACCTCTATCTTGATGAATCATACTAAATAATCCAAAGGTATAGTCAGAATAATTGTTATTGACATGCACCTTGTTAGCAAACTCATCACATGTGACAACAGAATTGGAACCAAAGACACACCCATGGGGTGACTTAAAAAATGACTTTGATGCCCAGGAGGGTGCACGACATTGTGCAGCTTGTTCACAGTTGGATTGAAAGGCACCAATGGATAGAGAGGCAAATTGTGCAGCTAGGAAGTGATTGATGCAAGGAAGATACATCTGACGGCGTAAGACATTTTCCATACAAGCCACAAGTTGTGAAGTGTTTAGATTGAGAGTGTAAGGACCTAGTATCCAGAAGAATAAAATCAAAGCCTCCTCAAAATCATGGAAAAGTCAAAATGATAATAATAATAGATACAAAATACCATATTTTTTTTCCTGTATTCACCACAAAACCCTACCACAAAAACAGTGTCATTTGTTATGGGCTGCTTTGCCACCATCTTGCAAACATTTCCATTCATTTCATCAAGTGCATCATAACATATTGGGTAAGATTGTCTACCAATCTCTTGATCAGTAAATACATGATATTTAATATTAACAGCCCTCCAACCTGGGTACTTAGTACCCAGATCAACTTTGAGCATCAGCTTTCTTCCATGAATAAGCTTGATTGGTGTAGAATGTGTCAAGGGAGGTATTACTGGAAAAGGTGTGGGAAACGTGATACCAAGATTGTTGAATGTGGATAAGGCTCCTAACAAGGTGGTAATTAGCATTTGGAAGACAGGCAGAGATAGAAAATCTAGGAATTCTTGCCAATTGATTCCTCATTTGTCAATGTGAGCATATTGTTATCAATACAACCAAGAGAATGATTGTTCACTGTAAGAAGTGAGTTGAAACCTTTCTGAGTGGTGAATTTTGTTTGGTGGCTGTAGTTGGTTTGTAAGATAGGTATGTTATGTCTAAGAGTTGGAATCACAGCCCCCTATCACAAGTGACTGGCAGCCCAGTGCCTCCTGGTGACCTCAAAATGTTCTCAATTTGTTTTCAATTTGTTTTCACTTGGTCGTGTAACTTACATCACACAGTCTTTGACAAGTTTTTGGATGACCAGTTGTCAGTTATATCTTGACTGGGGACCAGATCTCCACAAACAAGTTGTGAACCTGATCTTGAAGAGATATATAAGTCATCATGAGCTGAAATATTCGATTCCCCATATGCATCCTTTCCAACCGCACTGGTGAAGTCCATATATAAAGCATCTCAAAATCATAGATACAAATTGGCATCATCTACAAATCAAGAGTGTTTGAACAGAAAGGATACCCAAGCGCAATTGGTCATACCATCTATAGCATCCTATTAGGTTCAGCAGCAATCATCCATCCATATCCATGTCATCATCCTCATGTTTGCCTTGCACAAATCCCTGGTCAAACACAAAAGTCAGTCAAAATCAAAAACTCCAATCAATTCAGAACTCACCAGATTCATCAATTCAACTGTTGAGAGTGTTTTGCTTTGAATATCAAAAGTGCCTTTTCTGTTCTTGATGAAAACTAGCTGCCCAATGGCCTTGTCACACTCAATGACATGATATCCTCCATGCTTGTCATAGAGCACTGAGGCGTTCAGAAAGAGTGGCAAAGAATAGTACGGAATCTTGTGTTTGTCACCATCAGAAAGAGGTATCAATGAACTGACAACAAGGAGCAGATGGTCAGAATTGGGAAGCTTGATAATATCCGTGATACAGCCCTTCCTTTTACATGAGTTGTGGGAATATGAGATGTAGCTATTTCCAGAAGCCTTCTTGTAAGTGCTATGTGGCTTGGTTGAAATGAGGACCCTTGTGGTCACATCAAATTTTGAGTGTGCAGTGTACTCTGCCCCTATATGACCATTTTTTTGAAGGGTCTCAAAGGCAATAGGACTGAGTGGTCTTTCTTTCCACAATGTCTGTTGCTTTCTTAAGAGGTATTCTCCAATAATAGGATCATTCTTGAAGGCGGTGTGATTGTTATTGATCATGGCTTGGAAGAAGCTACGCCTGGAATAGTGCTGAAGTAATGACTTGCCCTGCCGTTCTAGTCATGGGAACAATCTTTATAGGTCAGATATTGAGATGGAGACATGCACTGATTTCTGTTTTCAAGTTCAGCAAGTTGGCTGCCAGTTGAAGTGGTCAAATGGGGTCTATGTGCTCAGCCAAAAGCAAACTTGGCTTTCTGTCAAGGGTGTCACCTTTTCCTGACATCATAAAGTGTTCAGATGGAGTCTAGGTGCTCAGTGAAAAGAAAACTGGGCTTTTCCATCAAGGGATTTGCCTTGCCCCGACATTCCAGAGCTTGTCTGATAATTGGATCACTCTAAAAGGGAATGTGATATCTATGGATGTGGAGCTTCCATAGCTGTCAAACAATTGTTCAACACTTGGTTGGGATCTTGTCAGTGACTGATCAGGATATTTTTGATGACTGGAGAAGATCTCTACAATAACTGGTTGGGAAATAGTATACAGCCTATTGAAAACATCTTTAAAAAAACTAAAAACAGATTAAAAACATATTGAGGTCACTGGATGTACTGGGCTGCCAGTCACTTGTGATTGGGGGCTGTGAATGAGGTGTGTTGATCCATTGTTCAATGTGAATATACTTGATTTGGTACTTGAAGGTAAGAAAGATGGTGGTCCCATGAAATTGGCTTGATAATTTTGATTTTGACACAAGGTTGAGACAGATAGTTTCTTCTTGTGTTGGTCTTGTATTGTAAGAATTCTTCTCAGTAGTTCTAGAGTTTCTGGGCTAGAATAATCCATAAACCTTGGTTTAAGAAGAGGCTGGTGAATTGTATTTAGGTTTCTATGCTTGCTTTTTTACACAGGACTCTGAGCTAGAAACACTATCAAGTTCTTCTTCAGAAGTTGAAGGTTTGTTTTGTTTTTTGGTGTTTTTTTTCTAGTTCCTTCCTTTTTTTCAGCTTTTCTTTGGTTGGAGGATAATCTTTGTTGTGTTTATCACCCTGAAAGATAAGCTCAAGTCCATTACATGTCTTACCAAGAGGTTCTTTGATCTTTTCAGCTGTGATCTTAAAAGGAGGACAAGTAGTTGACGTGATATAGAAGTAATCAGATTGGAAGAAGAGTGGATATGTTGGAATGTTGTTCCTTATGTCTTGTAGTTCATTAGACAACTGTTCAAAGATTTGACAAAGCTTTGATCCAGAGAAGCTGATCAGATTTGACTCCAGTGATTGACATTTTGATTTGTGCTGCATGGTGAGCAAAGAACGTTCAACTGATACAGCCATGGTGATACATTGCCAACTTTGCAGTGAAAGTGTATACTGGTTGAGTGGCTGAGGTTTTTGGTTGATTTGAAGCAGAAGACAAAGACAGAGCTGGTTGATTCAGATGTGAGAGGCCTTGACGTTGCTGTGATTTTGCTGGAGCAAAGCAGTTTCAAAGTGCCTGTGAATCCTTCTTCTTGTCTACTACTGATATGTGATTATTAAATGCATGATTTCTGGAAGCACTTGGCAGATGATTGGTGTCAGTAGTGGCAGGTGCTACATCATTGTCAAGCTTCTTGAGGCAGTCTCCACAAACACCAATGGTGGAGATGCTTTCAACCATACATTATTGTGTGCCAGCCTGTGCTGAACATCTGTTTCCCAGTAGGAGTGATAGGGAGGCTTGGTATGATCTCAGGTTTCTGTGGACTTTCTGGGGTAACAGATCTTTTTGTGAGATTAAAGTGCATTGCAGATATATGGATCATAACATATATATAAAGGTGAAAGCTTGGGTCCCGAATCATGAGAGGCTTGTATTTCCTTCTTCCTCCAATTGCTCTTGCACATTGAGTGGAGCACAGTGAACTGAGAGCAGTGAAAAAATTTAGGACAAACTTCTACAAACTTGTAGATGCATATGCTCCTAATCAGTCAAGCCTATTCAAGCTTTCTTTCAAATAAATCTGCTGAAAACTTATCAGATTCCCGCACTGTTCTTGAGCTGGTCAACGTCAGCAATTGACTTGACACAAACTCAGTTACACCCAATATTGAGAGCTTCCTTTGTGCGTTGAATAACTTAACACCATCTTTGATGCATGCATTACAGTTAGATCACTTCTAAAAAGAGATAGCAAGAGCTTCATTGTATCATTCCTATAGGTCAACCAGGCAATAAACATTGACCTTTTCCCAGATGGGAGAATAACGGTACTCAAAGTTGTGTATACTTTGCCGTGCATAGTTTTTTTGTGTTTTTTCACAACTACAAACAACTTGGAAAAAGTATGTTTCTTGATTGAAGCTCAAGGATATGTACTTTTAAGCCAAAAACATAGTTTTCCCTGGTTGTGTGAAGTTGTGAAAAAAGAAAAGAAAACTATGCACAGCAAAGTATACACAACTTTGAGTACTGTAAATGTCTAGATAGACAATTCCACTTACCTATCTAAGTATCAACTAACATCTTAAAAAAACTGTATAAGAAAGATATCAAACACTTGCTTGCAAAGAAAGAAGTCCTAAGATATCATCTACAAATTTATGAACCTAATATAAAATAACTATAAGCATCATGCACATGTGATAAAAACTATACAAAAAAATCATCATTCAAATCTTGCACTAAATCGTAAATCTGAAACCAGGATCTCGATCACCAATAGGCGCTTTAGTCTTACCATCTTTAACTAATTGATCATATTTAGCCAAATTATGATCCCTTTTATGTTGAGATCTAGCTTGATTTTCTGTCCAACAATAAATCGAATTCACAAAGAACATAACCCAAGCAAGTACCATAAATCCCAAGGCAATCGAATGTCCTTTTTTATACTTTGGTGCTTGTTCATGTGTATAAATGAATGTGGCTACAAATCCTCCACAGTTTGAGATCTGATTAATGATTGATGAGAGCGTGGTCAAGGACAGGAAAGTTTGGAATGATGGTGAAAATAAGTCAGAATTCACATGATGTGTAGTTGAGTTGCAGAAAAAATGATTGGAAATTAGAATTGATCTGACCATCAAGTGTAATGCTGTGACTGTGCTCCTTTTAGTCATCCCTGCTACATTGTTGGGAAGGATGCAAAGAACGGAAGGTACAGAAGGATATATACCCGCAGCCATCAAAAAAACACCCGCATATCGCGCATGATTGGAATCTATGGTGATACAGATAATATCTGCAAGATTGGTGCGAGATGAAAAGACAACATCAAATCAGCTAAATTTTCATGAAGCTAAAGCTTGGAGTGGGCAAGCAAACTACTCACATCCTAACATCGCGATGGGAGTCAGAAATAGGATGACAGGAGCTCTAGATTGTAACCGATCACCTATGAAGGCTACGATCACCACCAATACAGATGCCGGTAGGTATGGGAAGGAAGAGAAGAGTTGAGCATTCAGGCCTGAATATCCCATGCCCAATACGACTGTTTGATGATTGAGACGAAGGGAGTTGAGCGAGATACGCAAAGCAAGAAGGAAGATAAAGTCAAATCCAGATGAGCAATTCAAAAAAAGAAATACGAAATGTATGCAGAGACTGACTGGTAGGTCTATATCGATTAAAAAATTCCACAAGTGCGTATTAGAATTTAGAATGTGAAAAGTCTCATTTGTCAAGAGAGGCTTGGGTGGGACAACGCTCGAATAATTTGGGACTCACAAGAACAAGGCGAAAGAGTATAGACAAACCAATATGCCTAAGTAACCAATTCCCGTGATCCAAACTTGAGGTTCCTTAAAACCTCGAATCACTTCATACATTTCAAACTCTTCGTCGATCGACTGATGTTTCTTATTCTCGTCCATCTTATCTTCCTCTGACTTTCTTTTCTCTTGAGAATCTGTCGCGTACTCCGGACTATCCGATTGGAGATTTGAATCAGTTTGATGCACAATGCCTTTTTGATCGAAGCTGTTTGTTGGAGTCTTCCAATGATAATCTAATCTTTTGACTGCCAGGACAAATCAAAAAAGTCACAATCAGCTTGAACATGAAGTATACAAAGATAGCTGAGGATAACTAGCCTACCCGCAAAGTGACGTTCTTCTGGAGTGAGGAAGGAAGCAGTGGCGAGATCTTTGGGCATATAATAAACTGCAAATATCGCGACCAAGACGGTGCCAATGCCTTCCCAAATAAATATCCATCTGTTTTTGCATGATAAAATGAGTGATGGCGTTAAAAATCAATTGTCAGCTCGTAATTCGATAGTGAAGATGTCCATGAATATATGCAAGACGGCATAACTTTATAGACTCGGCTCGAACTATCAAAGAACGCTAAAACTTACTGCCACCCTGTTAAGATAGACGTGATCAAATTTCAAACAGAAAAGAGGTCCACGAAATGGCATTCATATTATATATTTGACGGCAGAATGACATGCAAAAACATTGAGCTGAACGACAGACCTTTGAGACCGCGAACCCCGTCCATCCGTTCGATTCCGTAAGCTAAGAGACCTCCGAAAGCCCCACTAAGAGATGCAAATGCAAAGAACACTCCTACTCGAAGCTGAAGTTCATTTCGTTTATACATAGTTGAGAGATACATCACCTGTGCGATAAAGGAGTAATGTGAGAAGGATTGCGGCGCTGACAAGAAATGTTTTCAATCTAGGGGCAAATTCATACATACCATTCCCTGATTTTTGTATACGCGCAGAAGCGAGGATTCGTTAATTTATAGGAAGCTATTCCTTCTTCTGATGAGCTAATTGCAAAATGCTTAGAGACCTACAGGCAAGAGCCCACCTTCAAACAAGCCTGTAGCAACAAACCAGCAAACAAAATGAAAGTTGTAAACGTCAATAAGTATGTGCGCCTCATACTTAGGTGTCCGTTGAGTGGACAGAGAATGTGCCTCATACCTAAGAAAAACCGACAAGCAATGAGGGACGAATAATTTTTCATAAACGCCATGAGGATAGTGATAACGCCTACAGGTCATCAAGATAGAAGCCTCATTATTGGCTACATCTCTCACAGAACATTCCTTGAGGCTTCCTCCAGGGGATCAAAGACATCACATACCCCAACTCGCAACCAAGAACGGAAGCCATAGCTATCAAGAGTACAAAACAATCCGTAGCTCAGCAGTCGAATGACAAGAAGAAGGAGTTTTAAAAACTGACCTTTGCGCCCACTCGCTTCAGTAGATAATTAGAAGGAAGTTCAGAAGCGATATACGAGGTGTAGCTTTTGGATGATCGAATCAAAACCCAATCAAATCGAGAAGCAAGAAAAAGATATCAGAGGGGTACCAAAGTCTATGTTGCGAACAAATCATATCGGATATCAGGACACTATGTAACCAGAGTACTTACAAGACCGCCAGTCCGATATTATATTGTAAGCCTACCAGTCCCAAGCTCTCAGCCATTCCACCGGCCTATGAAATATCTTGTAAGAGAACTGTGGTCATTTTTACTGCATGATAGACTGACATTTGCATTCCCAACGTTTGTTCGGTCAACTAGGGTGATGGTAAAGTGATTTTCAAAAAGGATTGTGCATTTTGGGAAGGCCAAGGAATGAGGTTCCGGTCCAACATCAAACGTAATGGTCTTTAGAAGATTTGCTTGCTATGTCAAGACTTACGGAAGCAAGCCAGCCATAATAGTGAAAGGCCTATGATAAAACATCAAGAACAGATCAGTGTTTTTTTAGATGATTGCGAGAAGTGGAGATAAGAAATGATGTACCTGGGAGGACATGTAAGTCGACTTTCTTGACTATAGACCTACGAGTAGATTCATGTAATGGATGTTCCTGTGATAAATGAGAAGAGAAAGGTTTATTCAGTTGAGAAGTTGATGAAGCAAGTACTGAAAAGAGAAGATATCACAAACTGGGTCGTAGATTGAAACGGTTTTCATGTTCAAGGAAGTCATTCTTTATTTTGAGTTCTGTTGGTTAGCTTTGTATCAACTAAAGCTTGAAGGTCAACAAAAAGCTAATTTGAATTTTCCAGATAAGACTCAAATCGACAAACTTTCATGACTCTTTCTCTCTCTCTCTCCGTCTCTCTTTGAAAGTTTTCAAATTTACGTATCACTCCCAATGAATTCATTCACAGGAGATCCATGGTGAGATATCAATTGACAAATCCGGCTTGATCTCCTGAGCCTACAACGTTGCTCGAGGTGAACTGGTTTGTGGATTTGACATAAATCCCGCGGAGCACTTCAAGCCATGTCCAACCGTTTCTCAACCCGTTTCAAAGTGGCGATGAAGTTATGGCATGCATGTGATTCGGTACAACGAGTAGTTTGTAAGAAGGGAGATGAAGGATGAACCCGGAGGGATATTACTCCGGCGGCGTCTGTGACCTTGACCCTGACTGATTACAGCCGTTGTAAGATCTAATGGCATTTTTTTGAGACAATAAGAGCATCTCCAATGCTACCGAAGCTGAATGACTAAAACTTACGTTTATGTCAAAAACGTAAGGTGTACAGGTGTTATTCGGCAAAACCACATCCAACGCCGAGTCCAAGTTCGCACACAGAAGCTTGTGTGCGAACGTGTTTTTTGTGAAATGACACATTCCCAGGCTCAGAGCATCTCCAACGGTCCTGAATCGCCAAAAGGCATACAGGCTCGTCTGAAAACATACAGTAGGCTGTATTTTTTCATATAAAAGGATTCCCTCCACCGCGCACTTGATGCAGGGACTTCCAAGGTCGTGCTCCTGCCAAAAACGCCAAAAGCGCACGAGACCAACCTTTTGAAGGTTTGATTGGTCTCTCATTGACTGTGAACACATCCTGTGGAAAGTGGTGATACGATAAACACCACCTGTGTTGTCACCTCAATGAATACTACGAACCTCTTTGATTGAAAGAGGTGATGAGGTAGCCTCTTTCATCCTTTGATTATTGATTGAGCCACGTGGTGATTGATCTCACCACGGTCTCGCTTAATTATGACAATACATATAAGGGATTCCATTTATCACAACGGCGTCCTTTCTTCCTCATACTCATCCTGTCCCATATATTTTCCTTTGCCTTCCTTCTAGTTGTCTATAATTTTTTACTTCATTAACCTCAATATTCAGTATGAATAACGGAATCATTACCCCAAACTTCTTAGCTCAATACGCTGTGTGCGCTGGCCTTCAAAGAGAGTTCATCGTCGCTTTGGCCAATCACTCCCCTGATTTGCAGGCGTATCTCTACGTTTCCCATATACCACGGGGTCCTGGTGGGTCTTGTCCAGGCAGATCCCAAAACCTGCCTGGGGATGCGGTCCAGGGCAATATTGGCTTGATGAGAGACTATTTCGATGTGACGCCGGTGTATAGCGAACTATTGTTTCGGAGGCGGTTTAGAATGAGTCGCCGACTCTTTTGCCGTATCGCCCAGAAGCTAGGAGAGCAGGACCCGTATTTCACCCAAAGAAGGGACTGTACAGGTATGCCTCTCGCTCTTTCAGGTGGTTAATTTTTGTTTCGTGATCTTTTATATTGAAATTGCTTCGTTTGTTTGAACCAACCGCAGGGAAACTTGGTTTATCGCCGTACCAGAAGTGTGCCGCCGCCCTACGTCAACTTGCGTATGGAACATCTGCTGATGCTCAAGACAAATATCTTCGAATTGGGGAATCAACCGCCATAGAGTCTCTTAAGAGATTTTGCTTCGGTGTCATTCAGGCTTACAAGGCTCAGTATCAACGCAGCCCTTCTCCTGACGATGTCGAAAGAATCCTGGCCGTCAATGCTGAACGTGGGTTTCCTGGTATGCTTGGTTCCCTTGATTGCATGCATTGGGAGTGGACGAACTGCCCCAAAGCGTTGCAAGGACACTATACTGGTAAAGAGGGGACTCCGTCGTTGGTTCTCGAGGTTGTGGCCACCCAAGATCTCTGGATCTGGCACTCTTTCTTCGGCCTACCTGGCAGTTTGAACGACATCAATGTTCTCGACCGGTCACACCTTTTCCAAGATCTATCTTTAGGCAACGCGCCTCCCTGCGAGTTCACGGTCAACGGAAAAGTATACAAAACTGCTTATTACCTTACCGACGGCATCTATCCAGACTGGTCAACATTAATTAAGACGTTCAGTAGTCCTCAAGATGAGAAACCAAAGGTGTGTCCGACATCTCATTAATGTGTGGTCTAAATCGAGTTTTTTTCGAAGGCTAACTAAGCCTCTAATTTAGCTGTTCTCTCAAGTGCAGGAAGCCGTTCGCAAAGATGTAGAACGTGCTTTCGGTGTGCTTCAAGCTCGTTTTGCCATCATCAAAGGCCCCTGTAGGATGTGGCAGCCGGCGCATCTGGAGCTCATCATGAATTGCTGCATAATTTTGCACAATATGATTGTAGAAGATCAGCGTGATGAACCACGAGGGGCAAACGATGTTCATATATTCGTTCCCCCCCCTGTGCCACCCGTCCGTCTACCACGAACTTACGTCCGTTTCAAAGAAGGACGGACTGCCTTCCGTAACCCTCAAGCGCACCACAATTTACGCGATGACCTTGTTGAACACCTATGGAACGTATTTAGAGCTGAAGAAGACTGATTGGGCCCGTGTTTACATTGCACAATCTTCTAACTTTTAACCATTACGTTCTCAAATAGTCATCTATTCCCTTCCTTTTGTTCCGTGTCAACAATATATGTTACTTTCATCCTCTAACTCCCGTGTTTTCCATCTCGCATTTCTTGTTTTGTGCTAATGATGTGAGTTTTCAATGTACAAACTTTGACGATGTTTTTCCTCTACGTCTTTTCAATCTCGTGGTTTTTGATTTGTTGCCTTGTGGATATTGATTGATGTGTGTTTTCATTGTACAAAGTTTGATAACGCGATATCTTACTTTCCCCTCCTCCTCATTTCATTTTTCCATGCCGCTTATTTGGTGTTGATATTGATTTGTTTTTTTTTTTGATCGACCTTTTCTCCTCTTGTTATGGATGATTTTGATTTGTTTATATATTATTTTCAATGTACCAATCTTATATACATACGTTTTATCATTCTAGGCATGTGGCAGTTTGAGCGGGAAGCCCTCTAGCCAGGTTACTTCAGAACATCAAAGTCTGAGTTCGACAGCGTAACAAATAATCATTTTTGTACACATGAGTCACAAGAGACACAGGATATATTATGATTTTACGATACGATATCATAATGATGGATATCTTAACCAAACGCGTATTTCGACGTGATTGGAGGTCACTTATCGTCTTATAAGTAGTTCTTCATCTCCTCGTTCTTCGTTTGATTTATTCCATGCTTCCCCTTCAACATCACTTCTTTCCTCTACTTCTTTCCTCTTATTTATTTTACTGCTTTCTCTTTCAATCCTTCTTATTTATTACCTCTTCCTTATTCCCTCTTACATTACATTACATATTAATCATGATGCATCTTCGTCCCAGGTGGTGGGAGCACCCCACCCCCCAAGAGCTCGAATTTTTTCGCAACCTTGATCCTTGCTCGAAATCAGAAATCTTCAGATGGGACATTAACGAGAAATCTCACCCATGCATCCGTGCCGGATTGGACCAGTGCCTCGACTGTGCCGAGTTTGGTCACAGACGGCCATGTATCAGCGAGAAACCGTTTCCTCGCGCGCCGCCGTTTCAAGATTGGCGCCGTTCGATCAACGGCAAGACCTACACCAAGGGCATGTTGCGCATGACTAAGGAACAACTAGCCGCTCTGGCAGCCAAAGAGGGTATGTACTTCGCTCTAATATGATATTACAAAATAACTTGAGGACTGATCATCAAGTTATTAATTTATTGACCCAGCGATTGAAGCTGATTTCAACCTGTCTTCCGATGATATCGACCTCCTTGACTCCATCGAGGCAGCCGGTAAGGCTTTCGTGAAAGTCTCCAATCTTCATTCCTCTCTTCACAAATTTTGACCTGATGTGTGATTGCAGCTACGTCGAGCCAAATACAACCCACTCAAAGCACTGTTGTGATTGCTACGTCGAGCCCAACACAAGGTCCCACTCAAAGCACTGTTGCGACTCACGAGTCGACCATCATTGACTTATGTTCGCAAACAACAACTGTTGCGACTACTGTTGCGACTACTGTTGCGACTCACAAGTCGGCCATCATTGACTTATCTCAAACCACTACTGTTGCGAGTCACGAGTTGGCCATCGAGGTAACTTGGAATGAAGGCACTCGTAAGTATCTGTCGCATTGATACTATTATAATCATACTGATCAAATAAATTGTTAGCCGAAGCGAACATTCAAGAACATGCGAGCATTCATGAAAATGTCGATGAAGATGAACACGTGGAGGTCATCACGGCCACGTTGCCCAATCGCAACACCGGAATCCATCGTGAGTCTATCGGACTTTCATCTCACGATATATTATATACATCTTGATATTTATTGATGTTACTGTGTTTAATTTAATGATTTCCAGGTGGAATACGCGCCCAAAGTGAGCCGGTGGGATTCAAATATTAACTTTATCTAAGATTGTCACCTATTATTATATTTCAAAATCGAATTTGTATGTTTTTTGTGGCTTTGTGATTCTCTTGCACACCTATAAATCTTGTAAGACGGAGGTGGCAATATCCCTATATACACACGCGGTGTTTCAGAAGATGAGGACGAATTAAACACGACATAAATTTCTCGTTATCAATATCCAAATATCGTACACCATTTTATATACAAGAAAAAAAACATGTTGTAAATGAACCGTATCAGATGTTGCGCTAACAAAGAGTGAGAAATAGAAAGAGAAACACATCGTAAAGATATCTCCGTGGAACAAACAACATGCTGACGGCTAACGTGCTGCACCTCGTACACGCATTTGAAGCCATAACCATTTGGCTTCGTGATCAAAGTCATTAACAAACTCGGAGCCTAAACCTCCATCTCGTAATAACTGAGCTGCAGCCTGCTTATCACCTGGTCTTTGCAGGTAAGGGCCATGGTAGCTGTAAACCTGATAGAGTGCCTCGCGAAGAACGCGAAAATCTTCTCTTCGCTTGTCTTGAACAACCTTGATAATGCGGCGCATTGCTTGCCGTTGTTCGCGCTTGCGATTATATTCATTGAGGCGTTCCATCTCTCGTTGGGCTCGAGGACTGACAGTGAGATCGATTACAACGGGTGATCTTTCTCTCTCCACAAGAGGGCTATTGGGGCCTCCTTGCGGGGTGGGACTGGGGGTCCTCGCCGCTGTTTCATTCAATTTCATTAGCTGGGAACTGAAATGAATCACGACGTCCTTCACTTACCTTGATATTCCGGAGCAACTACATTGACTACATTAGGACGTAGTCGTGGGTCAATGATGTCGGGATCATCTCTAAGATCTGCGGCAACACGAATACGTTCTTCTCTACGATCCGCCGCGGCAGCACGAAGACGTTCACGTTCGGCGTAACGAGTACGAGCTTCGATAAATCCACGCGGTGAGAAGGCTATACCGTAACTGGTGCCAATCCAGGTTACTGTGTTAAAAGGCACATTGTTAATCAAGTGTTTGTGCGGGGTTATTCAAAACATTTACATACTTTCACCACGGACATTATCCGCTGCAGTCCAATTGACTGATATAAACAGGGAAGAAGAATCAACATAGCTTTTGATAACGGGAATTAGCAAAACTTACCTTCAGGTGATGGCGACCTAGGGGTTGATTGCATCATACACAAGGGCGTTGATTGCATCATACACAAGGGCAGAATTTTGGAGGAGGAATTACCGGTGTCTGGGGTTGATTGCATCTGCGAATTAACTTTGCATGAAGATGAGCTACTGGTCGAAGGCATGACTTCAGCGAAAGAATGAGGATGGCGGTATGTTTCGTTGGAAAAATAAGTTTGCAAGATACACAATGAAGAACGTATGAACAGGAATAAAATATATACTAGGTAATAGTTAGAGCGTATTGATCGATAGAATGGAATCAAACAACTATGAATGAATGACAGAAAAATATAAAAGAGAGGCCCATTATATATGAACCAAGAGACTCGCTGCGGAAGAATGAAATCACATAGGTCGCCGACCACAACGGCGCAGAACACACCCAAAAGCAAATAAGGACAAAGCACACAAGCTGCGAATAATGAAATTACAAAAGAAGACATAGATCATTTCATAAGTAACACATCTACATCCATGATGTCATCCATCCGTAACAGCAATCAGACACCTCGTGCAGCTTCGTGCTTCCCATTGATCATGTCCTTTGCGGCCTCAATGCCATCTCGGGATCTCTCGTCTAGTTTGGTAGTATCTATCATAAGTACCGAAAGCTCCACCATGCGTTCGAGTGCTGAGGTTGCCCGTAAGGCCTGCACCCGGCCCGCTCTTCGCCGGGCGGCCCGCCAGGCGGGCCGGGCCGGGGCAAGCCCGAAAAGCCTCAAAAAGGTGTTTAGCCCGAGAGCGATTTGCGCTAAGGCCCGTCGACGGGCTGGCCCGGGCCCGGCCCGGGCCAGAAATGAGTCAAAGGAGCCATTTTTTTGTTTTTTTCAGCACAATTCTTGTATATTTCAGGCTGAGAGAGAAGAAAAGACAAGAAAACAAATGAGAAATGAGTCAAAGGAGCCCTGAATCTTTTTTTTCAGCACAATTCATGTATATTAAGCAAACAAAGGTAAAAAAAATTTAAGGCGTTTTTGATTGTTTGATGGAGTTGAAAGATAGAAGAAAAAAATCAAGCGTTTTTTTTGTAAGAGTGAAATAAAGACAAGTTGTCCCAGCTTTTGAGGCAAATCGATGCCTCAAAATTCAATGGATCCATAGTAGCCCGTTCATCTGTCCAGACTCTCCCACCAGCAGAGAATGATCGTTCAGAGGGTGTAGAGGTAGCAGGAATAGACAAGTATGCCAAAGCCATACGAGCAAGAGTAGGAAATTCACCGGCGTGAAGACCCCAATATTCTAAAGGATTAACACTTTTGTCGGCGCGTCCACTGGATAAGTACATATCAACTTCTTCTTCAACAGTAAGATTTTTTTTACGAGTGATGAAACGACGTGGCCCATCTTCTTCGGGTTCTGATTCAGCATTATCAACATTTTCTGGTTGTCCTTGATGAAAAGTTGCAACCTCCCTGGTAAATTTGGTTCGCAGTTCCTCTCGGTCATACAGGCCAGCCATCTCAATCGTTAAAGTCGACAGTTCAAGGAGTTTACTTCGGGGATCAAGGACGTTCGCAAATAGATAAACGGGTTTTTGGAGCGCTGATTGATGGTATTGTTGGAGCTTGATTCTCATCGGTCCTATGGCTACTCGAAGGGGTTCGTTTGCATTGCCTTGCCAGGCCTGTCGAGCACGAGAAATTGTTAAGAAGATGTGTAAGTGATTTTCAATACTTATGGAAAATGTTTGGAAACATACCTTGTCCAACTTTTCTAAAATCCATTGATAGACTGGTGCGGCATCGGCAGTTGTTGGGTATTGGGAACCTGATAGTATCTTTGTAGCGGTGTTAAGCGGTGCGAGAAATTCTACAAGATGGGCGACCAAATCCCATTCACTTTCGTTAAGTGAAAACTTTGCATATTCTCGATCATTTTTGGTGCGATAATCGATTGCAGCCTTGAGTCGATAATATCTCTCATGAGCTTCACAATCAGAGTTCCAGCGTGTGTCGACCCGTCTGATAAGTCGAACGTGATCCTTTTCTGGGAGCATACCCTTAACAAGGAGCATAAAAGACTCCACACGTTGTGGAGATGCCTCGACATAGTTGGTAAAGCCAATCAGGCGAGTTAGAGCACTCGAGATTCGTTTGGTGTCTTGATGTAGCCAAGCAGCGAGCGCAGGAGGTAATGAAGGGTTTTTGTTGCCTAGTTTCTCGGAGAACACATGAAGTCCTGCTTTAGCGACGAGGTTAATGACATGCGCGATACATCCAAGGAGGTGTTTGTCAGCGTGGAATTGTGGGACTACTTCTTCAATTTTTCTTCCCATGACAGAGTTGTTAGACGCGTTATCAGCAGTGATGCAAAAGAGTTTATTGATTAAATCGTAAGTCTTCAACGTTTCGAGTAAGTGTTCACCACGATTTTCCCCAGTATGAGGACCGTCGATCAACTTCATTCCGATGATAGCCTCGGACAACTTGAAGTCTTTCAATATCCAATGAGCTGTGACTCCAAGAATCGATTTGTTGTGTTGACTCCATCCATCGCAAGTGAAATTGACGTGAGTAACATCCTTGAGGTGATGAGTAAGCAAGCGTCGACCTTTGATAAACTGAGCCTTGAGGGTATCGGTAAAGGTAGTATGACCAAAGAAGTAAGGCTTGATGTTCGGATTGACTAGCATAAACACATTACGTAGATCCTCAGATTCGACTAAGGAGAAAGGAAGCTCTTCATTGACAATGAGGCGTAAGATAGCGGACCGGAAGGATGAATTTGAGAGCTTCTCACTCTTTTGAAGTAGAAAAGAAGAAGCAGGGAATGAGACAAGAATTAAAAGTATCTACTAAGGTTTGAAGTACTTACTGGCGCAATCCGACCAGTTGTGAGGAACTTGTTCATGTCAACTGCTCCTTTTTCGACGTGCGATTCTTCATCCAGGCCGTGCTTGAGCAGGTGTCGACTCATTGATTTTGTACTTTGAGACGCATCAACTTTATAACTCTTGCCACACGCCTTTTCAGGCTCGAGTTGGTAGGTGCAAATGGTCCTCTTCTTGTCTTTGTTGGTGATCGGATCGACAACGGTTTGAGTCTTAAAATATCTCCACACCCACGATGTCTTGCTGCCGGATCTAGAGTTGATTCGATTAGTTAGGTTGGGGCGAGTGGGGCTGGTTGATCGTACGTTGACACTGATACGCGGATGTGAGGTATCGGAATCTGCGTCAGATAGCACAATTGTCGCTTGCGATCCCGAAGTGGTTTCTTTTGGTGAGGAGAGACGAGCTTGCTTGGTTTTCGAGCGGGGTAGAGGGCTGGTGTTTTTCTTCTTTTTCGATGTCATTTTAACTATAATTGATATGATATCCCGATAAAGTGTATAATACAATTGAGATAATAGAGCGGTGATACTCTCCCTCGCCCTGAAAAAAGGAAAAATGTATTATTATTCCTTTTTTTTTCGAGAAAAAAAAAATCAACAAAAATACCGGGCCGCCCGAGGCCCGCCCGATCTTCCCGCGGGCAACATACGGGCCGGGAAAAGCCTGGCCGGGCCGGGCCGGGTGCAGGCCTTAGTTGCCCGTTCACCCTGTTCTGCTATTCTCTCAGTAACACGGAGCTGAGAGGCCTGATTCGCCAAGATCTGGGGTTGGGTTTCCTCATTGGCGTTGGGCTTAGCGATGCGATTGCGTTTAGCCTTCTTGTTGCCATCGGGTCGATCCATTGTAGGTAGACCTAAACTGTCAAGGTTAGTTGACGAAGAGGAGGAAGACATGAGCTTGTGGGGAATGGCGAAATCGTGATCGACTCCAGATTCTGGACAATGCTCGATTACAGTGGAGTTAGATTTCCACTTAGGAGAACTCTTGAGTATCTCGAAACAAGTAACAAATTTGAATCCAGTGCCAATGTCCGTCTGGTACAAGTCCAAAGCATCCACAAATTGATCGCGAGGTGTTTTTCCGCTCTCTCGAAGCATTTGAACCTGTTGAAGGCATCCAGCGAACTTGGCCATTGCATGATTCAAAGAACCCCAGCGAGATTCCAGTGACTTGAGGGTACGTCGAGATTCTTCTGGAACTCTGCTGTTGAAATCGTCTGTGACCTTTTTCCAGAAATGGCTGCCCTTCTGATCAGTTCCAGTAATGGCGTCTTCGGATACATTAAGCCAGGATCGGCAGAGTTGTTCTAAAGCCGACGTCTTGAACGTAGGACCGCGACCGCCGGCGCTTACTTTAGTGGTTGGAGAAGTTAGTGATACTGAATCATCACGTTCAGGATGTGCACGCTTTGATAGGGTTGATAGCTGCGTATTGGTGGGTAATGGGGCGGTAGATTGCGTCGGGAAAGGCGTAAAATCATCATTTGAGGAATAAACCAAGCCACGAAGGTGATTACTATAGTGGGTACGTGGGTCGATGTACTGTGAAGGAGGGGGAGTATCATATGCATCACGAGATGATGCCAAGGAGCCTCGGCGGTTGGCCTGATCACTGCCGGAATGAGAAGGTAAAAGATCATTACGCCTGTATGGTAAGGACCCTTTGCGGTTGGACTGTTCGGGAGTGAGAGACTCTTCACGCCCGTAAGGTGGATGATTTGGATGTTGTGGAACATTGGAATGAGGTGAACTTCCTAAGTGAAGACCTCGGACTTGGGAAGATAGACCTCCTAAAATGTATACATTAATTACATAGTTAGACAACTGATATCCTCCTTGTTAAAAAGCCTATATTACTCACCACTACCTGGTGCTCGCAAATTCAAGTTGTCTGAGTATTGATATACAGAAGAATCACGATGTCCCCTCCGTGCTGGAGTAAGCAAAGTCAGCAAGCGTTGGAAACATATTGGACCACTCAAGATTGAACTCACTGTTATCTGAGTTATCATGGCCGTGTGGACTTGATGTGTAAGATGAATGCATGAAAAAACAGTAATGGAAACGGAAATAGTAATGGTTACGGAAGGTTTTATGACGCTTAATCAAGGAATCAAGACTGCAGCAAACTACCGCAATTGGGCGCGAAAAGCAATTTATCGTAAGATTACAAATACGATACGAGATATATATAAAGCAGGACGGTTAAAACAAAATGAACATGAAAGAAAATGATTGAGAAATTGAAAGATATTGAGAGAAGGTCTGATGTTCCAATGATGATAGCAGTTTAATAGGTATTGATGGCGCGGCACTACAGGTACGGCGTATGGGTGCTCACATTCAAAATTCAAAGCATATCTAATATTTATCTTTTCACCGCGGAATACGCACTGGGGTGTTTAAAACAACCTCAAAACGCTGATAATGAAGAATGCGCGATTGATCTTTCATTGTACAGTACAAATGATCAATGATCCACTTGATGATGTGTGTCTTTCGGCGGTTAATATGGTTATCATTAGACAAACGTGGTATCATGATGTCCAAAAGATGCCAAATACAGTGCGCCGCATCTTTTGCGGGATCCTCTCATATATGGCGGTCGTGACATGGGATACCCCGTATTCCTCAAAACAATAATCACACGCGTGGCCAGATGTGAGAAGGTTGGCGACCGGTGGAGGGTCGTTTTTTGACCTGACCCTGTAAACGTAACATACAGCTTACGTATCGTTACGTTTACAGGGTGCCGTTGGAGATGCTCTCAGGTCAGCAAATTTGCTGACCTGGCCGAATAATCTGAAACCTGGTATCCCAACGGGTTTTTACCTAACGATGACTAAATAATGATCATCCGTCCAATCATATACGTATATGATACGATTCACCTCCTACTTCATTCTTTATCTCTACAAGGAGGTGCTTGATCACAACGATCGAGCACCACCAATCCTCTCTCTTGATGGTGCGCTCCTGAGAACCACAAGCTCAGTAGGTGTGAGTTCATGGATCTATATCACGGCAACCAATGGCTCTGGCCTCCACACACAACTGGTATCCTTCCTAATAAATAGCGAGCTTGTTGTTGTGGTTTGGTTGTTTGTCTCTGTGTCATCCTTGCTCAAATACATATCTCCACTACTACATACACACACACATACCCTTTGCCAATCCAAATCAAAGTTTTACAACTTCTTTTGTTACATATTCCATCCTCTGCTCCAAAATCGATTTGATTTGCTCTTTGTCTTCCAACTCCTCAAACGTACACCTCCTCATCGCTCAATCATGCAACATACCTTCTCACGTGGTAGCGTAGTTTCAAACTCAGGCCAAAGTATGTATGGCTTATCCTCTCCACACAATGTATTTCTTTATTATATGCTAACATTCGACCTCTCACCGTTCGGAAGGGGACATGAGTGTTAGTCCCCGCCGAAGCTTTCAGGCTCCATTCCACAATGTACCTCAAGCAGCTCACAACAGTAAGTCTGTTTCATATGGTTTTGACTTGGACTTGAACATGATCGTGAAATTAACCTAGCTGATGTTGAACAAACCTCCAACGTCTATATCATTCGAAAACGTAGGGATTCGAAGTTTGATGATCGGTCTAACTGTGGGACGGCACGTCCTATCTGGCACCCAGGCTCAGCAAAACCACGCGGCGTATCGCAACGGCCGTGAGGAATCTTTGGGGGGTAACCATTCTGAGTACAGCAATAATCTCAACCGCCAACCAACCCGGTCACCATCTGTTTCCAAAGATTTTGTGGGCTGGCCTTACGCAGGTGCCCTGGTTTCGACTCCGGCTCTTTCCATCGGTTCAACCTCCTCTTCGCCTTCCATGCGCTTCACTCCTCTAACTCCTACGATGACGCAACCTGGTGCGTCTGCACTCAATCACCGAAGTTCGTCTGTGTCGTCTGTGGCGCCCTCGTCTCCCTCCGACCCCAAAGTCAGCGGTCGACGCGGTGCCAACTTTGATGAAGAATCTCTCAACCAACTTTGCGTTTCCTGGCTACACGTTTCCCAGTGCGCCCTAACTGGTAACAACCAACAGTCGAATGTCTTCTGGGGTAAAATAACGAAACATTTCAATGCCAACCTTGGCGAAGCAAATGCTCGTACTCAAAAGTCGGTCATGGCGCAATGGAGTGCATTGAATCGCTGCTCGCTGGTTGTGTCAAACAAATCAAGAGGCTTAAAGAGTCCGGTAAATCTGCTGAGGATCAAATCATCGATGCTCTTGCTCTTTACAAGTCCGATACGAAATCCGTTTTCAAAGATATGTCGAGCTACAATATTGTCAAGTACGCACTGAAATGGCAACAGAATCCTTTCTACCTCGAGCACTGTGGACATTCAAAAGCTAAAGTTGAAGACTCCTACTCTGATATGGACTTGGGAACTGATGTGGACAACCTGCCTCGAATGGAACGTCCGATTGGGACGAAGCAAGCCAAACAAGGCAAACGAGCCCGATCGACTTTGGCCGAAGAGGTCATGCCTCAGCTGCTCAAAAATTTGAATACGGTGGCTTCTGCGACCAAGGACATAGCCGCCCAAGGTCGAGACGCCCAGAACACGCTGCAGTCCATACTTGAGTTCACTATTCTCACTGCTGATACCAGTGGTCTTGATGAGGTTACACGTGCTGAGATTGAAGCGAGGCGTGGTCGCATCATTGGTCAGGCTCGTGCGCTCCGAGAGGCAGAGGACTTGTAGTTGTGTTTATATAACGTTGTTGCTACGTTTCTTTAGCATTTTACATGACTGTTAATGAAATTGTTGAACGTGTGTTTTCCCTTTGCGAATTATTGTTTGTCGTTGATATTAAGTTCTATACTCTCTTTCTAAATAAATGTTGTTATGGTCACTCTCACTCATGTTTTTACAAATTCTTTACTTTCTTTGATTGCAATTTTTCTTGTTTTGTCGCTTGGTTCATCCGCGGTCGAAATCAAATCGAACTGGCCCAAATGACCTGTTCACATCGCAGCAAGGCTTGCTGCGATTGGTAGTGTGCAAGACGCGTGCTCGCGTGGTCTCATACGCGCTGGTTTGGTATAAAGTCGCACTAATTCTCCACTGCACCTCCTCCTCATTCCCCGTAATCCCCAGAGTGTTTTATATCCTACACACATAACCTCATACTAGTCTTGTCCCAATTTTCATTACAAAAATATTGATTACCACGACACAGTCTTACTCTTACTCATTCACTATTATAATTTACAAATTATGGCACGTGTATGTGACGATGTTGCTTTATGGGGTGTCAGAGCTGCGGGAAATCACGACGAAGGTATGTGTGATTTCCCATCTTTGGTATTCCTTACTAACTCTGGTGCACGGCTGACCACATCACTTCGACCAGATTGTATCATATGTTATGACTACGCTCATCACGTCAGCCAATCAGCACTACGCCGCCAAATGCGACTTCAAGAGGCCAATCGCCAAATGGAATTGGAGAAGGCCAAACGCATCTTAAGATTGCGTAATCAAAGCAAGCGTCGCAGTCAATTCCGGGTCTTGCGCGAAGCGCTGTACCTTCTCACCACATACGAAGGGCCCTACTTACAAAACCCCGGTGACAAGAAACGGGCAGCCTTATTTATACGCAAAAATAATCTTGCTCCCCTGATTACCGCAGATTTTGCGATTGGGGAAGAGAAGTGGGAGTGGATGGACCGACGTGTGGCCAGTCGTATCTACATTATGTAGTCATGTTGCTTCTTTAGTGTTTTTGTTTGCTCTTTATCTGTCTATTGGGTCAACAAACGGTGCGCTCCAAATGTATATAGCCAATGACCGTTTATATTTCACAGGAGCGAGTTGTAAAGAGCAAAAACAATGGTTCAAGAACAAGACGAGATAGAGAGAATGAGAGATTACGCGCGTAAAGAAATATCACCACCTCTCAACAAAGACTCAAAAAGAATGAATGAAGAAAGGTAAAATAACAACACTATCATCTCACAACTGATCAAAACAACATACATATCAGATAAAAGCATTCTGAACATATTTCTAGTTAGACTCAGCATCGGAATCATCATCAAGGACTCTGTGGTTCCAAATATGCTCGATGAGGTCATTGCGGAGCGCTAAGTGAGCATCTAGAGAACGGAACGCTTCGCGACGGCGCAAGTAACCGGCATTAAGTCCTGGTGGACGCTGGAGAGGTGGAGGTGGCAATAAATCCTCATCGTCCAAATCAGAAACCCGAGCATCCCCTTGATCCTCTATGACCATGTTATGCAAAATGATGCAAGCATTCATGATTAGGGCGAGGGATGAGGGTTGCCACATTCGCGCTGCACCAGTGACAATGTGAAAACAAGCTTGTAACACCCCAAAAGCGCGTTCAACATCCTTGCGAACCGATTCTTGACGTTTGGCAAATAACTTGAAGCCAAACGAGTAGAAGTGAAATAAAGTCAGTACCCCAATGATAGAACCAAAGTACACCAGATAAAACTGCTTACCGCCAATTTAGGAGTGGAAGGGGCGCTAAAGGTTTGTATCAATGTAGACCATTTTGGATAGATACCATCGGCGAGATAATAGCCCGTGGTGTACTGACTTCCATTGACCTCAAAGTTAACGGCCGGAGCAACACCTAGTGATAATTCATCGAAGAGATTTGATCGCTCCAAAACGTTGATATCGTTTAAAGACCCAGGTAAACCAAAAAAAGAGTGCCAGATCCAGAGGTTTTGAGTCGCCACCGCCTCGAGAACAAGAGTTGGAGAACCAGAACGGCCAGCGTAATGACCTTGCAGAGCTCTGGGGCAATTATTCCATTCCCAATGCATGCAGTCGAGTGAGCCGAGCATACCAGGGAATCCTCTCGCAGCATTTTTGGCGGTGATTTTATTGATGTCATCGGCGGTGGGTTTTCTTTGATAGTGAGGACTGAACAATTGGATGATGCCACTGCAGAAACGAAGGAGACAATCAATGGCGGTGGATTCCCCGATTCGCAAGTACTCATCTTGTTGATCGGCGGAAGTACCATATGCAAGCTGACAAACGGTGGCAGTACACTTCTGGTACGGAGAAATTCCTGCTTTACCTAGTGGGTGGTTGGTAAACGTCAGCACTACTGAACCGGCAGATCAGCACTGAACTGAACAGGCAGAGCAAAACCAAAGGGACCTACCAACAGCATCACTGCGCTGGGTAAAGTAGACATCATGTTCGCCAAGAGTTTCCACGATTCGAACAAACAATCGACGGCTCATTCTGAAACGACGACGGAAAAGGCCTTCGCCATAGACAGGAGTGGGACCAAAATAATCCTTCATGAGCCTGGCATGGCCCTCCTCAGCATTGAGAAGTAAGTTGGGGGAACGGCTGGGGCGAGATCCACCTGGACCCTTCGATTCTTCTAATGACAACACCAAACTCAGCATATCTGAGTTATAGGTGGATAGCGGCGAGAAAACTTGAGCACGAAGCGAAGAAGCAACCTGGTATTGAGCGAGAAACTCTACTACGTTGACAGTCATTGTGATAGCAAATAAAGGCAATGGGCAAGGGAACTTCAATGTACTATATACGGGAAAAATTAATAGAATAGGATACACAGGAAGGTAGGATAGGAAGGGTGAGTTGAAGTCCAATCAAAGGTTGAATATATATCTTTCAACGACCTTGAATCCGCGCTCAAATAACACAGCTCGGCTATCTTTTGATCCCGATGGCGGATCTGAGCTAGTTCATTATGCGCTCTATGTACCCATGGATCTTCAGAAGAAGGGCTACCTTGATAAGTGATCGAGCGTGCTATATGCGCGGCCTATCGAACACAAAACGGTGAGGGAGGCATGAACGAGGTTGTACGTAGTTGATTGGTCACGTTTGGGTAATTTTGGATGTGGATGACGAGGGTTGAACCTCAAAATGACCCTATGGGGAATTCAGAAATAAGTACAGCTACGCGCTGCAGGGCGCTGTCAGCTGAAAAAAAATACAGCTGTCCAGCCGAGGAAAAATATGCTCTGTACAAGTTTTCGGATTCGGGAACATTGGAGATGCTCTAAGGCGGTTCAAGAAGAGATTTGCAAACACCCTGCACGCAGGTTGGCGATCAGGTATTTTAAGGATGGACAGTCCTTAAAATTTGTGTTTGCAAAGTGACGAACACCTCTAATTTAAGTTTTAAGACCTGGGAATTCCAGGGACAACATTTCTAAAAGCGCCATGGTCATTTTTTTTCTTCAATCCAACAGTTTTTTTTTGTCTTTGCTATTTTTTTTGGTTTTTTTTGGAAAAAATCAAGGCTTCTTGCTGTTCATGAAGAAACAAGATTCTGGTCCATCCCCAGATCTCATCAAACCGGATTCCTACGTTCCCTCACAAGATTTCAACTTCTTCTTGGTTTGGTACCCTTCTTAACCGCCGAATCAGATCGGGATCGATTTCGAAGGGAACATGCCAACTTGGAATGCGAGAAACAGATTATGGAAGACGTACCTGGCTGGGAGGCTGGCAAGAGCGTTTATAACTCAAATTCAGTGCTCAACTCACCTCACATCTTTCTTCATAATCGGATCGTTGACTTATCTTGTTCTCATCTCATTTGCTTTGATCGGATGGATTGTGCTACTTAGAAATTATGTACCCAAAACTATCGTGCCCATGTAAAGATGCCGACATTCTGCTTAGTAACATGGCTCAGTCAAACATAGCCTTGATGTAAGCAGTGTACACACCATAGACAACACTTGAGATCGAGCTCATTCCGAGGTTTATGCATTTAATTACTTCGAGCATAAGTTTGAAGACAATCTATATGAAAATCTGTTGGGCAGGACACAAGATTGAATGACAAAGAAATAGTAGATGAACAGACTCAGACTAATCATGTTGGAGATATAACAAGTGCCAAACCTCCAGGAAACGTTGATTGATAGTGAACATGATTCTATGACTCCTTGACCATCAAGACATACAAAACCAACAAGAGACTATCTTCTAGCATACGGACAATTATCATTCTTCCAAACCGCTCCAGCACCAGTCCTAATCTGGTGCGAGGTCTCCTACAAAGAGTCTAAAATGAGCTGTTTGATAATGGGAGAGAAAATGACAAAGGTAGATGAGCAAAAGGGATCGCTTGTAGGAATGAAGAGGGAAAGCCCGAGTGAAGGTTTATGAATGTATGAAAGTGAAACTCAACCAGGATCCCACTCCATCAAAGTTTGATCTTCCCAAGTTTCTCCACCTGCTTTACCAATCACTGTAGTTCTAGCCTTTCCCTTATTAGCCTTTTGAACGATATGCGGATTCTGAACCGCATCAGGAGTATAGATAGATTGTTGAGCCGCTACGTTTGCATCAAAACTTGGATCGACATTCGAACCAGAAGCACTGGCACCTAAAACTGCTGAAGAAGTTGGATCGTAGTAATTAGACGACGTATGAAGGTTTGGAGCTGATGAATCAGTTTGTTGAGGTACAGCAGCATAAGATGCTTGATAAGCTTGTAACTAGGATGGAGGATAGTGGTTGTAACCCTGTCCATGCGTGAAAGCCGAGGGTGTCGACGTGACCGCAGGAGTTTGGCCAGACCAAGAAAAGCATAAACCAAAGTGATCCGCCCCGCGTCCGTTTTCGATGAGGGGCTTGATGTGTGTTTGGACCCTCCTTGTTCAAATGATGTTGTTAATGAAAGAGAAGAAAAAAATCCAAAAAAAAATTTGGACAAAAAACCGTTACATCCAGGAACAACTAATGTTTGGAAAAAAGACAAATCGTAATTTTTTTTGCTCAAATGTTCCTGATTCTTTGGAAAGCTTTATAAATTTTAAGACAATTCATGAGATCGCAAAACAGTGAACCACCTCTAAAGGTGGTTCACCAACTTAAAATTTTACTTATAATTTAAGGCTCCCAAAACTGATTTAAAATTTTAAAAAAGGCTGTAAAAGCCCTTCTTGAACCGCCCTAATGTGTCATTGCCGGATTAAATTAAGACGTCCAAAACTCGAAAATCACCTTATGAGATCAAAAACTTTAATGTACCCGCTTTACATGTAAGTTTAAATTTCTCTCTCCTTATATTCCCATTACACTCCACTGTCCCATACCGGACCCGGTTAATGGATTTTTTTTTTCTTTTTTTTTGGGGGGGGTATTCCCTGTTTACCGTTTTGATTTTCGTTCCAAACATTCCCTCCTTCGACCACAATTTTCCATTTCTTCATCACTCGCATCACGATTTCTCTCAAACTTCCCATTGTTCACATCGAATCTTCTGTTGTTGTTCAGTGGCCCGCACGTAGTGGCTTCCGGCTACGAACGTTGGCCGCTGTTTCTTCTTGATTTGGAGAACTTCCACCTCCTTCATATCACTTCAAGCAGTCAGAACCCACCAATCTGCCCTTCGCACCCACTGAAAACACCTCGATTTCAGTTCTTCGAATCACATCAAACAAAGTGTCTCATCAAATCTCACTCGGATCCATAAATTGTGAGTTTTTTTCGTTTTTCCCACACTACCTCGCAATACTGACATTGTTCTTTTGAAAGATGCCCATCAACACCTATCCCGCCGAAATCAAGCTGGTCGTGGTTCGGATGGTCATGCGTGGCATTCGGTTCCATGATATCGTTGCGACCCTTGGCGTCGACGTTTCCCTCTCATCAGTCCGCCGATGGTTTGACTTGTATCAGACAACTTGAAGCGTCATCACAAACCCCGAAAATCACATGACCCCAGGTGCTCGCCCAGTTTTAGGTCCAGCTCAGCAGGAATTCATTCTTGAGTCGCTTCAACACGATCCAACCTTGTTTCTAGACGAGCTTCAAGAGAAAATCATCAATCGTTTTGGCTTTGTGGTGTCCCTCAAGACTCTTTCCAACGAACTGTGATTGCGCCTCGGATGGACTCGCAAGAAGGCTCGCACAGTCCATCCGAATCAATCGGCAGAAGCGCGAGGAGCTTATATTGGTCAGATCTTTGGCATCGATCCGCAATGCCTTGTTTTCACCGGTGAGTGACATATTTATCTTTTCTTCCTTATGGTTAGTTATGATCCTGTACTGATCATACATCTTTCTTAAAGATGAAACTGCAGTGAACAAACGCCATCTATACCGCGATTACGCACGGGCACCACGTGGCGAACGCACTGCGCGGCTTGAGAGGGCAACTCGGTCTCAGAGATGGTCTGTATTACCAGCCATCTCCTTAGGAGGCCTGGTGGCCTTAGCTATCCAGCCCGGCGGATACTCAAGAATTGATTTCGAGGCTTACTTAGAAGATCAATTAGTAAGTCTCTTTTTTTCTGCGTTTTTGTTTCTCAGTTGACTGACTTATGGAATCTTGCATTATGTAGTTGCCAGCTATGAATCCTTGGCCGGCGAGAAATTCCGTCCTTGTGATGGATAATGCTCCTATCCATCACGGAGGGAACATTGCTGAGCTTTGTGAAGCCCGAGGAATCCGGCTACTCTATCTTCCAGCGTATTCACCGGATTTCAATCCCATCGAATTGGCCTTTTCACCGCTCAAATCTCGTCTGAAAAGAAGCAGAGCGCTGCATCTTGCAATCAATGTTGCTGGGGAAGAGGTATCTATATTTGTAACCTGTATGAATTTATTCACAGCGCAACTTTGCACCAAAATGTTCCACAGTTGTCGCTATATTTGATACTTTGTTGAATTCTAAATAAATTGCAAAGGTTATTGATATGACTTGTAACTTCCATTATATTTTATATACAAAATTCCTTATGTGCGTGCTATCAGTAATCAAACCAAGCCTCTTGCTCTTGCAAGAAGACTTGCTTCACCAGTTTCACACTAAGTCTGAACACAAGCAAACTTCGTTGAGAGTGCCTTTTTTGTTAAAGGTCAAGTGCCTTTACACGAGCAAACTTAGTTGAGAGTGCCTTTTTGGTTAAAGGTCAAGTGCCTTTTTGGTTATAGGTCATGGAAGCCTTGAATTTAATCACCGTGGACTTTGCTCTAAAACGTTCAGGACGTGCTGATGGGACCTCCGGTATCACACTTGACTAAGGTTCGTTTTATTGGATTCTGACTTTCAAAGGACTTTAATTTTCATTCAATTTCGACAAATAGATATAATAGGAAATCAATTTAGATAAGTAGATTTGGAAGAGGTACGTAATCAAGAACAAGTGAACATAACTCGATATATATATTTTTATAGCCATATCTATCAAAGACAAGACTTAGATCATTTCGGAAAGGTACAGGACAACAACAGGGTTAAGACTTCGGACAACAATGTGATGCTGCTTAGATATATATTTAATGTAAGTCAGTCAAATACCTCTTTTTTTTTGGATACATTCTGCACTGAGATGGCATACACACGGAAAGAGGGCATTTAATCAGTTCAAAGGGTTACATTTGGGAGTTCGAAATGAAAAGAAACTGCTTACACTTTGAGAAACGAGCTTGAGCTTCAGTCAATAGCCGGTTGGCTATTTGTCGGTCGATACCCTTGGAGGTCAGGGTGGATTCAGTGAGCTGGAGGCTTGGGATGAAGTCGGTCCACGACTTAAACCCGGCTTCTTTGATTAGGGTTCTGGTCTTTTCGTCTTCAAACGCTATGTTGCAGTTGGAGAGGAACAATTCCAATTCCACCGAGTGAGCGGTGGAGGGGAGCTCGAACTTGATGGAGATACTGCGACTTTCACTTTCACTTTGCCAGTCGCTTTTGAATTCGCTAGAGACATATATTGGATCATTGATGGTATTGCTGAAATCTGGAGAAGGAGATTCCGATAACTATCAGTAAGTAAGTCTATCGAAGTTGGTATTCCATGAATGTTAGCTCACCTGGTTCGACCTTGATCTTCTTCAGGTCGGGCTTGATATCAAGCATCTCCCCAGGGTTGGATGCAACCCGCTTTTCACCTATCTTCACCATGTCCGCCTTCATATTGGGCATGGAGCTGGAATGGGAGATCGAGGAATGTTTGTAGGTAGGATTCTTCTTGGAACCGGATCCACCGTGTTGAATAGGATGATCTGCGGTGTCGAATCCTTGGGCTCCTTGAGGTTTACCTTGTAAACGAAGTTGAACTCGATGATCCACCCCCATGTCAGGGTGGATCCACCGATTCTTCTTGACCTCGTAGCGGAACTCGGATGTATTCGGCGGTATATCGGTGGTCGCAATGTTGGCCACCTATATTGATAGGTTGTAGTCAGATACGAAAAACATGGTCAAAAGCGACGGAAAGATGACTTACAGCACCTTGTGCCCAAATCCAGGCACCGTGGTAAGTCAATTTATATTGACATGTTGGATCCCAGGGCGTAGTTAAGATCTTTCCAGGGCCACCGTTGGACTTTTCGATCGCATGTTTGCTAAATATCTCGTTAGCAAGAGTACGCAACTCTTGCTCTTTCACTGCTGCCTGTGAACGAGCGAGAGAATAGGCCAATCAATAAAAACATCCATGATTGTATGTGATATACTCACTCACCTCGGATTCTTGTTCTCCCGATCCGCCTCCAGTAGTCATCGTGATGAGCTTCTTAGTGGCAGAGGCCTGTCAAAACAAATGAGTCAGACTCAAGGATAAAAGAGGAAGAAAGAGGACAACAATTGAGCAGAAACCAAACTTGCCATATTAACCTCTTTAGCTTTGACTTGCACCTTATCATTCTTGATAGCGACAGTACATTTCTTATTAGTCGATTTCTCAAGAGCATTGACCAAATTTTGCCATTGTTCATAATCCTCAAGAATGAACTTGGAGCGTCCGATAGTAGCCATCCACTTTAAATCAGGCAATAACGGACTATGGAGAATGACCTGTTTCATACCTCCCTCGTACTTTTCACAGGCATCAGCGACAAGGTCCTTGATTTCATTCAAACTCTTGCCAAACGGGCAAATCTTTGTTTCAAGTTTCCCATTGTTGATTGCTTTGGAATCAATGAGATTGAGTTTGGAACTCTTCGCAGCCTTCTTACCAGCCGCAACCTTGGGGGTGCTCGGATCCGGAGAATTGATATCGACCTCCTGATCGGTATAGATCTTGAATCTAACCTCGAAAGTCATCAGATTGTTTTGATCGAATTGATCTCGACCTGGCGTGCCAACTTTCAGTAAAGGATCTTGTCGGTTACAGGTTGCTCGTCTATCGTCTCCCACTCTTTGATCAGGCAATTCAAACACTGAAAATAGAAAAGGAATCAGTTGAAATGTCGAGAAAGGATGTGTTAAGGATGCACTCACATGAGTTCATGTAGCCAGTCGAGGCGGTTGTAGCCGGCGCCGTCAATGGTGAGTTGGACATGTCGGAAAACTGTAAAAATCCAGATTAACATAGGATCGAGTGAAATAGGATGAATGTGACAAACGTTGAACGGAAGAAGTTGGATGGAGAGTTTGTGATGAATAAACGGAGAAAATTGATACGAGTGATAATTTATGGATAGTGACGATTTGGTAGATAATACGCAAATTGTGAAAACAGAATCGATGAGATCAGGATGAAAGATCGTGGCGATTTGATGAAGCAGGTTGGAGGTGGAGTATTTGAATGTCGAGGTGTAGGGTGCTTTCCTATCGAGTGACATGATTGGTCGTTGGAGAAGCGTTTTTCCGGCCATTCGTTGGGGAGATGGATAGCCGGAATTGAGAGACGAGTGAGGGAGAATACGAAGACGTATGAGATGGAAATCTAAGGAAATGCTGAACTATTCTGTCCAATCATTCATCAAGGACAGTATAGTTCAGTCTGAAAGTGCAAAATTTTTGAGTTTTGGACTTTGAGAGAAAAATCCGGCGACGACACAATTTCTCAAAAAACTGCCATTAGTTCTTACATCGGCTGTAGTTGACAAATCTCCATGTGGCACATCGAAAGGGGGCCACGGCTTTCTAGACGCTAGTTTTTGAAAAGATATTTCGTGGTTGAGTTACAGTCAATTTCACAAAGCTTGGAAAGAATTCCGCGCCAATTTGCCCAAGTTTGGCGGGCAAAAGTTTCCAAGCTTTCTGAAATCGACTGTAGTATGTACACACATATGCGCCCAGCTAATCTCCAACACTTGTGAGCGAATGGCGGATGAATGATATTGCCAAATCTGGGTTAATGGGTTATTTGTTGAGGTATGTAAGCGGGACCCTACATCCTACTACATATACCTCCCAGTCAACAATGCAATCAAATCACTCGGGAATAAGATGTCCATTCATTTTACAAGATCATACATCTGATTATGAGTAAGGTTCATGATCTTGAGCCTGTTATTCATGCATTCATACAGACCTATGGAACAGCAACATTCGAGTAATGCTGCTTTGCCCTTGTACATTATTTCGAGAGATACACGATCATCCATCCACGACAAGCCTGTGGAAGGAGCCGGGAGCCGGGAGCGGGAGCTCCCCAGACAGACAACACGCTAAGAGATTCTTATGGACAAATGAAATGGACAGATGCTCTTTACTGTTTGATTTGGTGTGAATTGTAGAAGAGCCTTGGTTGCTTCAATTTACCTTGTCTCTAGCCATGACTTGATTTATTGCTATGAGGTTAACATCAAGACCTAGTGATTTGTTGTACATCATTAGTTTTAAAAAATGATGATGAAATTATGAGACCGACTTGGAATCAAGAAAAAGTTCTAGACTCCAATTGGGTCAAGTCCTTGAGTTCTGTGACTCGGCTGACACCCTCTTTCAACCACATTAATTGGCAGCCAAAAAGACATTGTACGTGCATAGGTCTCGCCTGACATATCATCAATCACTCAAAAGCACCGTAGACCATGATTATCAATAAGGAACTTTGATTTCCCGAAACCAAAATCTAGAAAAATTCAAAACGTGTTTACAAATTGTTACTTGCCGTCTATGTATCATGACATACAACTTCAAATTCTAACAAATTACTATCCTTCATTCATCTTTCAACTTGATCTCTTTCTAAATCTCCAACTTCCTTTAACAATTCTCGATCACCAAGTAATTGAGTTAAAACAAATTTAGCAAACCTAGGCTCTGACCAATATGCTGCATGAGCTGTGACCTAAAAAACCCCCCCAAAAACAAATCCCAGGATCAAAAACGAAGATCAATGATGGAAAACGAGATGGTAATGTTTATTTACCATATCTAGATATTGGTTCATTCCTAAACTAGGGATCACAAAATCTACACATCCAGTAGGATTCAAAGCCTCGAATCTATCCACAGATATGGTCAAAAACTCAACTTTTATTTACGAGTCCTATGAGACCCTTTGGAAGAGCTCATTGATAGTAGTCATGATAGAAGCTTACCTGAGTTGAGCATCAGAAACATCATCCCGCCTCTTCTTTACATTGATAGTTTCACTCACTGAGCTATTCTGCTTATTTGAAGTCCTTGAAATTGGCCGCTTCCGATCAGCTTGTTGCTCTTGAGTTGACTCAGCGTCCTCTGCGCCATTCGTCTCGATTAAAAGCTCCTCAATCGCAGGTGTGTCTGGTTTACAGTCAGGCTTTGGAGATCTGAACCAGCTTGAGCGTTTCAGGATAATTGATGAGATTGATGCTAATGAACCTATATGTTTGATTCCTCTTTTTTCATTGATTGATGCGCGAGATTCAAACAAAGTCAAGATGTTTTGGGTCATGGAGGTGACATCGATCGGCCGTATCTGCTTCGCATATCTTTTTCATCAACATCAACGGTTGATCACGAGCAGGCATCGATAAAAACGTTAGCAGATCATCTTACATCATAGTAGACATGGTACAAAATTTGTTCACGAACTTGGAATCGACACCTGTTCGTGTCGAGTAAAGTGGGGAGAAGTTCTGCGTCAACAAATGCCCATATTTTCTGCCGTGGATTTTCTACATATAGGCACTTCTATAGTACAGTTGACACTTGAGTAGATCAGAAAAACTGCCAAATAGCTGATGTTTCTGCTCTGCTATCGAGGCACATAGGCCCATGTGCGTCATCCATAGGCAGGGTGTACATAGAAGGAAAGGATACAAGTCAGATTGAGAAACTCAACATGCATTCATACCTGTACCGACATTAAGCCCATAAATTCAAATCAAATCAGCGACATTCTTTTCAGAAGAGATGTTGGATAACACTCACAATATGATACAGGGTCAGTGGAGATATAGACATTGTAGACGTTTTCTGCTGCTAGACACCCATAGCGGCCAACCTCATCGGTGGCAATTCTCTTTTTTCGTTTCCATTCACTTGATGGATCGGATGCCTTGTTTGAAGGTAACCTTGCAATCAATTGTGCTCGGTGTAAATGGAAGAAAAATGCGACCTGTTGAAGTTTGAGCGACATTAGCCAACCAATAACAAGCTCTTCAGGTTGCGATTCAAATGTCTTGGAAGAGAACCCGCGACATACCGGACTTCCCACGAGAAAGACAGTTTCGGTGCCGAAACAGAACTGGAGGCTTTTCTCGCTTTCTTTCTCCCGCCGGTCTTCAACTCGTTCCTGGCGTGCGTCTCTTTCATTCGTGCACGAATCCCCATCACGAGCCATATGATCATATGAAGAGTTCCCAGGGACTTCGGTGGGTTGTAGAGACAAGATGTCGACTGTCAAGGCAGCACCAAGACTGTGAGCGATGATTGAAACTTTCTTTCCAGTATAGTAGGGGTTACGGCGGCAGAACAGTTGATAAACTTTGTTGGCTTGCTCCTTTACTGCTTCTGTCATCAGTTTATGTTGCTTAGGAGACATGTAAAGAGGTACGTCCAAGACTAAACCCGTGATTACCTCACGAATAAAGTTGATACTACCCTTAACCTAGATAGGAAATCATCCAGACCTCCAGTCGGAAAAAGAACTCGAAGTGTAACAGGAATAAAGAAATGGAGCTGGTAAAGAGAAATAAATCACCTGAATATCCTGCATGGTGAATTTATTGGTACCTCCACCCTCCTCGTCACTCTGTTCAGTCCCAGAGTCGTCGTCATCGAATCCTTCCATTTCAAAGTTGAGTGAGTGTCGCCATCTGATAGGCTTACTCCACAAATGTCCACATGTGAGTCTCAGTGAATTGATCAGATCGCGGGGAGGGCGACATACAATGAGCTGGATCCTCCTCTTCTGCAGAAGCTTAGGCATCCTTGGGTCAGACTGTGTGACTTTGTTACATTCCAACCTCAACTGATTACAGGCATGTACAAAGTCGAAAGTCTCGTAAGATTGGGCTAACTATATGGGTCGAGGTATAGCCGAAAAAATGTCGAACACATTGAAGGTGTTTGACAACACCGGGTAGAAATCAGGTAAGGTCAGTGATTAACTTGCAGGTGGCCACGACCCTGCGAAAAGGGCAATGAGGATCATGAATGTAAATTGACCTTTTGCCCTATGCCATGAATGACGAGTACAAGCTGGGTTACTTCCCCCAAGGCTTCATCTTCGGCGCCTTCCTCTTCCAACATATCAGCAGTCGTGTTGGTTCCACTAGCTGCTTTGTTTTGGACAGGCACATCTTCAGCTTTCGCGATATCGGGCTGTTCGTTGGCCGCACTGTTCCATTTACGGATGTTATTCCATCCTCTGACCACAACCGTTCCTCCACTGTATTGTGTTTGTTTCCTGGAAATGCTACCGAAGAAGTTAGTAAGCAGCTTCTTGCTCAATTGACTGCTCACTGCAGTCGAGTAGATGCGACCGTGATATGGTGATTGGAATATGACGTCGTGATTGTAACTTGGAAGGTGAAACTTGAGCTTATCCTCTGCTTCTGTACCGATCTGAAGTGCAGAGCGAATCTCGTCCTATACGTTGTGGATGATCAGTCACCCGATGGCGGGACTGGATATGATGTGGTAGACAAACTTACTTCGTATGACGAATCCCAAGGTCTGATTCGTTCATAAGCCTCCTCTAATTCCTCACACAACTCCGGTTCACAGGGATAATATTTTGCTAGGACAATAGTCTTGTTAAATAAGAAACGATCGCGTCCGAATCGAGGTAGATGTCTTTCGGGATAAGCGTTCTATCAACTCACATTTACTACTCGAAGCGTAAAACCATTCTCCTCGAAATACGTTGATGCTAGGACCCTGCCAGAATGCCGGAGATAATTTCAAGTGTCTGACATCTGTTTTGTATCGTATTTATCATTTTCATCGCCAATGTCGCATTGAGACGAGAGTGGGCATTTGTAGCAGGATGTAACAACACTAAGTTTGTGTCCCACTGATACCGAATAAAATTCATCGAGGCTCACCGACAGTGAACATTGAATCCAATCCCACCGGAATAATGAATGGTTCGTCATCAAGAGATAAGTTTAAGACCAAATTTTCTTCTTCTTCTTCACTTCCATCTATTTCAGCTGTATCTTCCGATATCAATACATTGATCTCATCTTGTCGAGGGGGATTATCCGACGGCTGAGATGGATTTGAGTCTAGAATTGAGTCAATAGATCAGTCAATATGATTTGATCCATGATCGATCGTGCGTCTTCCTACACTTCACCAAGGGAAGTGTGGATGCAAGAGTCTGGTGCGCATTTGAAATTATATAGCCAATCGTTCACCTAGGAGTAAGTTTAGTTTGTCCAGCAAATCCTCTCCAGTACTCATTTCAGACGTCGACGAAGCCCTTCCACTCTTGACAGTACACGCCGATGATGTTGCTTCCTCTACCCCCGGGCCTTCATTGGGTGCATGATGCTTGCCACTTTTGCCGAGATTGGTGGTGGTGGCAGAGCGTTTGTAGTGCTTCTTTGCCCGCCTTTTCTGTGATTCACTGAGCTTCTTCCAAGCCTTTTCAAGAAGTTTATTCTCCTGACTGTTAAACGCGCTACAGACAGTTGGAATGCGAACAGGCACTGGTTTTGAGCTTGTGGCGGTCGGAGTCTGATTAGAAGTGGCGACTGTAGCATTTGAAGTATTTGAAGTTGTTGTGATAGGTACTATTGAGTTAAAGTCAGATAATGCTGGACCAGTGTGAAGAAAACGAGTGATAAGGGGAGGCTTTGACTTGAATTCGGGCATGATAGATGTTGTCACGGTGGTACAAGCAACAAAGATCAAGTTTAAAGTGATCAAAACCAAGTGTGAACTTAAATCTCGAATGATGTCATACTTGGTTTCTGACAGTCAGAAACTCAGTACATAAGACTTAAGCCCTCAAAAAGTATCTAAACCTTTGTTCACGACTCCATAAATAATTCAAACACTTTTCATAATAAAAACACAAGGTCTTATAACACAACCAACCACGAGACATATCAATTCATACTCATGGCCGACAAAAGACGCGTTAGGGTCAGTCAAATAGATCCCGATCATCATCAATGGCAAAAAGCTCAAACGACTACCAAGTGATTTACTTCTCATCTCCTTCTGCTCGAACGATTTCAGGGTGTAGCGGTTCATCGACCAATCATCTACGGAAGCGTAGCAACCCTTATTCCAGAAGCTGAACGTGAAATTCCAGAGCGTAACATGAGATGGACGATTGCAGTCAGATCTGCAGCTTCACCTCCACCCGATTCTCCAATCTTAAAAAGTCGAATGATACGAGATGATGTATTAGGTGGTCAAGATGATATTTCACAATATATTAGAAAGGTGACTTTTAAATTACATGATTCATATACGAATCCGATTCGAACAGTAGATAAACCTCCATTTGAGATCACCGAGACAGGTTGGGGAGAATTTGTGATTTTGATTAAAATATTTTTTATACCTGAAGCTGGAGAGAAACCGATTCAAATACCTCATGCACTCAGATTTCATCAATGGACTGAACCTGCTCCACTCACACATACACCTTGGCTCGATCCAATTCCTGATGAAGTCGCTCAAGAACCCTCACAAACCGAAGCCTCTACTCAGAACCCTCCATCACCCAAGCCAGAAACAGATAAACCAACTGAACCCGAAGCACCAGTAACGCAGCCTTCAATACATTCTTGGCAATACGATGAGATTGTCTTTACTGAACCAACTGACACATTTTATCATAAGCTCATCCAACACCCGCCTACTCCTTTACCCGCTACAAATCGATATGGATCAGAATACGTCAAACAAATTGGTAGTAAAGGTGAATCTGGAGAATTCACTTTAGATATTGAAGAACGTGAACAAAAGAAATTGAAGTGGGCAAACTTAAAGGTGTTGATTGAGATTGATAGGTTGAAAGGTAAATTGATCAGGGATGAACGCGAGTTGAAAAAGGGACATTCATCATGACCTACCATCAAGTTCAGAAATGTATATTTATACACATGTATGTATTTAGGTCCGATCATCTCATTCTTACCACTATCTTGGTGATTGCTTTATCCTCGTTTGATACCCTGAGGACTCGAGATAAGTGAGAACGACTCCACAGAATGTGCTTTCCAATGTGTCTTTTGAGCAAGCTGAAGACGATTGGGCGAGAGACTGTAAGAAAAGTCGGATGGATGAAAGGTCAAATGAGACCATCATCACAGAGACTGATTTGATATGTAACAAGTTTACAATAAAAGAAGAACTTGATGTGATCTTTTTGGGTATGATTCTGACCAAGGCTACTATGGATAAAGGATAAATTAGTGGAATGTAAGAATCTGAAGGTTCATTTTACAATGCAATGTTCAAATGAAAAAATATGTATTTCCTTTGACCAAGGTTTTGCACCATGTTACATCAATTGTTTCATTGATCAAAACTTTCTTCTTTTTGAAAACAAGATCAAGAGAAGATCTTTATGAAAGACATTCTTCAAGTTCAAGCTCTAGTACTCTAGTCCCTTGAGTTGTTATCAAAAGCATTTGATTGGAAATCAGTTTTGATTACAAGTTCATTGAAGTTTGAACCACTTTACTTACATACCTGGTTGAACTTGCACACACAACTTCTTCATTACTTTTGTTGAAAATTATCAATTTTCTCGCCACACAACACAAACCAAAACTTTGTCCCAAGAAAATATCAAACTGAAGATTGATTTAAGTACATAGTACACATGCAAATTGAAATTAAATTACTCTTTACATCATTAAAAAAAAACACATTCTCATTCTATAGATTCTACTCACCTTTTACTAGATTGTAAATATGCATACCTCTCTCTTTCTCTCTCTACATTAACCAAAAGAAGAAGAAAAAAACAATACATTATGTTTGATATGAAAAGATAAATGAAAGTTGATAAATGCAAAAAGAAAAATGAATTATTACCAAACTATTATAAAAAAACCATAGATCTGATAGACAGACAAAAGAAAAAAACAAATACATAAAATAAAGAAAATCATCAAGTTTGATTCACCAAACACGTCATCATCATTATCATCAAACAAAAAAAAATCAATTCAATGAATTCATCAAGGTTTAATATCTTGTCTCCATCTACTAATCGAATCTACTGTTCTTCTATCAGGTCCTTCAACCAAACCACCTTGATAACTTACACTTCCATCCGGATTCATCATCATCATAGGTGTATTTCCAATAGGTAAAGGTAACATAGATTGATGCATAGCATAACCAAATGCCGAGTTTTGTTGTTCAATTAACATATTCATCATCATTTGTTGTTTTTGTGATTCTGGAAGTTTGGCAGCTAATGGTACATCATCTTCATCTGATCCTACTTCTTCGGTTTCTTCTGTGACTCTTTCAATCATTTTATTCTTTTTCTTTTTCGGTCTTCTAACTGTTCCTGTGGTCGAATGTGCTGCTCTAGTTACTCCTAATGGTACATCATCATCTGCATTCTCTTCTGGATTGTTTCTTCCTTCTAATGCTGCAAGTGTATCTGCTCTTGCATTCTCGGCTTTCACTGGGCTAGTTACCCCATTAATCGATTGATCAAGTGGTGAGGTTAACAAAGCTAGTTCTTCAATCTCTTCCACTTCAGGGATCTGTGATGAGACCGGAATACCTCCAATCTTTGTGGATGAGATTGAAGGTGTAAGTCCAAGATCAGGAGTTGTTAATTCTAACTTCATGTCCAAAACCGGAGCGGACGATGGCATCGCAGAGGCTCGCTTAGCCAAGGGGACATCGTCGTCCTCATCTTCATCAGGTATTTGCGATTGAAGAGGCATAAACGAGCCACGTAACCTCGAATTCGGTAGTTGAAAGTTATTCAATGAACCAAATTGGGACATGCGGTTATATCCAGTTCCACTTGCTGCATAAAGTGGGTTAAGAGATGACAATCGGCTTGCCAACGGAATATCGTCATCATACTTCATACCCAATGGCACATCATCCGATCTTCCACCTGTAGAGCGATTACTAGCGTTCACTATTTCCTCCGTGCGATTGGTTTGCAAGGGCCCACGTATAGGTTTAGTGATTGGAAGGCCTGATGTAAATTGTGATGAGGCGCGGTAACCCAAGGGTACGTCATCGTCTTCGGCGCTGGGTGAATCGGCTAGTGCTTCCTTCTCCTCTTCATCCAATGAACCAGAGGCAGCTTTGTGATCTACGCCAAAAGGACGATCAACAAATTTCGGTTCTGGTTGCTTTTGACTCAGCATTACGGATGCGCGCACAGCTAATGGCACATCATCCGTCTCGTGTGTAGCGGAAGAGCCGATTAATCCCTCAGATGATCCATTATCGTGAGTAAGGTCGATGGGAGGATGATGTTCTCGAGCAAGCAAGACAGTTGCCCGAATTCCCAATGGAATGTCTTCATCTGTGCCGTGCGAAGATAGTCCAGCAGGGCTATGGATCGAAGAAACTGGAGAGTGTAGATGCGAGGGTCGACGCTGATCGAGTAAGGCACGTGCATGCAAGTTGGGGAGTGATCGTTCAGTATTAAGCTTTGATAAGATGTGCGATGAAAGGTGTTGTGAAAGCGGGCGGTTGTCATCGTCATCGTCATCTACTGAGGCTGTTGGTCGCATCATTGATTTACGATGTTGAGCTAGTGGTACATTATCTTCCTCGTCATCTTCATGTGCGAAGTTTCCGAGTCGACTCTGCCTCTGACGCGCGACATCAATCAACGGAACCCGATCTTGCTCGTCCACATCACTATCCCCCTCCTGTGTGATCATTGGAATCGGGCTAGTCGAAGAACTTTGTTGTGTCACCGCCAGAAAAGCTGCATGACTCTCAATACTCTGCCCGCGCTCCATAACATGACGTTCGTACACGTTCGGCAATGGCTTGTAATTCATTTTCTCCGCTTGAATCTCTAATTTGCGAGCAATCGAATTGACGTTTCCAAAACCATCGTCTCCATCCTCATCATCCTCATCATCAACGCCCAGGAATCCATGGAGAGGCGAGGCTGTATCATTTTCACGATCGTGAGGTGAGTCTTTGAACCAATCTTCCATATTCCCAACTCGACCTTCATCAGAATGAAAGGCGGAGAGGACGGGTAAAGGAATCGAAGATTCGCGCAAGGGGTTCGGTATCGAAATCGTACCAGGCTGCACGTCATTGGATGCTGCACATGCGAATCAAGAGGATTAGTATCAGGAGCAGCACTCGGACAAACTGGCCAATGGTGAGATTACGTACGAGGTGAGTCTTTCAAGAGCATGGTATCCCATTGATCAAGCATATGAGAGGCACGAATGCTTTTCACCCGGTCTGCCGCCTTCAACTTCTCCTCCTCCTCCTCTTCCGCAACTTTCTTTTTCTTTCCTTTCTTCTTCTCACGTTTCTTCAACTCCTTTGCTTCGGCTTTCGCTTCCATTTCACGAAGTTCGGCATCTTCAGCCGCCTTGATCCGCTTGAGCTTCTCTAGTTCTGCAACCATGATCCGATCCATTCCAAACACGCTCTGTCGGGCACGCGAAGAGGAAATGAGCGCTTGATTGAACTTGTTCTGAGAGGCACTGAGAGCTTTGTAGGCAAGATGAGAAGGCGAAGTAGGACTTTTCGGCAATGCTGTAGCTTGATCTGGATCCGGATCAATGTTGGAATATATTGAGCCAGGTCGAGTCACGTCGCCAGGTGAAAGATTATCAGCAAACATCTTCTTTCTCCCATCTCCGGTGAAAGTCCTGTAAATGGTAAGCAGGAGGTCAGTTATGATCGGGGAAAATATGAAGATTTATCAGAACGAGTGAATATTGAGAGAGAGGAATACCAACATTTGGCGTGATTTTTGTGCACCTTTTCGAGAATTGAGTTCATCAATCAAGCTTCGACCGTAAAGTTTCCCAGCAGGCCGTTGTTCTGCCCATTTCTTCTTCATTCGCATATCTTCAGTTTCCTCAACTTCCTGTTCTGGCTGTTCTAGCGGCTGTTCTAATGGCTCTTGATGCTCAGGCCCCTCTTGTCTGACTTGTGGAATTTGTAGCTGGATCTCAGGAACAGTCTCATTCGGCGTCAAAGGGATAGGCATTATTAAGACAGGTGGCTTCAAAGAAGTGGGAAAACGGATTCGACCTAATTCATCGTAAATCGGAGTTTCTTCTGCTTCAACTTTCTCATCATCATCAATCATTTCATCTTCTTCTTCATCCATCTCGGGACCGTAAGGTTCAGATTCGGGTTTCTGATCGCCCAATACTGAAGCGACTTTCGGATCAAATCGGCTAGTGAACTCCTTCGGGGCTCCGACTGAAAACTCGCTGCCGTATATAGCAGTGGACATGCTTTGAGCTGTGACAGGGCGCGGCCCAGAGCCGACACTGATACCAGCCTGACTTCCAGTGCCTTGCTCCGGTGGAACATCAGATCCTTGAGCAGATCCAGTATCAGAGTTGATTTGATAAGCCTTATCTTCACTGATCCGACCCTCTAACATGACGATAGATTGTTGATATCGTTGCGCGATGTCGGCAGAGGTCCGCATCTTGAGTTTAGCTGCCTTTGCTTCTGGACTTTGACTCTCGGGGTCGTGATCATTGCTGCCAAGTGTGCTGGGGTCAACCCTGATCGAGCCCTTCTTCTTCTTCTTCTTCTTCAATTCGGCCTCAAAGGCATTCGAAATCCGAGTTCCAACTGACTGACTTCGCCGATGTGTCTGTTTAGTCGATGATCTAAGTATAGGATTGGATGAGTAGGAGGTGTTATTGCTCGTTCGTCTAGCACGTGTTCTATCAATTTGATCATCGACAGGGGGGCCAGATTGAAGACCAAAGTTCATGACTCCAGTCGGGGGAAGAGAATGAGTGCGATTGTGTCGGCTTGAAGCCAGTGTGGCTGACATTGCGGAATTTCTGCGCTGAGAGAGCAAATTTGAACCTTGGGCAGAAAGCCTGGACGGATTTCGACTTCGTTGAAAAGACTGAGTAGGTCGACGACCTGGTAAAAGCCCTGCCTGGGAAGGTTGAAGATGCCCAAGACGAACTTTTTCCATTTCATAGACTGTATGAGGCCTTACGAGCTTTCGACCTTCAGGATCACACCAAGTGGTTTGTCTTGAGAGTTCTTCGTCATCTAGGACACCAACATGTTCGAGTAGATCTTCATTTGTGGTCGGATCTGCATCTTGTAACCTTGAATCTGAGAAATGAAAGTCAAAGAGATCTGATTTGATTTGGTAAGGTTGATCAGAGTCATGAGGAAGACGACCAGAGCGTTGTCGCAGTTGATTGTCCCGTTTGTTTTGTGCATCATTAGGAGAGGCGAAATCAGAATCGGTGGTGATTTTAGGCATTGGTTTATTATTCTTTGCTGGATCACCAAGTAAATTGTCCAAGCCCCATTCTGACAAAACTTCAGCTTCTTCCTCGAGAGCTAATGCGGTTGCAGGACGACTTTCCAAAAGGTCCGTTCCTTCAATCTTGCCAGAAAGAGAGCGATGCAAATCCATGGAAGCGGAGGCATGCCCAGAACCATCGACTAGACCAAAACCACTTCCAGAATGAACACTCTTTGGTTGTTGAGCTTGACGAAGACCGATTCCAGAGAAGAAATCCGGTGTTGGTGGAGAGAGAGGAGCGGTCCGAAAAGGAATGAAGATTGCAGATTGAGAAGCATTTCGGATAGATAAAGAATGAGTCTGAGGAGGAACTTCTTGAAGTTTCCATTGAATATCACTGGTAGGTTCTTCAGGAATAGGATCATATTCTAGGAGAGCAGCTGCAAGTTGAAGTCGATTGAAGGGAACAGGTTTCTTTGGTTTTTTGATTTTAGTTTTAGTTGATGAATTGAGTTGATGAGCACGATTAGGATGAGGAACAGGTGGAGGATCACGTGGATGATCGAAGTAATGATCGAGTTGAACCGGATGAGAAGATTGAGGTTGAGACATATTCAGTTGGTTGATTGATTGAGAATGGAGATGAAAGAAATGGAAATCAAGTTGAGAAGAAGTTAACAAATGGTCATCATGGGTTGGTTGGTAAACAAATCCAATTCGAACTTCAAGAATGTCAACTCGGTACACACACACACCCGAAAAGACTTCACACCTCACTCACTTCACTTCGCTTCACATTCACCATCTTGAGACTTGAAAGTTGAATATCCTACTTCCCTTCACTGAGAACTCAGAACTACCTTCACATTTTGTCAACCTGAATAATCCTCATTTTACCATCCTTATTGCCGTCATCATCAGGATCTTCTTGCACATTGTCACTTTTACTGACTTATCCTCATAGCCAAGTCTGTCCAAGTTGTTGTACGCGAGAATGATGGCGTTAATATTTTCCATCAAGGAAGATCTTCATCGCATGCTTTGATGTTTGATGGTCTCTCTTGGAATTTGTTTTATCTTCCTGTTTCAAGGGATGTCGCAGTGAATTCAAGGATATAGTCTAGTGCTGTTCAAAAGTTGCACAGGTTCATGAGTTTGTCTCAAGTGAAGATACAACATGAACTATATCACCTTACCTCGGCGACTCGAGTAGATCACATTCCTTTACCTTTCTTTCTTTCTTTCACTTTCCCTTCACACACAAGACCAACAGAAAACATTCCGTCTTATAGTCCCGTGATTTATCAAGATCTTGCGAGGCTCTTTCAAATCGGTATGTCTCTCAACTAAATCACTTCAACCAAGCCTATCACTTGTCAAGACTGAATCTCTTTCTGTGTTCTAGAAAATCATGTTTAAAGACTTTGGACAATATGGACTTGTCTTCTTACTTCTGCTGACTCTAAATTCCTTACAAGCAATCGAATTACAAAGAAGGGATCCAGCATTGGTAACTTCTCCAAGCGGTAACTATGAACCCATGCGATCAAAATGCTCAGAAGATTATCATCTACGCGGAAAAATCTCAGGAAACGTATGTTGAATCTTGAATTCTTTGAACTAAAACCGGTGACTTTTTGATAATAATCTTTGGTGATTTGATTCTTTAGGCACAACTTAGTATTGCAGAAGAAAATTATATAAATCAAAAATCAAAACATTCAATACCAAATTGGAGAAAATATTTAAATTTAGTTAATCTAACCGATTTCAATATTGAAAGTTTTTTACAATCTACAATTTCAAAACATGAAGAAATCTCATCAATAAGTACTAGTTTACCTAACTTTGCTTTTGCAATGAGTGGTGGTTCGATGCGTTCATTATGTTTAGGTGCTTCTATACTTGATGCATTTGATGAGCGTAATCCCAATTCAATTAATGCTAAGATTGGTGGTCTTTTACAACTTGCAAATTATGCTTCTGGTCTTTCTGGGTAAGTCTGACTCGTATATATGTCTTCTTGAAGAAGGATATTATTGATTGTTTGACTTCATCAAATTGATTCCATTTGGTGGTTTTTCCGAAAATCTAAATTTCTTAACTCAAGTGGAGCTTGGCTATTGGGTTCATGGGTAAATACTCAAACACCTTTATAAACTTGAATTAATCCTTCCTTTCTCTAACTTTTTGATTTGTATTCACGAACAGGCAACTTCCAATTTTCCTAGATTACCAGAATTGAATCAAACTCTTTGGAAACTTTATAAAAAGAATGGTTTAGGAGATTGGAATACAATTAAAAGTTATCCACATGTTTACAAGGTAATAAAGAAAAAGAAGAAAGCTGGATTTCCTACCAGTATGGTAGAGTAAGTCAATTCTAGCATATTTTTGAACCTTAAACGCAGTTATATTGATTGGGAATTTGATTGTTTTTTTATACTCAAGTGCTTGGGGAAGAGTATTATCTAAACAATTCATGTAAGCTTAGACTCTATCCTTCTGGTACAAATGATTATTGACTTACAAGTGATATAGTGATGCTCCTCATGAAGGAGAAGGGGTCTTGTGGTCTTCAATCAGAGAAACTGAGTCTTACAAAAACCAGACGTATCCATTTGTGATTGCTCTATCACTTAGTAGACCAGGAAGCCACATGCCCGTATCAATCGCAAGTCCAATCTGTACGTAATCAGTCCTTTCAAAAAAATTCACTTCATTAAATTTGACTCGTTATTGACTTTGTTTTTAGACGAATATACATCAGAAGATTTTTCAATTTGGAATCCACGTCTCAATGCTTCAATTCCGATTGAATATTTAGGATCACCCTCAGATTCAATAAATCAATCTGTTCCCTGTACAGTTGGATTTGATAATGCAGGTTTTGTCATGGGTTTAGCAAGTAATTTCTTTTCATATCAAGATTCTCCTAAACATAAAAAAGGATTTTTCTCTAGTATATTGGGTATCTTTATCAGTGATGATGATTATGAAGGAAAAGTAAGTAATGTCCTTATTCTTTGCGAGAAGAAACCATAGATAGTTATATTTGGATGATTTTGAATAGGTACCGAATACCTTTAAAGGTCTTGGTCAAGACACTTCTTTTCCATTTCAGGATAGTGATAGTGATACTCTTTTGATGGGTGACCCTGGATTGGCTAGTGAAAACATTCCGCTTTTTCCTTTGATTCAACCGTTTCGAAAATTGGATGTGATCATCGCTGTTGACTCTGCAAGTCCTATTTCTTTTCCTAAAGCTGTTGCATATCATTAAATGTCGGATATCTCTTTTGCCTTTCTAGACTGCCGATGGGAAAGATCCATCGCGTACACATCAACGTAGATGTATGGATTTTTCTCCTCAGATTAATTTAGTATGATATATTCACAAGACTTTAAACTTTAGATCCCAATGGAACATCTTTATATATGACATATCAGAAAACTCAGCAACCTGAGTATTCTGCTTACCAATTCCCAAAGTAAGCCTGATCAAAACTTGACTCTGTACCACTATAGACTGATTTTCTTTTTCTTTTTCTTAAACAAAACAAGAATCCCTAATACTCTTGATGGGACCTTTGAATCACTTGGATTTAATAAACGTCCTACGATTTTTGGATGTTATGATAATTATACAGGTCCTTTAGTCCTTTACTTACCGAATTATAGAGCAGTAGCGGATACAGACGAAGAATCAGGTCTAACCACTTATCCAGTTCAGTATATTCTCATACGTTATATTATACGTTCATTTTGACTTGAACTAATTCTTTGAATCCAGGGAGAATTGGTAGATAAATTTTTCCAAAACGGATTTGCGATTGCCAGTCAAAATGAAGGACCGACTCGTGATCTGGAATGGCCACAATGTATTGCTTGTTTACTTATTGATAAACAAATTTTAAAATTAAATCAAACTCGTACTTTACAATGTCAAGGTTGTTTTGATAGATATTGTGCAAAGTTTTAATCAGTGGATATATTTATTGATATTTATTTCAAAAAAAACTCCAAGATTTTGTGGGTTGATTGGGTTTTGTCAAACATTTATTTATTTATGTCTTTGATTTGAATTAGGAAAGTCGAAGGAATGAATGATACATTGGACGATTGGTTATCTGACTAGACGATAAAAATAGAGAATTCATAGATGCAGTATGGAGAGAAATATATGCCACTCATAAGCAATGTCTCCATGAAGCAAGTGAAAAAGAAGTTCTTTTTTCAGTTTTGAACCCAGGAATATATCTTGCTCGACCTCTTAGACGTATGTCTCATAGATGATAGTGGGTTCTCACTTGCTAGTTCTTTTAGGTAGCGCATGATTACTACTTTTAACTGACCACGTAAATCAGTCACAACAGATATCCATCATTATGGTAGATCGAGATTCAAATGCATTCATCTCCTTCTATCTCCTCAACTCTCCTTTATTTGTGGAAGTATTCTGCCTGATTTACTATGAACATACATTCATCTTCAAACAATCAGATAAATCGTCTGTGGATATTGTTATCAGTGGTCCAGAGATGACTTGAAATTCTCCAATCAAATGCAAAATCACAGATGATGCAGAGAACACGGAAGTTAAGGTGCAACTCACTTACTTCACCTACATACAGTCATGGTGGCAATGTCCGTTGTTTACACCTCGGGAGCTAACTTTCGCCACGCCCACTGCTATATACATCACGCATACAATATTCTCATTCTCCACAGCCTCACAGGTCGGGGTTTAACAACATGCTTTCTGGTGTGCTTGCCGACGGCACGGTAGGTTTTCTCAGATGTTACTCTAGGATCGAGCTAGTCGAGCAACCCTTTCTGGATTAGCTCTAATCAGCCAGTGCCGATGTCAGCATCTCGCGATCTAACTTTGATCACCGGCACAGCGGCCCATCATCGCCGACATCACAAATTCTCGCTTGCCGAGAATCATATCTCTTGCATATATCTGATGATGTAAAGAAGGTTACAAAACAGACTTTTTCGAAATGACATTACATCACGGTCAATGTCTCATATGATTCTACCGGAGATGTTGAATCTCATATAGCCCTTTTGCTAGATGAGGTCTTGCTATAAACCCTCAACAACAAATTATTCTGGTATGCAAACAAATCGTTGTAAGAGGCTTATTGGCGAATCCTCTTTTTGGTCCGGTCTATGCCCAAAGAACAAACTCCATCGCACTGATTGTTAATGTCTGCATGATTTTACCATCATGATTGTTTCATCTTTTTTTCAATTGCAGGGAATCTCCCTGTTTATCGAACCTGATAACTCGATTGTCGGACCTAAAAATAACTTCACAACGACCCTTATAAAACCTTGAACGTTCAAAAGCGATAGAGCAAAGCGCTGCAAAGAGTCAGCTTGATTTCGGAGTTAGTAAACAAGTGGGTATCCGGCTTGTTGTGTCATGGATGGTGGGAGACCTGTGCTCTAATGCTATTAATACATCCGGTGCCGAAAAAGAAAGGGAAAATTGGACTGTGACTTATCGCGATTTGGAGGATCATTTACAGTGGAACTATGTGGAAGCGATCACCGCCATCGGCCAACACATTATTGGCTCCTCTCCTTTCAGCTACACAATCCGGAATGCCGAAGTTCTCTGCTAAACTCTGACGACTGCGGCACAGTGTACATCTGGGAGCATCCAATGTGGAATCTAATTTTGTTTTTATGTAAGCTTTATGCGTATCAAATTTGTTCGGGAACCCGTTAGCTGAAGTGCTGGGAGTCGTCAAATCAGGAACCACTAAGCCAGCTGACAGATAAAGGGTGGATCAGATCATGGGGTCGGATGTAGTCTATAAAAGCCAGAGCAATGCTGGGACTTGGACTCACTTCATCGCACTTCCCATCGCAACTTGGTAACCATTAGATTAGATAAAAAAATCATTATCATCTTCATCATCTTCATCGTCAGATTGATACATAACCCGATCCACTTCTAAGATTCTACTTTCAAAGTCATACCTTGTATCTGCTCTTGTTTACCTTCAAAGCGTCTACTTCTTCAGTTATTAAACCAACATATTCATCACCACCCTCATCATGGCACCCACTGCTACTCATTTTAAAGCAGGATATACAGAGCCCCCAAGAAAGAACGAGAAAAATGTATTGAAGCCCATCAAATCTACTGAAATGTCCGGGATTGAAGAGCACTCTCACCTTTGCGTGAAAGTCCTCGAGGAGCTAGAAAGTTTGCTTAGCTCTCAGTCGGATTCGAAAAAATTGACCTTGGATGGCTATAGCCTGTCGCCGACAGAAGTTGTCGCGAATGCTCGGTGCGGTTTTCTTTTGTTTCAAGATGTCCTTTCGAAGATTTACGCGCTCACATGGGTTTTTCTGTAACTCTTAATCAGGTTTGCTGTCGAGCCAAAGATCAGCTCAGACCAAGCATTGATCGACCGGATAGCAGAATCTGTGGCCTTTCTAGACTCCAAATTGGACACTGCCATCTATGGTGTCACCACGTGAGTAACATCAATTATGAAATCCTCAACTACATATCCTGACCAAGAGAATCATCGTTTCAAATCCGAACAATCCAAGTGGATTTGGTGTAAGTGTCTCTAAACATCAATTTCCGCCTGCAGACAAAAATCATTCACGGTATGTGAAAACTGACCATACTGATTCCTTGAAATAGGGGTCGGCCGATACGAGGACCAACTGCCCTGAAGACCTTCAAATATCATTCTTAGAACACCAGCTCTCAGGTGTTTTACCGCTTGCAAAGCAATCTTCCAATACGTTTTATCTCACCGACCCTATGACTAATATCATACCTGAGCCAATCACCCGGGGTGCGATCCTGATCAGAATCAACTCACTTGTCCGGTTAGTACTCATCAAAATTACCCAAAACAGACCATGCCTATGTATTAACTTCCTTTGCTCCTTTCTGCCGGTTGCAGAGGTCACTCGGCTGTTCGATTGGAGGTCTTGGAGACACTCCTCGCACTTCTCAATAAGAAGTTGACCCCCATGGTACCTCTTCGCGGTACAATCTCGGCCTCTGGAGATCTGATGCCGGTCAGCTTATCATTTAACACTGATCTTTCTATCTGAGCTCATTTTTTGAATTGTCATCATCTTAGTTGAGTTATGTGGCAGCAGCCATTTGCGGTCATCCCGAAATTAGAATTCTCGATCGGTCCTCCCCAGACGGTACTCTTGAAATTCTTTCAGCATCAGCTGCATTAGCTAAGCACAATATCAAACCGATCACCCTTGGACCAAAGGAAGGGTAAATATCATCTTTGAATTTGGCTTTTGCGGTTTCATGAAGCTAACTATGCTTTGGTCTTGAGCAGACTTGGAATCAGCAACGGAACTGCTTTTAGTGCAAGTGCAGCTTGTTTGGCTGCTCATGATGCTCATTTCTTGGGTTTGATGAGTCAAGTTTTGACAGCTTTGACGGTCGAAGCTATGGTAGGCCAAGCGGGTAATTACCATAAGTGGGCGTCTTTACTTTGTACTTCCAAAACTTGATCTATATTTCCGTGGCTTATTTGTTTCAATAACCTGAAATGCAGGTTCATTCACGAGGTTTGCCGTCCACATCCTGGTCAAGTCGAGACTGCAAAGAATATCATGAATCTAGTAGGTTTATCTTTGAATGAAAGGTCAAGTGTGTGATTTTTGACTCAGCAAGATTTCATTGTGTTTGTAAAGCTCGCGGGAAGTAGTCTGGCTGTCCACAAGGAAGAAGAAAAGGACTTGCGTGAAGATATGGATCAAAATGTTCTGCGGCAAGATCGATACCCTTTGCGTACAGCTCCTCAGGTTAGGACTCAAGTTTTACAGCTCGTCTTATAAGACCTTGAGACTTCTGTGCCTGATGATACCCATATTTGCTTTTGTTAACTGAATCTTAAGTGGTTGGGGCCTCAAATCGAGGACTTGATGAGTGTTAACAAAGCCTTGAGCTGTGAAATCAACGCGACGACCGGTAAGTTTGATACAAGGAATCATCATTTGGGGAAACCAAGCTCAATAAGATATCTGCATAATAAAACACGATAACAGATAATCCGTTGATCGACCTCGAGAACAAATACATTCACAACGGAGGAAACTTTCAAGCCATGGCAGTCACAAATGCAATGGAGAAAACTAGATTAGCATTACATCACTTGGGGAAACTTAGCTTTGCTCAGGCTACGGAAATGATCAATTGTGCCATGAACAAAGGACTTCCATCTTGTTTGGCTGGAGACGAACCTTCGACAAATTACCAGTATGTAACTTTTTCTCTTCGAGAAATTCATCATCGGGAGAAGTATGGAAAGCTGATAGTTTTTGTATCCTCAGCGTCAAAGGTATCGATATTAACATGGCAGCTTATACAGCTGAATTGGGCTTCCTAGCTTCTCCTGTGTCAACTCATGTTCAAAGTGCGGAACAACACAATCAGGCCGTGAGTTGCATAATTTGAATTTGCATGGTACTGGGTTCGGACTAGCGAGTTAGCAGCGTGCTTATCTTCTGTAATCTTTCGTAGGTCAACTCCATGGCCTTTGTTTCGGCCAGGTACACAATCCAATCAGTAGAGACCTTATCGATGCTGATGAGGTGAGTAGGAAATGCAATATTCAGACTCACCGGATCTCCTGACTGATATTTTGATGATTCGATCGGGAAAAAAATCGCAGTGGTCATCTTTACGTAGCTTGTATGGCTATCGACTTGAGAGTAATAGATCTACTCTTCCGTCAGCGTCTCGCCAATCGGATGCCAGAAATGATCATCACGCACTTTTCGACATCAAAAGAGGTGGAACGTGAAGCTGGTTGGGAAATCAAACTTTCTAGAACGATCCTACCCATCGTCTACCGTCGCCTAGAACAAACCGCCTCAATGGATTCTTACCCTCGTTTCCTTGATGCATTCTCGCTAACACTTCAACCTATTCTTGAGGCTATCGGCAATACTTTGAAGATGGATTCAGTCACTTCTTGGAGAGAATATAGTGCGACTGAAGCTCAAAAGATTTATTTGGAAACTCGAGATCAATTCTTTTCAGATATTGTTGAATCTTATGGAAGTACTGACAAAAAAGGAAGATCAGGACCATCAGAGACTCTGATTGGAACGAAGAATCGTGGGATCTATAGATTTGTTCGTTCTGAATTAGGCATCCTACCCAGACGCGGGGATGTCAAATTAGGTCACCATCAGGGTGAGTTAAATTTCTCTTCACTATTCAAGAATGAGCCTACGTCATACCAATTCAAACTGACACGTCTGAACTTTTTTTGGTCTGTTATCTGCCACAGGATCGGTTTCATCAGACCTTTCCAAGATTTATGAATCGATGAGATCTGGTGAACTCTACAAAGTTCTCAAAGATATGTTTTGAATCTAGAAGAAAGACGCAATGCTTGATATTTTTTGGACTTTTCCTCGCATATCTTTACTCTGTTACTTAGGCTTGAAATTCTTGCTTTACTTTTTGTATTTTTTTACAATCTTTCTTTTGAAATCATCTTAAGTTTTGTACTGCGTACTAGGTTAAAAGAAAATCATTTCACAGAAGCCAATCTCAATAAAAATATACCGGTTTGGTAAGAACTTTATGCAGATCATGGCCATATCATGAATTTGAAAACAATGTTGTAATAGTATCATATGCATATGGTGGCATATTTGGCAGAATCATGGCAAAGCCATTGTTTTTCGACAAGTACTGCATCTATCAATGGCTGAAGAACACAATGGCTAAAGAACACTGCTGAAAAACTTGACACTATGATTTTCTAGAATCAATGAACGACATGTGCCATTGACCTATATCCATTCCAAAGAGATGAATGAATGAAGTGTGTAAAACTTTGTCGAGTTCTGAATGGGAAGATGGTATTGTATACCGCGCTGGGCATTCTTCGACCAATTTTTGACACCAAATAAGAGTGAATGAATGGATAGATCAAATGATTATATAAATGAATAGGTGCTTTCAAACTAGGAAAAAGTCGAAATGATCACGAGAAAAATCGTCAACTGTGTAATTACACTACATGATACAACACTGTAGTGCAATCATAGTTTTTCATTACATGCTTTTTTGCTCCTTCAAAATTGTGAAGCCCTACAAAGGAGGAGGAGGGTGGCCCTGGGAGGCCCCCTCCAAATACAAAGTTGAACTTTGCGATTGCACTACAGCGATGTATCAGATGTATTGTAATTACACAGTTGAGAAATAATTACACAGTTCACATTTTTTCTTGTGAACATTTCGACTTTTTCCTAGTTTGAAAGCACCTAATGTATAAAGAGGCCTGATAACAAATAAATATATCTTCAAAGCCCACAGGCAACAAAAACAATGTTTCAAAGTTTGAACATAAAAGATATTGAGATCAAAAGATAGTTATTTGGATGAAAAGCAGGTAGATTTCAGCAGTTTTGAGAATAAATGTCGTCTGTTTGTTTTTATTTTTTTATTTTTTAAGGTTGCACTAAACAATCACTGACCTAGATTCTACATGGGGCATTTTAATCCTCATTTCAAGTCTCCTCCCACCTTTCCGTTGATTACAACCATACCGAAGGGTGTGCATTTTGGGTACAAAGAAAGCAATAGTTGTGAAAGATAAGCAAGATTGTGATCTTTCACAATCCTTGCACCCTGGAATAAGCACCTGTGGCACACAGACCTGTTGGATGTTATCCCTGGAAAAAAAAACCAGTCTGTCTGGATAAGATCCGGAAATTCCGCAACAGACCAGTCAGACTAGCAGACTGGTTTATTCCAAGGGAAAAAATTCAAAGTCCAAGCCATTTTTTCGATTTTGGGGACATTTTTCTTAAGATTTAGGCCAATATATACATATTCTGGCATAACATATGTTTTGCCAACCTTTAAAATTTGACGCTTTGCCAAAGACCAGTCTGCAGACTGGTCTGACAATCAGACTAGTCTACAGACCAGTTCGCAGACTGGTCTGACTAATCCAGACCAGTCTGCAGACTGGTTTGGAACAGTCAGACTGGTCCGACCAATCCAGACCAGTCTATGGTTTTCATCGTCATGCAGACTAGTCTTTGGTGAAGACTGGTCTGTACACAGCTCGACAGACTAGTCTAAGATCAATGTCGTATATTTGAAGAAGTCAATCACATTCACGAGATTAGACCAGTTCTACTTTGGAACAACCATCAGACTAGTCTGGCTAAACCAATTTTTGACAAGTCAAACAGACTGGTTGGCTGAAAGTTGACATTCTCACACAATAGGAACATTGATCAACGGACAAAACCAGTCAGCACTCCCACATCACATGGAGCTTCAACCAAATCCCTCAGGAACTGGTGTATATGGTAACAATCTATTGTTCAAGTATGTTATTAATAAAGCCACATTGGAAGGATCTGGATCAATCCAGAGCAAACACGGCTTGGGACCAATCATCAAGACTTTATATTTTTAATGATATAATGTCAGGCTGGAAGCAATTGCAAGAAATTTTAGAGGTGTAGAGGTGTACGACCAATTTTTGAGACGGAGACATTTTTTTAACAAGAAAAAACTAAATTTTGGTCTCTTTGTAATATAACATAAGATGAAGAGTAGATATTGAAAGGCTGAGTAATTTTAAAAGACAATGAAACAGAATCGAAGATTGGTTTTTGATTTTGAAGGATTTTTCAAACAAAGATAGTCTAATAACAGCTCGGGACTGATGTTCAGGTAAGGACTGATATATGATGATTGATTGATTCTGCACAAATCAGATCAAACACTTATCAAATCAAGATTTTATTCAAATGATATTAGCAAATGGACAGATACCAATGGCAAAGAAACAGACACGTACTCATTTAACGAGGGTAGTGTTGCCTAGGACTCCCCAGCATTCAAATTAGGGACATCTTGAGTGGATTGTGAGCCTGCAACCTGAGTTGATGTTGCATTATTATTTTCTTCTTCAGATGCTTGAGTCAAGGTTTGTTGAGCGGGTTGAGCGTTCTGAAGAGTGCGATTTTGAGATCGTTTTGATCGAGATGACTTCTGCCTTGGCCCTGATTCTTCATCTTCTGACCGATCCGAAGCTCGGCGGAGTTCTTCTTCAAGTTCTTGTTCTTGCCTTTGAATCTCTTCTTCACCCTCTTCTTCAACAACAGGCTGACTTGCTTCCCGTGCGATTCTGGGCTGATATTCAGACTTACCTCGGCATTCCCCAAGTTTGGAATCGTCGTAAATAAAGCGAAATTTCGAGGTTTCAACATCTTTCTCCCACTTGCGGCGTCCCTCTGCATTCATCTTCAGAAATCCAAGCTTCAAGTCAGATGGAGTAAGTAGTGAGCCATTGTCGAGCTGTAAGCGGGCCGGGATACCCCGTTGGATGAAGATGGTTTGAGGATCTTCGCCTTGTGGGAATCCTTGTCGAGGTTTTTTGCCAACTACTTTGACTGAAGCTCACATTAGTCAGATAACACAGACATTCGAGAAAAAATAGTCGGGAATGTTACTTACTTAGATGCTCTAGTAATACACCTCTAATTCTTTTTTTTTCCTGATCCGTAGAATTCACGACAGGCTGGACTGGTTTGTTGGCACCTGCACAATTGGAAACTGCATTGATGATCGAAGTTCCTTGAGCAACAGCCGCAAATACCGATGGAAAATTGGCTTTGATGGTGACATATTTTGACATTACTGGCATCGATGTATAGACCTTACACCATCCAGTTAGACCGGGGTTGAGAGGTGGTACTGTACTGGCAGCAACAAGCCAGTAGTCAAATTCTTGACGATGGGATTCAGCGTTAAGCTGTTTCAATCACAAATGATATGATCAGTTGATATAGAAAACAAGAAATAAGAGAATATGAAAGAAAGATGAGGGAGAAGACGAGTTGCTCACACTCTGATTGATTTTCTGTATACTTCGAAGAGACCGACGGCTAAACTGTTTATCAGTAATTCCAGGCACAGCCGTCCCAAGCTTTGAAACGAGCACATCATGATCGACAAGTTTCTCGTACAGTGGGCGGTACAATTCTTCTTCGTCGGATGTCAGCTTAGTAACCTCCGGCACAGCAATCACCTTGTCCCCATCAGTATCTTCTTCACCGTCTTCAATGTCGTGTTCAGCAGCAAAATCAGGTATGCCAGCCAATGCTAACATGATTCGAGTACCAAAAACACCTCGTTCGTCTGGATTTAACTCTGACCACCCGTGTCCAACCCGCTTGTTCCGTTCAACAAGTTGTTGTACGGACTCCGGATCATCGGAAGGCTGGGGCACTGAGACAAACAACAACAATCAACAATTTTAGATCAATCTACACATGACCAAGGCAAATCTTCCAGTTGTGAAAAGAAAAGGAGAGCACTTACTGATTTCAGAATGGTTCTTCTTGGAAAATTGAAGGTAGTTAACATAGTCGCTAGTTTTCCGAGATGGTGAAAGTAGGCCACTAAACAAGATCTCATGAGCTCCGGATGAAGGGAAGCCGGAAGTGATGAAAACCTTACATTTCCTTGTTGAACATCCGTAGGGTGATATTAGAAGCTAGACAAATCATCAACTTGGTATGCTCCCACTTTTGAAAGGCAGCAAATATTTCCGTTTGGACCAGATCTGATATTGATTTGTTTGCTTTTGGGCGCATCTTGGCTAGCTCTTCCTTACAGCGAGACTGTGGCCATTTTCGAATGATAGTAGGGTCTGTTTGATTGGTAAGGGTAGGGAGATCATTGAGAGGAGTGAACTCATTGGGCTCAAGGCGTGAATCAGGGATGGTAGAAGAGTCTAGGTTCGCATTGGAGTCCGGGGCATCGAGAGGGCCATCAATAGAGTTTTCTTCATCAGGAGCGTCATTCGTACGACGTCTCTTTCTTGATATGTTGGTTGTAGGTACGGAGGCTTGGGGCTGGCTAGTGGTTGATTGGGTACCAGTCTGTTAATTTGATCCATCTTGTCGACTTACTGAAGACTTTTTGGGTGCTGCTCGGCGCGGGCGGGATCGAGTTGAGGCCATGATGTGGATATTCAAGGGATAATATTGTATCAAATATGTAATACCTGATGTGAAAGGAAGAGAGACGAATATAAATAAAGACCTCTTTGATGAGAATGATAGGAAGAGAAAAGTAGTCACAAACTGGAAAGAGCGAGACCAGTCTATTGCAGGACTAGTCTATGGAGAGACCAGTCTTGTAAGGATATGTGATTATAGTGTCTAATACTGAGCTTGGGAGGAGCGGAAGGGATACAAAGGAATTGTGTTATTTGATGAGTAAAGGAAATAAACCTGAGATTGAATCAGACAGAGCAAGACTAGTCTAGGGAAAGACCAGTCTTGTACAAGAATATGCTATGTTCGGGTGTGAATATGTGTTGGTTGAGGGATATCTAGGTTTCCTGACCTAACTGGGTGAGACTTGGTTTTTATTGGTCAACGTGCAGCGGCCTGATAGACCAGTCTGTTTGAGAATGGTTGGGGGTGGATATATGTCGGTTGGTTGAGGGAAACCTAGGTATCTTGACATATGTAACTAGAGAGATGCCACTTGTAATTGGTAGCTGAGAGACCAGTTCTGCGCGAGACCAGTCTGTGCTACATCACATTTTCAGGGAATAACCTATGTAGTTGATCATCAAGAGTTCAAATTTTCTTGCATGTATCACAGCCATGTGGAAGAGTGTCCCATGTGTAGTGAAAGGAAGTGGATTTCTGTAACATTTAAGATGGCTGTAAGACTTAATATTGTACCTGATGGCAGGAAACCAAGAAAGAGGAAGGAAGAGTACTAAACTTGAACAAACATGAGTAGTATATTTGAACAAGCACAATTGCTTGAAATAATCCTGCGCAGAAGCTACATGTATTGTATTTTATGTGCTGTCCCATGTGACATCAATCCTTCTGTCACTTGAGGGGCAACTGAGCCCATCCGTAAAGCAGTAGCACCTTTTTACGGAAAGACATGCTCCCAATGAAACTTTGCAAGTTTTTGAGATAACCCAAAAGTGAAAGCTGCATCTTTGAATTATATTATGGGGCTCTAAACTGTTCATGTGCTGTCCCATGTGACATCAATCCTTCTGTCACTTGAGGGGCAACTGAGCCCTTCCTGAAAGCAGTAGCACCTTTTTACGGAAAGACATGCTCCCAATGAAACTTTGCAAGTTTTTGAGATAACCCAAAAGTTAAAGCTGCATCTTTGAGTTATATTATGGTGCTCTAAACTGTTCATGTGCTGTCCCATGTGAAGGCAATTCTTCTTGCACTTAAGGCTGTTTTGGCCAATTTTATCCCTGTTTCTGAAGGTACGGCCTCCAAATATTTTTTTTAAAAATTTGATTTTGAGCAGAAATTGGAACTTGCTACATGATTGTATAACATTACCCTTTGATTGGGCCAACAAAAAAAAGTTGATTTTTTTTGAGTCAGGATACCCTGAATTGTCGCCATTTAACATGCAAAAGGAACATATTGTAAGTATCTTTTGTGGCTCACCAGATGGGTAAACAAAACCAATGCTCAATCAGTTCTAATAGCCTTCTGTGAATCTATTTCAAATATTCATTCAACTGCTGCGCCTGTTTGCCAAAAGATATCACCCAAAAACTGAATTTTCCTGGGGTATATATTAACAAGAGAAAGGCAACACACATCAAGAAATTTGTGTGGTTCACCAAATGAGTCAGAAAAAATCATGCCAAATCAGGTGTAATTACCCTCTTGGAATACTTTGAAACCTTGTATTCCACTGTTAGACACCATCATCTGAAGTTATGATTCAAAAATTTGGTTTTCCACAAGTATGCGTAACAAGATAAAAGCAACACCCTACAAGTCATTGTTGGGGCCCCAAAAATGGGTAAGACAAACTAGTGCTCAATGTGGTGTGATAATCCTAATCCCCTGATTATATGTTGCAACCTTGCATGAAATCATTAGACTTCTTTGTTTAAAGTTATTACCAAAAAGGACCTTTAATAGTGCACCTTCTAGTATAGCATGGGTATGTGTATGGAGAACCCAGAAAAGTCTTAACATCTGTAATCGGGGAATAAGGTCCTATACATGTTGTAATAAGACAGCTTCTCATGTCCATCACTAGATTGGGTGGAAGGAAAGGAGGCCAGGGCAACCATAAGGCCCAGGGGTTACATTCCCCTTTGAGCTGGGCTGAAATCAGTACCTAAAAGATAGTCAAGTGGACGTGATTTAGACTATCCCATACATATTACATAATTCTTGTCTGACCTTGACTCGATTGGGGTGTTCTACCTCATGTCAATCAATTCCATCAAAACTCTTTCAATCCCTTGATGATAGCCGATAGCCTCTCTCAGACAGAATACTAATTTGTTATGGCTTTGACTTAATTTGAATTCTGGCAAGATATTGTGCCGTTGACTGTTAAGCCTATTTCCCAAGCCTATTTTCAACTTTCTACCTACACCATCCATCCATCCATCCATCATCTAACTTATCATCTCATTATCCTGAAATGCCTCGAGGAGAGAGCGTGTCCTGCCTGTTCAATCGTCGAGATCGAAAGAAGGCTCGCGTGGAGATCAGCTCAACCGCAAGCGAACAAGCTGAGATGAATGAAATCAATGAACAGTGGGTGTTACCACGGGTCATTCCATTAGTACCAGCATCAGACAGCAGGGTCCCACCATCAAATTATTTGTCACCTCAGCATATCGCTTCAGAATTTCTGACACAAGATCAATTTGAAGCGGTTATGAGGCATCAACAGCCTGATCCAGAACCAGACAATCAGCATCCACCCAGGAACTTCACCGAATTCACCCGAGGCACATTTTACAAATCCAGACGCGTAAAAGAGCATGAAAGGTGGATGGAGCAGCTCAAACCAATGTTTACTGCTTACCTTGTGTGTTTGGGGAATACTTCGGACTGGGGTGATCAAGGCAAATGGAATCAAGATTGGAACACACCTTGCTCATGTCCTTCCCACCGCACAAGCGTTTGTGAGTTAGATGTTGTTGACATTCTCTGTGAGTTTGAGCTTCCATATCTTACCTTTGTGATGTGACATAACATAGGCCGTGAATATACTTTATCTTCAGCACGAGGAAAGTTGAAGATCAAATTTTGCCGCTGCCTCCCTGATCAGGTGCGGTTGATTCGACTTGGATATATTGGCAGCTCACCAACTCAACCTTCAACCGCATTTTCTATCCGACTACTTTGGTTGTATCAATCGCTATGGAAGTTTTGCTGCCTCCGAGTACAGCCTTTTTGTTTAGCACTGGATATGTTTCTTGACGGACATTGTCCATTGATTTTGGTCAAAGGAACAAAAAGGGTACGTCTATAGGTAGTCAATGAAGTCGCCCTCATTTAGCAATCCTTGATGAATATTACAGGTTCAATTGTGGCGAAGAACCTTTACAGCGGCTCTTGATGCATATCGCCACATGCTCCGACTTTACGACGAACTCACTGCGAAAGCTCTTGATTTATCAGCATTAGATAAGCTTGCTTGGAACTGTCCGAGGTGTTATGGACCTGCACCGCCAACTGAAAGTGACCCGCTTGATGAGCCTCCTCTCGAAAACAACGATGTTGAACTCCCGCCTTCTCCTAATGAATCAACAAACGATTTTGAACCCGACTACATTGTAAGTGTAGACGGGAACTTCCAGCATCGTCGTCACCTGACGGCCAGCAAAGAATACGAAGAAATCTCGTTCCGAACACCATCCCTTTTCCTGGATCCTGCGATTGTTAAAAGGTGGGAAAGCAACATGCTACGCAATGGACGCCAGAACTTTCCATTGGTGAGACAAGTCGATGATCTTCAGTTTTATTTCATTTCACACAATTGAAAGAAATCTAATCACAATAATAATGTCTTTCTATCTAGGACCGTTGTACGCTGGCTCACACTGCAGCAAATGACCGGCGTCAAGCCTCAACCTGGAAAGGGTGTGACAAGACAGGTTTGATGGGCATGGTCTGCCGCCATGACCATGCCCTTATGTACATCAACATAATCCAGAGCGGCGAAAAGTAGGTTTATGGTCATTATACAATTGGTGATATGTACAGGTGCTTGTTGTGTATTAATGATCTAAACATCATGCTTTTCAGATCGTGTTTTGCTCAGGCAATGCTGTCTGAACTGTTCGATCGGATCAAAGAGCCAGGTAAGAAGAAAAAGGTTGGACTCTTGTATGATATTGGTTGTAACTTTGAGAAGGGTATCAAGAAGGTATGATCCAGTTCATTCTTGTTATCAATGTTGTTCAAGGCGTTAACATTCTTATCTTTCAGCATGATTTGTTCGTAGAGGAACGAGCCAATCATCAGTTGAAGATTGGCACTGGAGCTTTTCATTCATATGCACATAACCGTGGCTGTCAACTGGATTACAACCCCCGACTGAACAAGGGCTGGGGCAAGTCGGACGGGGAAGGTAATGAAAGGAACTGGGTGCCATTGTGTATGCTGATATCATGCACGCGATGTGCAACAAAACAGCACCGCGCGGATCTACTGGACATGAAATCAAATCATCAAAACGACCAACTTCAAATCAACGCAGGTATGTGCCCCAACCTCAACACCCTACTTTACAGACAAGGTGAACTATTGTTACTCACCTTCGCGTGTCTTAGCCCAATCAGCGACTCGAAAACTTAAAGAGTTTGAGGAAAGTTTGGAGAAGAGTACGGAGCAACTGGTCACTTTACAGGCACCTACCAAAACTGCTCCCAATGGACTCACTGAACAATATTTCGCCGAGCAGTGGTCACGTCAAAAGATTGCTCAATCGGAATTATTTGCTGATGGTCGTACAAAATCATTAGAAGCCTTGGTGGCTAGGTTAATTGACTTAGAGGAGAATATCAAAGAGGCCCAGTGAGTGCCCTACATCGTTTTTTTCGATCCAATGCTCACTAACCCGGTTGAAAACCACGTTAAGGTCGCACCTAAGATCACTAAGTACTCGAAGGCCATCTAATAGGACCAAAGCCGAAGTGTCTGAACTAGCTACACTGCCAGCATCGATTGTAGTTATGGAAGAAGCCGTCGAGGCTGTGGTTCAAGATCTTGGCAGTAATATGTTTAAGGATCTGCCCGACTCTAAAGGTGAGCTTTTCTACAATGAGAAATCTTGATTTCTAATACATGTGTTCAACGTTCATAGATCCCAAGGCGCGATTGCTAATCAAGCTACGAGTAGCAAAGGAGCGTCTTTATGAGGCAAGAGTGGGTATAATAGAGCTGCAGAAAGCTTGGGATAAGCCGGGACATGGTGAGCTTTCCAGCATATGTATCTTCTTGAGACCTCGAACAATCACTCACATGCTCGGCGTGAATTACAGGGGCCAAGGAACAGCCTCACCTGAAGAAGCTGATGACGGATAAGCAAAAGAAGTTTCAATCTCGCTGGACTACATACAACACTGCTGTCCAAAATTACAATCGAGGTCGCGCGAGGAACTGTCGGATACCGCTCCTGTCATTTGAAGAAGTGAAATCATACAACATCGAGCATGATTTCTGGAATATAGGACATCTCACTCATCCAAATGAGAAATGGGCAGTGGATTTGAATACTCAAAGAGGAATCGAGGCATTCCTAAATGTACGGGGTTGCAAGGAGGAACTTCGCCGAATTGCTCAAGAAGTGCGACAAATGGTTCTTTTTGCCTTGTCAACCGAGGAGAGGCTCAAAGTTTTTTCAGCCTCTTGCGATAAACGTACGTATGTAGATGATCTGCATCACGTTCCGGTTCTGGCGCTCACTGGTACAATTTGGGTTTGATGGTGTGCAGCCTGGGTACCTGGATTTCCAGATGGAACACGCCCGATCGAGCTGGTCCAGGCTGGGAGATTGGTGAATCGAGGTTTGTGGGATGAAAGTCAGAACGCTTTGAAAGTACTTCACAACTCGCTGGCACTGAAATACTGTAAGAGATGGATGCTATGGGATTCGCACATACCACAGCTGATTTCAACCACTCAAAAGTACTCAAAAACCCCAATTCAGTACGATGACGCCCTCACGTTATCCTGGAGGCGACTTATCGAAAGAAGTAAGAAGGTGTGGGATGTTAATTCGTTGAACTTGTATGGTATCATTGCATCAGAGGAACTGGATGAATTGGATGTGATGGAGCATCAGCTTGTACATATGTCTGACGAAGAAGATCGTTTTGGTGACTTAGGAGATGTGGAACGTCTAGATGCATTTTGGGAGGATGAAGATGACGATGATGGTCACAATTACACTTGGTCATAGAAATGCATTAGTAAAATCTGAGATTTGTAAGAGTCATCAAATGAGCATGTTTCGTTGAACTGGTCAGATCAGTCTTTGGCAATTAGGATAAGACTAGTCTGGTTAAACCATGTGGGGACTAGTCTGTGATTTGCTTGAAGACTCAGTGCACATAGTACACACCAGTCTTGTGTAAAGACTGGTCTGCCTCCCCAGATTAGTCTGTTGAGCTGTGTACAGACCAGTCTTCACCAAAGACTAGTCTGCATGACGATGAAAACCATAGACTGGTCTGGATTGGTCGGACCAGTCTGACTGTTCCAAACCAGTCTGCAGACTGGTCTGGATTAGTCAGACCAGTCTGCGAACTGGTCTGTAGACTAGTCTGATTGTCAGACCAGTCTGCAGACTGGTCTTTGGCAAAGCGTCAAATTTTAAAGGTTGGCAAAACATATGTTATGCCAGAATATGTATATATTGGCCTAAATCTTAAGAAAAATGTCCCCAAAATCGAAAAAATGGCTTGGACTTTGAATTTTTTCCCTTGGAATAAACCAGTCTGCTAGTCTGACTGGTCTGTTGCGGAATTTCCGGATCTTATCCAGACAGACTGGTTTTTTTTTCCAGGGATAACATCCAACAGGTCTGTGTGCCACAGGTGGGAATAAGTTGGCTACAGCTCTTATATAGAATCTAGGTGAGTAAGTTTTAGTGTAACCTTAAAAAAAATAAAAAAAATAAAACCAGGCAGGCAACATTTATTCTCAAAACTGCTGCACAACTCTCGTAAAATATAGGTTACTGTCTTCCATTATGCAGCACGTCTGACTTTCAATAGGCCAGCACTATGTTTGCTTCCTGTATCGCCTGCACCGGTGAGATCACCCGTATTTCCGGTGAGTGAGTTGACGGGGGCAAGATTGAGAGCAGTAGGTACGAGAGAGCCAACCGGAAGGAAGGAGAAAAGGCCATCCTGCAAAATCCAAACAGTGAAAGATAAACAAGGGTCAGGAAAGTTGAAATGCAACGAAATTGGAATGGATTTTTACCCTGCTTTCCAAAGAGCGGCTTCTGATTTGAGAAAGTTTGGCATCTTGTTCATGTTGGGAAAAAACACTTCTTGCACCAACTAGACAAAATATAAAAATGTGATAAGTTTAAGGGTCTTGTAAAGGCTTGCAATCCAGACCCGCTGAGGGTAGAAAATGGTATCTTACCTAAAGCAATGGAGATTGCGTAGATAGCAACAAATAATTTCATAATGGTGTACTGGGTGATTGTTGTTTAAAAGGAGTCTGTCAATAAGCACGCTTATTGTGAGTAGTCAATCTATATAATTATATTTATAGAATTTGTTTCTTTAATCACAATTTGGAATAAAACCGAGATTCACAATCACGCGTAGCAGTCACTAACCTGAAGGAGTTTAAAGGATAGGTTTAAAGGACAATAGGAATAGTTGAATGGGACGCGAGTAGATTGAGTGTTAGAGCATCTCCAACGGTCCTGAATTGCAAAAAGGCATACAGTGTCATCTCATAATGTACAGTTTGCTGTATTCACCCTGAACAATTGGGTCACCGCCAATGCGCACATGCAGCAAGGCATTTGAATGTCGTACCCCTGCCAAAAACGCTATAAATGCACACGCTGAGCCAAATGATCCTTGTTGTTTTTGGATCCACAAGCTATGATCGCTTGGTGATATGGACACACATGGTATTATTGTGTCCAATATGACACAAATACTGTGTCCTGGATATTTGCCAATGACCCTCAAGGCATAGAAGTCTTGAGATGTGAGACCTGTTATCCCTCTAAACAAATTTCACACACGTGGCCAGTTGTGAGAAAACTGGCTACCGGTGGATGGTTGTTTTTTGACCACACCTTGTAAATGTAAAATACATATTACGTTTGTTACGTTTACAAGGTACCGTTGGGGATGCTCTTAATGGTTTTAACAAAATTAGATAGATTATAAGATATCAATCCAACGGAAACAAGCAAACATACGGGGTTTATATACCCATTCCTATCACGGTGTAGCACACCCAAAAGTACAATTATTCAAATAAATCCCTAGCTATTCAATAAAGGAAACCCAGTCTTGACAACTGTTACCTAATAAATTAACCCCAATCAGACTATTGATCATTATCCCAAGAGTCTTAGAGCATCCCCAATGCGCCGCCGGAAACGTAAACTTTACATAGGGTTTACCTAATGTTTCCAACAGAAACATCATGTTAAAAGTACGTTTCCAAAGATTTTCCAAAAAACTGCCTCCAGCGCGAGTAAAAAGTCACACAGTTGGCCATTGGTGTGACTTTGTTTATTCCGCCAGCTGGAATATGTACGGCTTGTTCTAAGAGCATCTCCAACGCGCCCCAATCTGAGTGACTAACCGTTACGTTTATGTCAAAAACGTAAGCTGTATTTGAGTTATTCAGAAAATCGACCTCCAACGCCGAGGGCAAGGTCTCACACCTGGCCCACGGTGCAAACTTGTTTTTTGGGTATTGACACACTCCCATGCTCAGAGCATCTCCAACACGGGCCTGTTCTGTAAACCAAATACAGACCCAAAAAAAGATTGCTGGAAAAATTCTGACAGCTGTATTTCATTTTCAGCTTTGTTGCATCCAACGTGCACATGAGGTACTGTTTTTGAGTCGCTTTGAGCTGCCCAAGTTGCCAAACCCTCACCCAATCGAGCCACCAAATAGCCATCAATTGGTTGGACAACAAGAGGATAGGACACATGTGGTGACTTTATCACCACATGTGCCAAATGCCTGTCCAATGCTGGGCCAATACAGCTTGCTGCAAAAGTTCAGTTGGTACTCCATATTTGGAGTACCAACCGTGTGAAAGGTGTTTTGCTGGAAATTCAAACTCACACACATGGTGAGCTGTGAACTATTCAGACCGTGCTGGATGGTCTTTTTGTGACCAAGGTTGGTAAACGTAACATACAGCTTACGCGTGTGTCCGATATGTTACATTTACCAACCTGCGTTGGAGATGCTCTCAGGTCAGCAAATTGAATAATCTGAAAAGCACTCTCTCAAAAATTTTTGTCCGGACAATGACTAATATTTAGGCATGTGTCCACTATTTACATTTTATTATGTTGTGTCATTGCCTATTTGGTTGTTTCAAGCAAGGGTGGTGCTATTGGAATTGTTGATGTTTGGACCTTTTGGGTTATGGTGGATGTGGGTTCAACCTCAAATTACCCCTATGGGTAATTGAGAAATAACTTCAGTTGCGTGTTGGAGGGTGCTGTCACTGAATAGAAATACAGCTGCCCAGCCAAGGAAAAAACTTACCTGTATATGTTTTTGGATTCAGCAACATTGGAGATGCCCTAATTGTTTCTAGCTGAGCCGGAAACCTCGGAAAACGTGATTTCTGACAATTTGGACACGTTGAGACAACAAAACTTGCCTCTTTTGTTCCTTTGTGTCCTATTGGAGCACATATTACCACAACCTCAATCAGATCACGTGGCCAATACATGCAATTGATCTGATCATGTCCTATCCTTAGACAGGGGTAGAAACCCGAGTCTCATATTCAGCTCGCGCGGTGCTCCCTACTTATTCCACCAGCAGTTTTTGTACAGACAACAGTGGGAAACGGAGAAACAAGTCCAGAAAGGACTGTCCCTTGGGCTTTCTTGCTACACCTGAGGCCTCACTCGATGCTTGGGGATAAGACTTATCCTCATCATTCCTCACATCCGCGCTATCGCGATCAGCCAATTAGTCTGTGCATCAGCGCAATGACTGAATAGAGCAGGGAAACAAAACGTTGATTACACAGCACAGGCAGCACCCAAAGATTCCGAGCCAGATCCGCAAATACAACAGAGATGAGATCAGGAAGTAGGCGGCTTTGTGCCATTCAAACAGGTGACAGTTAGGAACAGAATGGTGCAGATGAGGTACTTGGAGGGTAGGAATGCTACACCTGGAGATGAAGAGGGTGACAGCGAATGGATGTAATGGAAAGATAAAACCAATGGATGTGAACAATGAGGGGTTTAAGCGGTCAAAAGGAGGGTACAGAAAAGAAAGATGCTGGTGAATACCTTTGAATACCCAGAGACAAGCTAAGAAGTCATCAGCTTCAGCGCGTAATTTGGCAACTGACTGATGGGTGTAGCACCATTGATCTATGATGAGTGTGTGTAGTCTCAGTCACTGTCTTTCATAACTGTGTATCATCCCCTTAGCCATTTTGCCGCATTTATTGGGTTGGATTCTGGGGAATGTTTGGTGAAATTGATGAACAGAAGGGACAAATAGCAGTTCTTGAAGGAGCAACTGGTAAGAGCGAACTGGAGACAACACAAGCACTGGTTTGTAGAGTTCAAAAGTTGGTGAAGTCAAAATAACAAGACAACAAGGGGCACAAATGGGACAAAGGGGAACAAGGGTAGATCGCCCGGTTTAAATACCAAAAGGGTCTCGTAGCGCTGAGTCCTCTGGCAAAACAATGGTGTCAAGCTAGACCACGGCGTTGCGGAATTATAGATCAGGCATACACTACCAGATAAGCTTTATCAGTGTGCTAAAAAAAGAAGGTCAACCCCAATGGTACGCTTTTGCTGTTGTTGACAAAGACGCCAAACGCAAACCACTTCACGTAGGTAATTCAATGTGTCCTTCTACTTATGCTCCCTTTGACACCGGTAACACAAAGTGTGGCAGAATGTATTGATTTATCACACTGCCATCCTGAAAAGGCACATCCTGTTGGCTCGCAGTTGGAAGCTCAGCATTGCGCTTCAATGCCGCTAGTCCGGTTTGTGCCCCTTTGATGCCCGGTCAAAATGTCCTCAAATCTCTGAGTCTTCACCATTCCCTCGTTTTGTGTGGCAAACTCAATCGGTAACTTCCCATTTAGGAGTGTACCACATAATTGGCAATCACAGCACTGGAAACCCACGGTACAGTGTAATATTTTAATTTCGCACACAACACCAGTCCCAGTCTTTTGGGAGTTCTAACAAGACCTTCTGGTGGAATGATATCAGGCCTGCCAACTGAAGCTGAAGCTGAAATACAGGTGTCCAAGTGTTATTTGTGACACCTGTACCAGGTTTCCAGTCCCCGGCGCGTTGGGGATGCTCTAAGAGCATCGCCACCGCTGCCAGGCAAATAAGCCTTCTGTACAACGAAGTTCTGACAGGTCACATTGTGTATAGCAAATTTTTACAGTGATTGACCAAATTGTTGCTGTGCAAACACACAACAGTCAAAACCAATTTTGGACCAAATGAGCGTAGCAAGAGGTTGTGTCAAGAATCGGTAGGGCCCAGATGACACCGACAGCATGAAAGGTACAAAAGAGGTCATCAAAGGTCGGATGGTCCATACAAATTGGGGCTATTTGGAGATTTGGACGGAGTGTATTCCTATACTCTTCCGGTCAAAATTTGGATGGAGTGTAAGCCATACAGGCGGTTTACACGGTCCAGTGGCTCATATATTTTCCCACAAGTTGTGTAAATAGGTTGTATTTGCCTATTTACACGGCCCGGTGGTGATGTTATAAGAATGTGATCAATCCCTCATTCAGATAAGGATATCCCAGACCATTGGACTAATGGTGTAGAACTTAAAGCTCAACAAGAGCTTTACAGAGCTTAAAGAGGGATAATCTACTAATATAACTAACTAGTAGAAGTTGCCTAAGACTGCCTCTTTGAAACAATCAACACGGGGTTTTGCTGATTTCTTTGGGATAAGGCACCAGAGAAATTGTTTCAATACTTAAGTCAAGTATTATTCCCGTGAGTTTTTAGAAATAAAGAAATCTCAACACTGCTATAGTGTTATTCCAATCTGAGCACAACAAAACACAATTTTAATTACTAGCAAAGCAACAATCAATTAGATTGTTATTCCAAAGAATACTTGTAGTCTTATCACATGTAAAGAAACTTCTCCTTTGATATAAAGGGGCAATTTAGTGAACTTAGTACTGCTAAAGTAATTTAATGATGATTAAAAACACTCTAACAAAAGTATAAGATGAGTAAAAAGGGGAACAAAGGCACGTAAATTCCCTAACAATAGTATATAACACTCCAACAATCCTCAATAATGGTCAACAGCCTCCAAAAACCTTCAAAGACCGTCAAAAATCAACAGAAATCCTCCAATGTAACCATATGATGTCATAAATATTATTGTTTGTAATGATTCAAGGCGTGAATTTGATCAATTGATGTTAATAAATGATGAACAGATCTTCTTATGATGAATACAGGTGATTTTTTCCTAATTTTCATAGCTGAAATCCATTTTTGGAAATACAAATTCTTTGTAAAGTTGTTCAATTTTGGATTACTATAGCGCATTTGAAAGCCCTTGTGATACTGATCATTTATCACCCCCATATTACCTATTTCTGATGTGTGATGAATAAGTTATTGAGCTGTAAAGATTGAGAAAATAAGCTTTTGTCATGTAAATGTTATATGTAACCACCAAATTTTCTTTGTTGCCTTATAACTTTTTCACTACTCCTCAGTTAATAATATTTAAAGGTTGTACATTATGAAACCAATGATTCTGTGTTGAATGAACTATCACACACCCAATTTTGACAAGTTTTGACATATGTAATTAACTAAAAACCCCCATTTTTGATGAATTTTGACCATTTTCACGTCTAATAATGATTTTTCTTCTATCAAAAGATCATCCCACAGCATTCCAATCAACCACACAACCATAAAATAATTCTGAAAAACCCTTGGTGCAATCAATCCATCAATGACATCACTACACAGGAATTAATACCATAGTACCCCTTTTGGAAATCCCCCTTTTCTTGAATAATTTCACTCCTCCCTTATCAATCCTCGTGGTTAAAGTTGCTGATGACTAATGCTGTACCTCTCTTTCATAATAAAACCTTCCTGAACCAATAACTCTTATAATAATAACCTAAAAACCATTTTCCAATCTTCCATACCCATATTTTTGAAATTTCCTTCAACTTTTCTAATGTTATCCTTCTTCTTTCATTCTTTTCATAAGAGTTTCCATTCTTTAAGATCAAAACTAAATTTTCTTCTTCTTCCAATTCCTCCTTACTAATTCTTTTAATTTAATTTTCACTCTTATACTATTTTTCTTGATCTTTTCGGATTTTTCTTTTCTCTTATATGTTCTTATCAAATGATTATGTAAATATATGATTAAAAAGATAATGAAATGAGGATTAAAAATCAACTTTGAGACCCTTGATGACTAATAACTCCAACAATAAATTTTCCTTTGACTAAAAATACAAATTTTCCAATAATTTTTAAATTTTTTGCTTAAGTAGAGATCTTGCTCACCACAACGGTTCTCAGACATTAAGTCCAAATTAGTTTTAGATTATAGAGCTGATGGGTTGGGTCATCACTCCAGCCCTTTGTCTAAACTGGGATTATGTTGCGTCACAATATCATAACTTCATTCATCCGCTTTGATACCTTTGCATAAAAGTTCTTGCTATGATAGTTTGATAGTTGTGAGAAAAGAATGTAGAAAGAAAGAGAATAGAATTATTCAAGGAAAAGTAAGAGCATCAGCACCGGGCCTTGTAAAAAAGGGCCCGATTTGTTTGCTGTATGACACCGAGTTGACAGACAAGAATGTGTCACTACCAGCATAAAGTAATTTTCCCAAGTAAAAATGAATACATTTAGAGCAAAAAGAGGTTGAAAATGCATTTGATCAGCATTAAATCAGCATTAAATCAGCATTATTCAGCATTAAATGATCATTTCTGATTAAAAATGCATTACATGTAATCATTTTTTGCTTGGGAAAATTACCTTTTGCTGGGAGTGTGTATGCCTAATTTCCCAGAACTTTGTAAAGTTTTGGCGAAACTGAGGCTTTGCAAAAGCTAGAAAGTACAAATAATACATTGCCCAAGGGGGCCTGATATGTGACAAGACCATGTGGTAGCTTTGCATGTGATCAAGATGAGGTTGCTTTGTGTGTGATCGAGATGTGTTGAGTGAGGTGGTTTTGATTGATGGTAGGACTTTGTACGTCCGATATTGGCGGGTTAAGGTCAGACGTTTGGTCCTTTGGGTTGTTTACGCTGCAGTCCATTATTACACCTTCAAGGTATGATTTTACTGTTGAGTGACAACTCATGTCTCTACAGCCTAGGTTTCAGATGTCGTGGAAACTCATTCAAGAAAGATATCAACAATGTGAAATCAGTTCTTGAGTATCTCATTCAATACTCAACAACATCATTCAATGGTATTATCAGTAGTCTCTCTAGTCCTTGAATATCCTCCCTCGACACTAATTTAATATTGACAGTAGTCTCACCAGTCCTTGAATATCCTCCTCAACACTCAACAATGTAATTTAGTAATTAATCTTTTAAACACAATCACTCAATCTAATTGAGTGAAATCATTGTTACATTTCAATTTCTTCTTATCTTATATAGTGCAGAGTGTTGAAATGTGCTTTTACTCTTTTCCTCATCCGAAATTCTACTTGAGGAAAAGAGTAAGCACTTTATACTCTTTTGTTTTCTTTATCTCTGTTTCTCTCTTAATATATAGTTGCTAATAGTGATTGTTGCTGCTTGATTATTAATGTCAACGCTAGTTCAACACGCTGAACTACGTGTTGTTCATTTTTCCCTTTATATTTCATCTGTCATGAAACCTTATAGGTCAGACTTTGTTCATTTTCTGTTTATCTTTTCTATCCAACTTCTTTTGTGATTGTGTCTCTATCACTGCCAGCATTAAGTTCCCAGATGGGAATATGGAGACTACATATATCACAATGGCGTTCTGATCCCTACAACCCATATTCCCATCTGGGAACCTCTTTAATGCTGGCAGTGTATGTCTTGTCTGGTCTCTTAGGTTAGGCTTCAGGTTTAGTGACGTGAGGTGATTAGAGGCTCACCTCAGGAACTTGTCACAGAGTATCAGAGTGTACTCGACAGAATCTTTTGCTTTTCATTTACACATTGTGTAAACCATACAGGCTGTTTGCAAGGCCTGGTGCCTTGGTTTTATTCTCACTGGATTGTAAAACGGCCTGTATTTTCTTTTTACACGGCCCAGTCCTGATGCTCTAAAATAGAGAAAAACAATGGAATTTGAGGATAATTGAGATAATGTATTTTATTGTGTTTAGTCTTTTATAATTAAAGCGCTTTACTCGCCTTTTCATGTTAGCCAGGAGATGATTACACCTTGTACTCATGCCCCGGATGACAGAGTCAGATTTAAAGGAAATGAAAGGTAATAGGGACTGGGCAAGGTTTCGGCGGACAGAGGATTTAGCCACCTCAATAAGCGCATGAATCCCTTGGAAGCCGACCAAAGTTGTTTATACAAACTTTGGGTGTCACGATTTCTCCTGCAAGCCCAAGAGCCCGGACTACAGATGATTTCACCAAAACCAAAGCCAGAACAACCTGTGAAAGGTATATCGGGCTGTCCAGAAGTGTTCTGCCATAGGCTTTTGGCTGAGGTGGGAAGGGCAAATTTGAATAGACAGCTCGTCTTAGGGAGGGTCATGGCTGTGCGCCACCCTATTTTTTTAGTGCCATAAAGCTTACCAAAAAAAAATAGGGAAATTTTATATTGATTGAACAGTGGCTTAACTGTTTGCAACTCGCATTCAACTACAGTTGAATTGCGATTTTGCAGAGCTTTGCCCAGTCCCTAATGTCTCTGGCACCAATCAGTTCTTAGGTATCTTGAATTCTTTGATGGAGAACCATGACCGCTGATCAGATGATCTCATTCATGATTTGAATCAAAAATCCTCGCGTTCTGCTTCGATTACTCAAAGAATCTTTTGATACAGCTGTTTTGAAAACAAATGTTCCTGCTGTTATCTTTGATTATCTTTTTCATATCCGAGGTTAATTGATCTTTTGCCCATTTGGGTTGTTTATCCCAATTGGAATCAGAAATGAAGCTCAAGGAGGCTCAAGCCGGCTCAAGCGTCGGCATCATGCGCTGAAGCTGGCTCCAGGAAAGCGATGTACATAGTTCTACTTCAACCTCAGGCCACTTCATCGGCCATTTCCGCGCTTCTTCTACCAAAACCGCGGATATGAAAATAAAAAGTCGGAAATAACAGAAGGCAATAAGTCAACAGACATTAGATGCCTCGCTTTCCAATTACATATCAATGATCGTGCATGGTTCCCTAACTCAAATCAAGAGTAAGTCTGTGTACTTGAAATTCAGAGTTCCAGCTAAACAAGTGCGCAGTGATGAGATAAGGATTTAAAGTTAAATTGCTCAGTAAGATTCTTACCATGTACAAAATCATAAAAAAATCAAGTGTTTTTCATTTTTTCGGAACTTTGACCACCAAGAAGAATATAATTTGTTTAATGATTGAATTTTTCAAATAATAAATATTAAGATTGGTTAATATAAGAGAAAGTAAAGAAATCAAATCCAAAGAGAAAAAAAAACACTAAAGGTTTTTGTTCATGTAGTATTTATTGTTACAATCAATTCAAGAAAAAAGGTGATGGTCAAGTGTTATGGTTCTGTTTTGGAGAAGAAAAAAAGTCTATTCTATCCACATACGCAATAGGGGAAGAGAGAGATAGAGAGAGAGATAGGGGTAGAGATGTGATAAAACACAACAATTGAAATGAAAAGGAAACAAAGAAAAAAAAATAGGTTAAAAGTAACGTATGCACAAGCACTTATGTGAAAAATGAAAACAAAAAAGCTTTAGAAATCAAACAATAACAACAACAACAAAAAAAGATTACATCATTTTTGTTATAGTGAGAATTGTAAAAACTAATTGAAAGTAAAATGTAAAAAAAAGAAAACGAAATTTAAACAATGAAAATAATACTAATGGTCTTTTTGGTTGGTTGTAGGACTAGTAGATCGAATTGATTTTATGTACGAATGTGATTTTGCTTGACAAATTTGTTTAAGAATTCATTTTGATGAAAATTTTGATATATTCAAGATAAATGAAGAGAAAGGTTTCAAGAATATTCAACATTTCTTCTATAAATCTTGAATCTGATCCTTAAACTTGATGTTTTTGATCTTTTTCATTTGAATGTTCTTCTTCATCTATACTTTGATGATCACCGATTTCACTAGATGGATAAATCACTTGAACTTGAGTAACATAAATTCCACTACTAGCACCCATAGGAACTTGACCAAGATCAGATTCAAATGAGAGTCGAAGAGTATGTTTGCTTCCTGATGGTGATGGTGGAACAAATGGATCTGAATATTTCCTCGATGGTGGAGGAGCGCGTAGTAAGAATACATTTCGAGTGAACTTTAAGACAAATAACAAAGTAGTGAGGGGTTAGTTATCAAATAGGTTGAAAAGAGTTAGTTTATGTAAGATTTAAGACTGACCCCAAAGACCAGCACATTGATGAGTCCTCGCAATGCAAACAAACTCCCGAAGATAGTGAGTAAAGTATTTCTCCAAGGTAAATACTTTGCATCATCTAGAGTGATGATTGATAGTAATGAGATAGGAATTGAGAACACAAAGAAGATCACAGGGTAGACGAGCATTGTCCAGGCAACTCGACGTAAAGAGGATGAATTTGATCGAGAAGAATTCTGACTGAAATCAGAAGCTGAATCTTGAGTTGGAATGATGATTGAAGATCTTTGAAGTACATGTCCTTCGCCTCTATAATGACCTCTTATTCTAAAATACAAGACTACGTAAAGTATTGTGGAGACTATGGCCGTTAGCCAGAGCCACATCTCTAAACACGGTTTGGAAAAACAAGTCAGTATTCTTAGCCCTACAATCTTATTAGAAGCTTCAAATTTTTTTGAGGAGGTTGCTTACGATGGAATATGACACGCGCGCCTTGGCCTTCAAAAGCAATCCAACACCACCCACCAGTCCAGGTGCCTGTGATTCGTCAACACGGCATGGGTAAGTATTTTGAAGAAAGATGCTCATCGCTATATTTCTGGAGAGATAAGTGAGAAAAGAACTCACCAGGAGCTGAGTAATCTAAGTTGGGAGGATTAAGTAATCCTTTAGATGAAAATGATACACACATCAACCATATGAGAGCAGCGGCCCAGAGTGAACCTGAACGAGGAGAATCTGATTTTGAAAGGATTACAAATGTCTCAACAGAGATGAGAAGACTCTGAAACAGACACCAAGAAAGCTTAGAGATGAATCATAGGTACTTGTTTAAGATGTGAATGGTGAACATACCATCAATGCTGAAGCGACATCACCTAATTGGACCATGAAACCTTGAGATGTACATAGAGGTTCAGATCCTTGAGCACTCAAGTCTAACCCGAAATCTGTAAGGTAGGTGATGTCAAAGAGCAAAAATAAAAGAGTGGTTGAATATCGAAACTAATTCTTATGACTAGTTGGTCACCTGAAATTGATTTATTCAAGGTATCGCTTACAGTTATGCATGAGACCAAAAGCTTGAATGAAATCGGCAACAGTCAGGTTTATAAACAGAGGCTGTTTAAAACAAATTCTCATGTAAGTATTCTTGATCTCGTAACTTTGATTTGAAAACAAAAGATAAAAACATAAATTTCAAGTTAGTAAGACTGACTCCAAATGTTGTTCCCATAAATGCAAGACGTAGAGAAGCCCATGCGAGCGTTGAAGGTCGTCCAGCCAAAATCTTTAGTACAATAACGTAAACCAAAAGGCCTGTTGTAGCCAACAGAGAGACCTAGAGCGATCATTAGGAAAGTAAATAAATGAGTAATCTGTACGTCTAGATCAGTATGACAAAGATATTGCTTACCGTTGCTGCTCCAGCAATAAGCTATGTGAGATGATTGAAATCATATGTTCAGAATATTATTTCGTTGCTTTATCAAAAAAATGAATAGACTTTCTGACTTACAAGCAATCCAATTCGATCGATCCCAATCTCTTGTTTCTCATGTGATGATAATGAAGGCTGAGAAGCGTTATATCGTAGGCTTCCTGACATTTTTTTTGGGGGGGAAAGGAAGAGTATACAACAAGAAATTCGAAATAATTTTATTCACAATGATGATGATTGAACAGGTATGAACAAAAACTCTCTTTGTTGAGCAGAGTATCTAAGCCAAAGTAACATATCATCCGATCTGATACATTATCTTTGGAAGCTGAAGATGTTGTGGTGATAGGAAAGCTTGGGCTTTGAAATATGTACACTTCGAACTTCAACTTCAGTGGCGTTCAAATCAAAATCTCTCATCATACGTTTTTCTCCTTCATTTTGTTCGTTTGAGGTATCAGCATCAATTCTCCGTGGGCATGATACAAGCTCAAACGAGTCGATGTTGCAAGGAGATCAGGAGAGAGACATTTTTTTTTTCAACACCGAGGTGTCCAAGTCTCGTCGAAGCAAATAATCAAGAGTCTTCAATTGACAATAAGAAGAAAAAAAGCCCACTTTGAATACTTACGTTCTTCATAACCAACCCGGTGAAGCCGTCTCAGAATTAGATTAGCAATCGTAATGTATGTGCAGTGAGGTAACCCCTTTTCGGTTTAGCTTCAAGATTCGATACAGTCCTGGATTATATTTTTAAGATAGAAGAGTTTCATAGCTCTTAACGACCGAGTCATCTCCCGAATTGAATCTTATGGAGATATGTCGAAGATGTATGCATACAAAACTGTAGTCAAGACTCCTTTAAGATCACGAAAAATAGACTGAAGAGAAGTTATGATTAAGCAAAACCCACTCGGTCTAAAACTTCAGCCTTCCTTCTGGTATGTCGATCTTTGAATCCTGCATGTGTTCCGGTGATGATAGTTTTCACCAGATCGATCGTTGATTTGGCTTTCGATTCGTAACCGTCAGATTGCACGCATTGAATGTTGATGGTGGGATTGTGTCTCGGTCTGGGGATCAGGATTGCGGCTATTGAGGTAATGAGCTGATTTGTACCAGAGTCAGTTCAATCGGTCAACAATCGACTCTTTGAGATCGAACATTCAAGTATGAGTCAAGCTAGCTAGAGGAGCTTCTTGAAATTATGGTCATGACTGAAAAATAAGTATGTGATTAATAAAAACTAAAACTTCAATGAACAAGACCTTTTCAACTTTCTTCAAGGTCTGCAATTGGATGACTCTATTAAATAATTTACAAAATTCAAAAACCAATCATTCTACTTCTTTCTTCACTCTTTCTTCATCTGATCATAAATTAAAAATCAACTAATATAATAATAAATGATATAAATGACTAACAAAAAAAATCAAAATGTCACTTGAACATGTCTACCCAGAGAAAACACAATCGAACCAATCAAAAATGTGACTAGATGGAAAAAAGAAGAAACAAAAGAAAAGAGGATCATGACTAGTTCTTCTTAAATTCAAACCAAATTCATGGGAACTCCTTTTGCACAGATCAAATCAAAATTCTTCAGATTAAGGTTTAAAATAAATAAATATTTGAATCTAAAGAAGAAAAAAAAGCTTTCGTAAATGAAAAACACGCGCACAACTAAACAACAAGCAGACAAAGCAAATCACAAAGAAAACCTTCAAACCCATTTTCCTTCAAATGAAAGATCAAGACCAAAAAGAAGAGAAAAAGAATCAAGAGCTATTAAAAGAAGAAGCTGTAACCACTGAACCAGGAGAACCAGGAGTGATAGTAGCTTCACTTGATTCTTCTGACCAACTTAATGGTCTATAATCTAGATTCCCACTTTCTACTTCATCCTCCTCTTCATCATCTTGATTTTCATTGGGAAAGGGTGCAAGTAATTGAGCTCCATATTTATTTAATTCTTCATTTGAAATCATTAATCTGAAATCATTTAATAATAAGAATTGTAATTCTAATTGATCTAATTCTTTTAACGGTAATCCTCCCACCTTTTATGTAAAATGATCAAAGAAATCCAACAGGAAACAAAAAACTTATCAGAAGATTGTTCAAATTTACACAAAGCTCAAGATCAAGATCAAATTACTTACCTTGGCATAACGTGAGTTTGTATAAAACACATCACTAAAAAACTTGCTTGTGGCCGTCACCGTAGCAATCAAAAACCGATGAACATTCCAAGAATCAATCACAAATTGTTCACCACCTGGACCTCTAATCCCACTCATTCGATCTAAATAGACTAAAACTCCTACAAAGACTTCATTGGTCATTGGACAATATTTCTGTATCCTTCTTAGGTAAGCTTCGATGGTGATCTGAGGTACATGTTTTGCATGAAAGGTTAATAAAGCTGAAGGTGAGGTTAATGCAGTTTTAGATGCGGTGGTTAAGTGATTAGGATGTAATCCATTGGAGGCTCTCAGTTGTCCAAATTCAAACGATTCTTCTTCTAGATTAGGTGTTCCATTTCCCGATCGAGTTTCACTTTGATTCTGATGTTGTTGAAAATAAGCCACTGTTGGACTTTGATCTGGTCGTTCGGTCGCCTTAACTGTTCTACGATTCCACGTAGCACCGGGTGAAGAGAGAGCAGAACCAGTACTTGGACGTCTTGATCCTCTAGGAAGAGACCACTCGGACATGGCTGTTGCGCCAGTTGCTGATCTAGGTTCATCAATTCGATCATTAGAAACGGCGATTTGTTGTAATAAGGTTGCGAGTCTTAAAATCAATTCACTTTGAGGATAAGTTGTAAAATCGATATGTTTCTTTCTTCTTCGCTCTTCTGCCTTTGATCGACGTAAAGCCGCGGGAGAGGGATCAATTATTGGAGGTTCTGATTGTAATGGGCTATCATTTGATTTAACTCGAGCAGAAGCGATAGGTGTGCGAGGTCCAAGCTCAGGCGATGATCCTTGCGTTCGAGTAGATGGGATTGGAAAGGAAGGGGAAAAGGTGGGGGTACCGGTAGCCGCCACTGATCCACTCGCTTCCCATGACTTCATTTCACTCTTCCGTTTTGCTTTCTTTTGCAAGTTAGATATTGATGGTGGTGGGATTGAAGAGTCTTTGAGTGTCGGAGAAGGATCGGGTTTGGAAAGAGCTGAAGTAGTGGTCTGAGGCGTAGGAGCTGAGCGAAGTTCTACTGGACTAAGGGTTCCAGCACGTGTTTTTCGCTTAGAGTTACAAGAAGGAACTCGATGTAAGAGTACAGGAGTCGATGAGGCACGACGAAGAGACTGAGTAGGAGAAAGGTTTGGTGCTTGCGAAAGAGTATTGACTGAGTGAAAAGTTTGATCAGTGATAGATTGATGATCAGGATTGATCGTTGGAGATGGTACGTTGATCGTTGTTGCAGTTCTAGGTCGGGTAGGTAAGGCTGTTGAAGTTAAGGAGGATAATGGTAAGTGAGATGTATGCTTTGATCTAGGTTTATGTTGATTAGGATTCGGATGAGGTTGATGAAGTGTTCTAAGCCGATGATCGTTTGAAGTGAGGAGAGTTGCAGTGGTTAGCATGTTTGAGAGGACTGAGGATGTTGTTGAATTGAGTTAAATTGAAGTTTGATTGAGGATGAATCTGATGGATGGATTGAATTGATTTCTTTAAAAACTGAAATGAGGTGTGATGATGGTGTGATGATGATGATGATGATGGTAATGTGTGGTAGTAGTGATGTGATGTCTAGACTGCATTAGTGGTGTCAGTGTGCCTGGCCTCAAAGTTCTTCTCAAACTCAACTCGTGGAGAAATTCAAGAATTTACCAAACCAATACAGAACTTTAATCTTAACTTAGTCTTTAGTATACATACACCACTTAACTAACTACTAAACTCATGGAAAAAACACAAACAAAACCCAAAACCACTCCAATTTCTGCATATCCTCATCTTAAAACATAACAGTCAATCCAATTCAGTCATCATTCACATTTCTTGGATAGGGTACTGGAATTGGCTGTGACCCAACCCTGGATATTCGGGCCGGATATGGGGCCAAGTCTGGCCTTGGGTAGACCAAAGGGGATCCAAAAATCACTCAGGGCCAAACAGGGCACACCTTGAATGCTTTAGAGATGCAAAAGATGTGCAAAAAAGAAAATAATTTTGAACTATGTTGCCATTAGGTGTGTATCAGAATTCATTTAGAGGCTATACTATATGAGCCGACTTGGACATCAAAAAGAGCTATACTGAGCCTATGTTGAAAGAAAAAGATAAAAAAAAAACAAGCAAAAAAAACAATGGGCACTGGGCGGTCAGGGCCGCCGGCGTGCATACATGTTTGTGACTAGATTTCAGTGTGAAAGAGGCAGACTGTCAACTTCAAAGAAATTGTCAGGCAAAGTTGGCCAGGCAGGGCAAGGTCTGGGTCACAGCCCTAGATATATGACAATGAGCTGATAGATCCAGATCATTCAATGTGCGGGTAGCTTCTCCAGAATTTTACCCACACAGCTCAAGAGGGCTATTGGTTGGTTTGAATTTGGATTAGAGTAGCTGTCCTTGTTAGCTTTACAGATTATGATTGTGACAGCTGATCTCCATCTGATGGGCTAATGTAGGCAACAAAGCTCTGTCTCTATGGCTGGGAGGGTGGTTTAACAAGATCTTTGATTGAGAAAAGTTGTGGCCTTGGACACCACAATTTTTCTCAATCAGGGTTTGAGCATAACAATTCCCATAGTCTTATAGGTCAACCTTTCAATAGGCTTGATATCATCTCAATATGCAGGTTCTTTGCCAGACCAATCTTGACCATGTTGTGGTCTGATATAAAATACATATGTACTCTCCCCCCACTGTCAGTTTTTCCTTCTACCAACAGCTCATTGACACAGGTTCAGTTATTGTGCCACTCTTTGTCAGGTGTGCTGGGTGTGCTAAACAACACCCATTGTACATGGGACTTCTTCAGGGATTTGGATGACTTTGAAATATGATATGACCTGGCTAGTCTTACGTACAGAGACTAGGAGCTACTGGGTTCAGGGTTTGGGTCTTGGGTTTGTATTGAGTCTTGGAAGTTGTGTCTTCTAATAGTCAGGTTTATGATTAGATTGTACCATGAAGGAAAGGTACAACAATGATGACGAAGACAACATACAAAGGAGACTTCTACATGTATAAGCATATGCTACTATGATCTAAATGTGATAATAACAAAATACATATATGGTACAAAGAATAGGGTTGAGATGACTTCATACAGTCATCACATTAAAATTGATACATTCTCAGGTCACTTAAGACTGAGCTTCACTGGTTAAGAGCATTGTAGAGGCACATTCTTGGATATGTCAGACAACCCACAAAAAAGCAACTGCCTGTACCAGTAGGTTTAAAAACTGATATCAACCTGATTTTGTAAAACCATTGGATGAAAAGTTTGAAGGTGCTGTCCAAAGTGTTCCACAGCAATCTGAATGTGTATAAACCAAAGTGTATAGCTTTGTTGCCTCTTCAATGCATGCTAGACTTTAGATCAGACACTCACTTTGATCTTTCCATCAATATGAGCACAGTTTTAAATGACATGACATGTTTGGATGGATTAGGGTGACTAATAATATGTGTATGTAAGATACAGTTAACTTACCACTGCTTATAAAGATTTGTAACTGGTCATGTAGTTTCAATTGTGGGATACAAACTAGAAACCCAGAACTCCCAAGGTTCCCAACTCACCCTTTTTGGCTGTAGTTGAGAAACTGGGAAACCAGGTGAACCAAAAACTACAGCCAAGAAGTCCAAATTGAAAAACTGGGCACAAATCCAGGTTTCTACTTTGTATTCCACAAATTTTTCACAAATTTTTCATCTTATGTAATTCTTTCAACCCGTTTGAAAGGGTTGAAATAAGTCAATTTGTTACTTGTCTCTCCTTGGAGAAGACTGAAGAAAAGCAAGATATATCACATCTGAGTTCTAGACACACAATTGTTTTTCCATTGATACAAAAGACATGTTCACAAGCAAAAAGAACCATTCAAATCAAATCCTTGATCATCAAAGGGCTACCCAAACACAGGTGTTGTAGAGTGGCTTTAAATTATGATCAATAGAGAAGAGCTTCTTGAGTGAGTGATAATCTAGTATAAACCAGATTATATTTGATGTATGATCATACCTATCACCTTGTGGCCTCAGAAATGTAAGCATATTGTAGTCAATTCAAGGTTTTTGAGCTGAAGGAAAGCAAGATATCCCTAAATCCATGCTTCTTCAAAACTTGATAACACAAAAATCTTGGAAATTGAAGGTAACATAAACACAAGATGATAGATGTGCCATGGATCTTTATATCTTTACCAATGAGCTCGTACTTGACATTATGTATACACATCAATCTCCTAAGATCCATACTTCTTGTAAAGATAATGAATCCATTTTTGCAGCACTTGACACTGCTAAAGTCAACTCTTGTCCTCTCCTCTGTACAACTAATATGGATGTTCTGTGGTAATAAGCAGACATGGCTTGGAGGTTATTGTGTGACAAAGTCATCACAGGAGAACAAGTCCAAGGGGTTGTTTTTGGAACTCAAGTACTTCTTGAGTCGCAACTTCCTCTACAGCGAATTATCCACCAGGTTTTTGCCATGTTGTCACATAGCTTGATATGGCTATGCATCCCAAAGCAGATGTCATGTCAGGAATGCAAAGCTCCAAAAGAACTGACAGCAGAGCCAAAACACGTCTGATGGATTTGTCAAAAACAAATGATGAGATAGACTTTGACTCCACCATTTCCTTGCGATCACACACCATCCAAACGACAAAGCACGTGATGTATTAAGATGAAAAATGACTGAAAGGTTATCGTTCATAGAATCAAATATAAATTGTGTACAGTATAACAAACAGTCTACTACTCGATCTGACAATTCTATAACTGACAAACCTTAAAATCCGGATCATAATTTTTCGAGATGATAAAAGGATGATTCATCAGTTCATTATAGATCCACAGAGAGTTCAGAATCGCTGCGTGAAAATCGCTGGTATGAAAGCATTGATATCTTTTTTATAGAAGTAAGCAGTAGAAAGACAATTGAGTGTTGAGAAATTCCTTCACTTCACCACTCTTGAAATCATATGTCGAATCTCGCCCTCAGTCTTTTGATATGTGTTCAATTTAAGATCTTTAGCCATTGCGCTAACGTTATTGACACCATGTTTCTCAATCATCTTAACGATCCAAGCTACCTGATTATCCGATAAAAATTGTTTATTTTTCATCACGTTTGCATAATCAGAACTTCTTGTGGTAGATATCTGCTCAAGTTCTGGGTATTATGAAAGTTGAAAGTACACGTTCATTGATCAGTTTATGAATCTAGGAAAGTAGAGATAAATCGATCTTACGTGCTACAAAGTCTGTCTTCGGTGGAACCATTCCCATTCGTGGATTCTGATAAGGAAACCCTTGCGGTAAAGACTCTTGAATGATCTCCTCGCTTGCTCTCAAAGGTGCTGGTTGTTCGTATGGGCTTGGTTGGAGAGGATCGCCCCAAGGTGTGACTTTCTCTATTGTTTGAGGTGGTCGAACTATTACAATTGAAGAAGGGTCTTCACTGTTGTTCATGATTTCGACGTCTTCGTCACCACCTAATATTACTTTTATGATTTTACCATCTGCGTCACGAATGATTCGTCCCTCTCCTTTGGCCAGCTTGCTCGAGTTTTGAGTTTTCGAATCGATTTGAGTAGTTTCTTCTTTAACTGATTCATCTTCATCTTCTGTCTCTTCATCTTCTTCATCATTTTCTTCATCATTCTCTTCATCTTCATCAATTAAATCCCATTCATCTGGATTTTTAACTTTAGTTAACCAATTTTTTGAAATATTTGTATCTTTTTCAATTCCACCTGATAATCTTGGATCTAATTTTCCAGATAATAATCCTAATCTTCTATAATTTTGTGTTGGTGTTTGTCTTCGATTATATAATTCGGCTAATCCTGCTGGAAAGTTTAATTGTGTAACTTTTTTTAATCTTGAATTCACATGTTTTGCTACTCTTACTTTATGATTACTTGATCTAGCTTTACGTCGTTGTCTTGGGTTTGCCATTCTTGAAGGATTATAGGTTTGAGTGCTATTGATTTTTTTGGTGAGTTGATTGAGTTCGATGGTAAGGCTTGGTTTGCCAGAAAAAATTCAAGACTGTGCATACATGGCTTTGATATAAGCATATACTTACCAGTATTTTTTTATTCAACGCGAGGTTGCCCTAGGGTCACTCGATAGAAGCATACTCAAGAAACCGCTCTGCCGAGTCTGATCCTTTGATCAACGAGATCGATCATTTCCTCAAACTTAACCCGTCCCTCTCCCTCGCAAAAGACTCGAGCCCTTCAGTTTGGCAATGGTGGCCGATGGTGGTGCTCTCACAATCAATCAAACGTACTAGAACATCGTGGGACATCAAGGCACTCGCGGGTCGCTAGATTTCATTAACAAAGTCGACTTGAATTATATCGGAGTGTTTCGATACGCTAGGACCGTTTTAGAACAACGATATGAAAGGTGAAAGATACGGAGAATGAGTTTATCACTAAGAATTGTCTATCAAATCTTCAAGGGGTTTATCAAATGATCAAGGAATAAGGAAAGAACCTCAAGTGGATGAACCAATTGACTTGGAACTTTACCTTAAAAAATGGTGATTGATAAAGCACGCCGACTTGAAAACAAAAATGACGCCGGTTTTCCTTAGCTCAGAGTACTCTGGAAGCTATACAGGTTGTACATTGATGTACAGCGCCTTGAAAGACTTCAGGCTCTTCTGGGAGCTTCAGGGCTATCTGCAAAGACTTCTGTCGAGTCTGACGCCGGTTTTTGGGATGCCAAGTCGGTGTCAACCCTTTTGATTTCTTTCAAAGCTGTGAGTGTGACACCGTGATTGTGAAGTACTCCCTTGCTACTGCTCAGCTAACAAGACCATGTATGGTAATAAGGGAGAATCAAGTGAAAAAATTGCAAATTTGATGTGATCAATTCTCTACAAACCCCAATCTCTCAATACGCCTACCTCACTACAACCATCAAGAGAAATTAGATAGCCAGGTTTGAGTGTTTATCACAATCAAACCCATCAAAGAAACAATCCAATGACGTCCAATACGTGTCCGTATCATGATTTTGACAATGATTGACAACATTGTACTTCCACTTGCTGAAAGACCAAGGTCTTATCAATGACTCTTAGATATACATAGTAGTACCCAATACATAGGTAAATCTATGTAAGTCAAGCATTGATGTCTTTGCAAGTGAGCCAAAAACCGTATGGTTGCAAATTTGGCATCACACACTCTGGTGAAGTTGGTGGGGGGTTTGGGCTAACCTCATAAGGATGACGCCGGCTAACAATGTCAGACCCAACTCCAGAAAGCTTCAGAACCATGCTGAAGCCATTACAGGAAGTTCCCAACTGTATAGCTTCAAGTTCCAGATTACTCCGAGCTAAGAAAACTGGTGTCATTTCTGTTTTCAAGTCGGTGTGCTTTATCAATCGCCTAAAAAATCACCATACACCAAATTGGTTAAAGTCAGATTGAGTTCAAGAAAATGGTCTTACGCTGTCATACTGTTTTATTTTCAAACAATCTCAAGAGATGTTTGAAACATGCAAAGATTATCCTGAATAATTGGAACAATGACTAGTTCAGACCCCATTCCCCTTGTCTTGTCGAAAGACTTACGATTGAAGGACTTTGGCTTCCAGAAGAAGAAGACAATAATATCACAGAGTGTGATGATCCTGGTAAAATGCTGTTTCATCAAAACTTAGCTCACAGTGGATTGCTTTGAGTATCAATGAACCAACTACCAAGAACCATCAAATTACTTGGGTCTAACTTCAACAATTTGAACATTGGATTTATAGATTCTATTGCAGCTACTCCGGATGTAATAAAAACGATTAAGATGATCATAAAATCCAAATTGTTAACTATTTCATTCCCCATTGGCAACAAATTTTGCACTTATGATGCAGCTTCAATACATATCAGAATTACTCTCAGTGATAATCAGCCTTGAAAATTTATCATTCCACCATTTTACCAAACACATAATTATGAAGAACCCGCCTTTTCCAAATCTGTGTTACTTTTCTTTCCATCCGAATGACAATAATATAGGAGAAAATTCTCATATTGCTTGAAGTGCAAAGCATACTTTGCAGATCAGCAAACTTTTGGTTAGTTTTCATTGAGCTGAAGGTTTAGAACAGGTGTTCAAACCTATCAAAGATTATCAAAGATACACCAGAAGGTCTATTTACACACACACATTTACAAATCATCTCATTGAAGATTTTTCTTATCTCGACTTTCTGTACTTAACATTTATTGGAACTCATCATCCTCCCTGGCAAATGGGACCAGAACTTTCCTGGTTACAAGCCCCAATGGTAAAGACCATCAGAATGATTGTTGTTGACCTATATCATGACAAAGTGATAAGAAGCTTCAAAATTAGCTAGTGTGAATGCTTTGAAGGATTTCCCAATTTTGAACATCATTTTCACTTATAAAGATGACCAATTTGGAATTACAACTATTTGTCCTAACTCAATTGAAACATCTTGCTCTCTTGGTAATTGGCTTCATGTCACTGATTGTTTAACAGCTGAAGAAATCATGGTTTGTTCAATTTTTTATTCAAATTGCATAAATCAATCTGAAAATGATTTTCTTTTGGAAAGTTGAATTGATTTCTCCATTTGATCATAGCTGATTACCAGAAACTAAGGTATAAACCATATATCATTTAATTTTCCAATGGAAGCTTCTATTGTAACCTCACTCTTACTCAGGTCAATCCGACTGGACTCCTGATCAAATCCAACAACATGAGACAAACACACACAGTTGAGCCTGAGAGCATCTCCAACGCTTGCAAATCTGAATGACTAAACATTATGTTTATGTCAAAAACGTAAGCTGTATTGCAGTTTTTCAGAAAATTGTCCTCCAGCGCTGAGGGCAAGGTCTCACACCTGGCCCACAGTGCGAACTTAGTTTTTGGGAAATGACACACTCCCATGCTCAGGTCCGCAAATTTGCGGACCTGGCTGAATCACTGAAAAACCAGTCTCCCAACAACTATTGGGCCAAAAATAAAAAAATTGTTACATCCGTGGACTTTCTTTCTCTTTCTTTACATGAGGTGAGCACAATCAATTACATATATTGTGTGGAACACGGTAAGTGCAATCAACCACTTAAGTAAATGAAGACATGTGGTGACAGGGGTTCAACCTCAAATGAACCCCATGGCAAATTGAGAAAGCAGCTCAGTTGTGCGCTGCAGGGCGCTGTCATCTGAAAAAAATACACCTGTCCAGCTGAGGGAAAAACCCAAATTGTACAGGTTTTTGGATTCAGGAATATTGGAGATGTTCTGAGGATTCTATTTTCAATGAATCATCACTAGGAAATCTCTCTTGAATGAAAGGACCTTGGCTATTGACATTTTGTTGGGATAGTCGTGTGTGATATTTAGTCCTGTCTACTACTCAGTCCTGCGTGACTTTTCCAATGACCTGTCAAGTCCTGTGTGACTATCACCTGATCATATTTCAGCTCATTATTACATCATATTACATATTCCATTCCATAATAGTCTGCTTAGCAACTTTTCTGTTGTGTGATATCTATCTGTGTTATTTCAGAGCATCAGCACCGGTGACCCTGGACTGTCATTTCACGTAAGGTGTATTTGACATGTCCAGGTCAGAATCCAGAAATCATGCTCCACTGGCAATAAAAACTCCCATCGTAGGCCAGCTGTGCAACTCTTTTATTCTTCAGCAACAGGTCTCTCGGACTTGACCCCCAGGTTCTTCAGGGTCATCTCAAACGCTGGGGTTACATGGTTTGAGCAACCATGCAACTCAATTTGCCCCAATTGATCCACAATTTCTCCTAAAAATATCTTAACTTTGTTTTTCTTGTGGGATACGATGAGTATCATATCACTTTCCATGATAAGACGTGACCTTTGGCAAAATGTGTACAGTTACTGAGTGGAAAAACACCCAGATGCCTTCCTGTTAAACTGATCAGGCCAATGATCAACTGTATTCCTACACCCTTTTGGTACTCCTATATCCTATAAATATAGAGGATAAAGAGCAACCTTTTGATTGCTTGTTTCATATCCCCTTCTTTTCTTTCATTGTATCATAATCACCTGTCATTTCACTGTGATCATTACTTTTGCCCCAACTACTGCCTGCCCTTCCTGTCCTCTGAAACATTGTTAAGGAAGTTCAACTTTGATCTCCCTGCACAAGCACCAACCAGCAGAATGAATCATATGTATAATGATGGTAGACCAGCAGCATCAGGTCAACGTACGTGGCATGTTTTAACTACTATTATGTCCCAGTTTGACCTTATTTGGCATTTCCATTCTAGCAATGCATTGTTACAATCACCAAGAGCAAAATTGGATTCACCACTCTACTGGTAGCGCTGGTAGCTCATCCTCAGGAGTTCCACATACGTTTTTAAATCTTAATCTGTCTATTATAACATGCACAATTCTCATGTGGTCTATCTATTTCTCTAATTTAGGTCAAGTTAATGGCTTCAATATCAATTGTGATGCTCCTTATGGAGTTCATACTGACGATTCTGGTGTAAACCACTTCTTCACTGCACAAGTTTATCAACACTCATATTGCAATAGACGCGAAGAATCTGTGGATGCTCATTCTCAGCACAGCAACAACCAGTACCACAACTTCTCTCAATCATCTTTGATTGATGGTTTCACTCCCACTCAAAGCTCCATATCCTCCACTCCCACCACCTCCTCCTTCTCTTGTGCTTCAACCCACAAACCTCCAACTCGCCAGTCAACCATGGATCCATAAGATGCGGGTTTGAAACGTATCAACTACTCCAACAAGGCGCTCAAGCAGCTGTGCAACTTGTGGCTTTATCTCAAAATCCAATCACTGGTAATGATCAATGTCACCAGAAGTTTTGGGAGAAAATCACTGCACATTACAATCAGAATATGGATCATGCAGATCAACGCTCCTTGAAATCCCT